TCCATCGGACCAAGGCAGAGCGTAACCACTGGAGATGATGCGACGGGACAGAGCACGGGCGAAACCATTGCCCTGGACGCTACGACCACCCTTCTCAGAGATGTAGAGCGCAGCGACACCAGCTACGTAGGGGCAGGCCATGCTTGTACCGGACAGGATGGAGTACGTTCCGTCAAGGTAGGTAGAAAAGATGTTACCACCAGGGGCGGCGATGTCAGGCTTCAGCTGATTGTCGTAAAGCAGACCCCAGCTGGTGAAGATGTTGGGGCGGTTTCCAGCGGGGTAGTCGAGGGCAATCGGGATCTCGGGGTTGACCGAGAAGTCAGCAGTGACGGTGATGTTGGCCTTGATGGCGTTGATGAAGGCAGCACCGGAATCGGCAGTGATCATGGCGATCTGGCTGTCGGTGTTGCCGGTGCTAGGGGTCGTCATGGGCGATGCGTTGTTGTAGATGAGGATGTACTTTGCGCCTAGGGCAGCGAGATTTTCTTGCTTAACCTGGAAGGTGCAAGTTCCTCTGCGAACCAAGGGGATCTTGCCCGTCAAGTCGGGACTGCCCGCTGGGTAGGGCGTGCAGCCATCAGCAGTAGCGCTCGTATCGGTGTTGAGAGCGACAATGGGCCAATCAACGATAGTGTTGGGGAAGTAGGTTCCTGAAGGAAGGTATCCAACGCGGACGGTCTCGCTGCCGCCATAGGTGGCTTCGAAGGGGATGGCCGGGAAGACCTCCGTCTCGACGGAAGCTACAGCAATGACATTCTTGCCAGACGATCCGGAGCTGCCATAGAAAGGGCCGCTGGCACCGCTGTTTCCGGCCGAAATGGTGACAACGATGCCCTCATCGACTAAACGAGAAGCGACTTCGGCCCAGGCGTTGTTAGACCAGCCGTTGGAGCCACCGATACTGGCAGTGATGATATCAACACCGTCGTCGTAGGCAGCGAGGAACGACTCAATCAGAGTGGCCGTGTCGGTAGACTCCGCATTGGAGAAGACCTTGTAGGCGTGGAGAGTGGCCTCGGGGGCAACACCAACCCACGAGTCAGTCTTGCCAGCGACAATACCAGCAACATGAGTGCCGTGGCCGCGAGTGTCGAGAGGATCTTCATCAGGCGCCTTGGGACCGCTGGCCGGGTATGAGCCATCACCGACGAAGTCGTAACCATCGGCGACCTTGAAACCGGGACCAAAACCGCCACCCAGCTAAAGAATGGTAAGTCTACCTTCGCTTTCACCTTGGTGCAGTTCCAACTTACAGCAGGGTGCTTGTACCAGATGCCGGTATCAACAACACCAACCTTGACACCCTTACCAAAGATGCCCTGGGCGTGAAGCTTGGCTACACCAGTGGCGTTGTGTGTCGAGTACGTGGGAGCATCTTCAGGCGCAGCAGCCTTGGGCTCTGTTGGCGCAAGCTTGATCTGCTCGTTGACCCAGACATTGACAACGTCAGGGAGCTCCTGCAGGGTGTCGAGGGTGAAGGTGTCAGTCTCGATGCTGGCACCGGAGAAGACGTTGCTGGCGAACTCCTTGACGACGGTGATGCCGTCTGTGGATGCGACATTTTGACGACGGACACGAGCACTGGAACCCTAAAGTAAGAAGGACGGTGAGTGTCAGCTGGGGACTACAACCTTTGGGAAGGTTTTCTTCGGGCAGCAGCCACGCGCAGCGGGCACTCACAGGAGCGTATTCGATGATGAAGCTCTTGGCGATGAAGGTAGGAGTCTCCTTCGCGACGCTGGCTTCTTGGCGAGGGCCGAGGGCCGCAACGCCTCCAAGGTGGAGGGCGAGGGCAAAGGTGGAAATAGTGGCCGAGATGCGCATCTTCCCGGGTGCTGGGTCTTGCCTTGGTATGAACGAGGGTGAGAGAGCGCAAAGCTACCGAAGAAAACCGGATCAAGGTGGCATCGCGGCGGCGGCGTGGTTTAAGTAGTCCTTATCTTGCGTGTCTCGTCGACGACCAGATGCCCGTTAGGTGGCGGCGCCACTCCCGGGAAGCAAATGCCAATGAGCCCATTTCCGCTAAGCAGCCCGGCCTGTCTGAAGCTCGGCATAGCAAGAGACGTTATAAAAAGGTAGCACGAGGAAGATGAAGCTACCTTTCTCATATCCCCTGTCAAAGACGTGATGTCCAGGATTCAGAGGCATGCTCATTGGTCAGAGCTACCAAGTTGTACGCAGCTAGCTGCGTCTGTCTTGTGCGCGCATGTTTACTTGCACGCCCAGGTGCAGAGTCGCGTTGAATATCGAGTGCATCGCTGCAAGGCCCAAAGACTGGGGGGGGGCACATGGAGAAGCATAGAGAGACAGATAGAGAATAGTCGTGCTCGCCCGGTGGTCGAAAGGCTCGACCCATGAGGCGCGGGCCGTGCTATCTGGGGCAAAAACCGAGAGTGTAATTTCGCAAGGGCCCAGATGGGCGAGTCGTGGTCTTGGATGTCGATGCCGGTCGATGGAGGTTGTTCATTCGGAGAGCCGCCAAGACTTGGATGAGCTTCCTCGTTGGGATGCAGTGGATGGCACGGCGCAGAGGATGCAGACCAGGCGGGGTCCAATAGTGCGAATGGCGTGCGGTACGGGTGCGCCGTTCGTTGGACACCTACCGCCTTGAGATGTCCTCCACAACCCGGCCGTTGTGCATGCCAAGACGTGGTATCAAGGCCCAGGATTGTCTTGATAGCGTGGGTCGTGGATGGTCTGTGTCTGGGTGTTGTTGAACAGTTCATGGAAGAGCACTTGGGCCGGAACTGGCACGGGGGTATCTCGCCAGACGAGGAGTCAGTAGGAGCGGTCGATCCTATGAGAAAGCTGCCTCGTAGCTGTAGTGCGTCCGATGTCGTTGAACCAGACACCGCGTCGACGGGTTGATGAGGGTATCATGTGTGGCAAGGCGGCCAAGAGGTTGTACTTGTTGCTTCAAGAGCACATGGCAGTGGCTATGTACCACCCTACAGCTTCAGGCACCGGTCCGATACGCCGGCATTCATATCTGTGTACGGGTACTATCATCGTCGCGTAGTCGAAACATTGACAATAAGAAAGAAGCCACCACGACGAACACAGCAGTTGGGATGTCATTGGAGAGTGTCGATGGTGGCGTCTTTGGCGTTCATGGCGTTGATGGCTTGAGGATGTTGCAGAAAAGGCGCATACAGCCGCGTGGTCGCCAAAACAAAGTTGCCAAAGACCCGTTCTACTTCCATGATGTGTTTCCCCGCTCGTTCAGGTACCGGGGGAGAACCATAGGCGGATCATGTAGTGGTGGTCCATGGTCCATGGATGAGAGAGGATGGGGAAACGAAGAGACGGCGGCGGGTGTCACGATAGGAGGCGCCTCTTAGCGCTATTCGTAAATGCGATAAGCTGATGGCCCGTGTGTTCTCGCTTAGCTTGTATTAGCTAATGATACCCGAGCTAACCTGAATAGGCAGCTGAGCGATCGGAGGATCCACCTGCCCGGAGCTGACGGTACGTACCGAAAGGGGGCAGTCCCTCCAGGTTCTCTCTTCCTCCTTCAACCGAACAACAACAACAACACAACATTGGTCGCTTTCTTCTTCTTTGCATCTGGTATCAATGTGTAGGTAGATGAACTGCCCATATCAAATAGGCAATACCATCCGCGGCTTGGATATATTGAAGCATGGTAAAAGTCCAATAGACCTCGCGTTCTACAAGATATCCTCAATGCCAGTCACCGCCGCATTCGCCCGATCACGAGCAGTCGGGCAACAAGAGGAACCAACAATTTCACCCGCATGCGCATTGAAATGAGCCAAGTCTAGATTTTTCACCCATACAAACAGAATGTGAACAAACACCTTTCAGAAACAACCATCTGCAGCGTCACATCGTTCGCATCCTATGTGCCTATTCCAGCTCCGCCCCCCATCCTACATCGTGGAGCACCTCGCCTGGCAACATGAGAGCTGTGCCCTCCCAGGCGTGCCTTACGCCCCATTCACCGACCAAGGTCCCGTCAGCTAATCAAATAATCGACTCATTTCCCGATGCGAGAGACTGTTGGTTTGAATGTCTCTACCCGACGAAGATCAGCAAGCTCCCTTTCTCCTCTCCGCCAACGTCGCCGGAGCGGCAGCCGGGGCGGGCTTCAAGGGAACATCCGAACCCGAGACACCCTGCACCATTGCCTCATCTGGTCTCATGCTGACGGCATGTCGCGTCTCTTGAATCATTTGCAACTTATTCCTTTCACCAGTGCGTAACAGAATGATAAAGGTCTCGTACGCATATCCACCACGCTCCAATGCTCCATACGGCCATTGCCCGACCCAGGCCACCCATTGGTGACTAATGAGCACATTTCCCTTGACATACACGCAAAATCCAAACGCAAGACCTAGGACGACATAGGAAGGTATCTAACGCCCACCACATGTACTCTGTGCCTGGAGAACTTTGGAAGAGGTCTAACGAGAATGGCACTATTGAATTTCCGACATTGTGGTTGCCATCCCGATCGGGGAGGTAGATCTGTACATGTTCTAGAAGGAGGGGCAATGGGAGCGTGAAAGGGTGGGCTGCCACATGCGCAAGCCACGCAGCCACCAGGAACCACGGCGCGATGAGGGGCACGATGGGGCTAGAGAGTCTCCAGGCATCTCGTTCTCGTTTCCAAGACACATGCTTTTGAGGTACCTTCGATGATGACCTTATTCCGAGAGCAGAGCTTGTTGCATGATGGAACCATTGCACGCTCGAACCATGGCCCTCAAACTCCTAAATCCCGAGATGCTTATCGAGAGGCCATGTCGCGCACCTCTTCTTCTCATTGCAGCCTCTCGATTTTACCATTCTCAAAAGCTAGGCCGAGGCCGGAAGCTGGAAAAGCACACCCTCGCATTGCGGCTGAACACTCCACGACCTTTTGCGCTGCACCTCCTCTCGGTCTAGACTTGATCGGTGCTAACCCCTTAGTATCGGATTGCATCAAATTCATCGCATCTGAAAGCCCCGCAGGACATTTACTCGTTCTGATTCCTTTTAAGTAGATTCCGATAGATTGGAACCCCATCCGGAACCGGTGCCGGAACCGGAGCCCCGTCCCTCCGCAATTCGCCGGCCGGGAAAAGTCCGAGTCACTGACGAGCTTCGGCCTCCCGGCGAAATCACCAGACGAGACTGACCAAACACAACGAGCCAAGCTTTCTACATGACCCTACATTTAGAGGAGGGCTCATCCTTTTGTAAAGGTGCCTCAAACTTGTCGATTTCATCCCCCCAAGGAATGCCCTCTTGTGCTCCAGAGCTTTGTATTGCTATCGCAGCAGCCTTGTTCCCGCGAATAACAGCACTCTTGATATCCCAATCCTAATTTGGACTGACATCCTGGCGCAAATATTCAGACGCATATGCCCCAGCGAAGACCTCACTAGCAGTCGGTATCAGTACTTGTCACGTTAATCTCCAGAAAGGGTGACAGAGAACCACACACCCTGCTCCCATGGTATCCTTGACCGTGACGACGTACGCCGGGCAGTGCCCGTTAACTTTTCCGTTTGCATTGGCGTAGAACGCACCTTTTGCACCCAGCGTAATAACCACGTTCTTGACCCCGCCCATCAAGAACTTCTCGGCAATCTTGAGCCACGTCTTCTCTTTCACGTCGTTTCGCTTCACCTTACACATGATCGCAGCCTCAGACTCGTTGACCAGAAGGTGCGTAATGGATCGATAGAGATTGGAATTGATGGGACTTCCCGGCGCCGCACTCAAGCAGAACAGGACGCCAGCGTGACCAGCATCGCGGATCATAGCCTCAACGACCTCCTTATCGATTTTCATCTGCGCAACGATCAAGTCCTGCCAAGTCATACACCGGAACTGCCCAGCATTGAGGAAATCTCTCTTCTTCCAGGCTGCCGTTGCATCCGGGCTAGCGAGACATTGACTTTCGCGGCTAAATTCTTCGATTGTGGCAGAGCAGATGTTTGTTCGTGTGTTTGGTACCTCTTTAGTAACATCGATGCCACTCTTATCCAACTCCTCCTTGACCATCTTTCCGCTCAAGTCGTCGCCGACTTTGCCGATCATTTTGACCCGAATGGCGCCGTCGCCCTCGTGGTACGACGCTTTGTTGTGACAAGACCGGTATGCCGAAAGCGCAGTGATTGCGCCCTTGCCCCCCAAGGCTTCCTCGTACTGCTCTGCTACCATACTTTCCTCTGCATCTGGAACACGGGTCGCGACCGTGATGCGATCAGCAGCCAGCGCCCCGATAACCATGATAGTCTTCGTTTTTGGTTCCATGGTATAATCTTTAAACGCAAGGGTGCTTGAGGTGGGAAAGTCAGTGATCGGAAAACCATCGGGTTATGGCGATGATGGTCCTTTATAGGGCTGCATTGAGTGAACAGAAGGTTCTCGTTCTTTGTCTGCCGTCACATTGACCCAAGGATCCCCATGCAAGCGCGGCTCAAAGAAGTTGCGACCTCGTAATGAGATGGAGGCCACAGGCTACAGAAATCAGAACCAAGGCAGAACTTAGAACATCTTACTCGTACATCGTAAAATATCGTCTACGTTTATCGCTGTATTTATGTCTGCCTGCATGCGATGATATCTATGACCACGCCGTCCGCACCCGCCATACTCATGATCCCTCGATTTCCACTGATTCACAGTCACTCACAGCTCACCAGAACGAACCCCCTCTATCTCAACAAGCTCTCGGCTGAGGACTTCACTCACTTCTTATGACAAGAGCGGTCCATCTAGAGCGCAGCATTCGCCATCTTTGACCTTTCTACTCAAGGTTTCCTGGTAATAGTTTGCTAGAACACACTCTCCTCGATCTGGAGTCCGGGGTGAGATCACTATCAGATCAGCGTCCAGAGGCCCACCGGTTGTTATCGTCTGCGGTACCATGGTGACAAGTTCCAAGAGCGAGGTCTCTTGCTAGTAAACATGTGATGTTAACAACCTTAAAGCCGCCGGGCTGTCATGGGTGTGTCTCTCCAGAGGAGTAGGATGGACTAATTACTGGGCAGGCGTCCACTACATCGACTTCTGGTGCTTTAGAAGGCAAGTAAGCCAACACCATTTCTGTGCATTTAGTCATGGCCCTCGAAAAGGATCAATCTTGGAAGATCACACGGGCATGCACAGTATGAGAAGCTGCTTCGCTGTACAGTCCAATGGCATAATTCAAGTCATTCGATGCAATGCCACCATCGTAGGCCAAGACCGTCATTCCTACAGGCAGTCAAAAATTAGCTTGTGCTATCGCACAAGACTTGCCACTCTTTGACGGCTCAGAGGATGCTTTCTACCATGGAATAATCGGGCTAAGTTACAACACAGAACAGGGTATCATGTCAACAATCATTGAAGCAATCGGGTAAAGTATGCGGCTCCGGCGGTTAACATTCACCGCCAGTAATCATTTAAAACATGCGTTGGTAAATAAACGCACAAACGAAAGCATTCCGCATGTGTTTCCCATCAGATCGCTCTTCTCTTCATCGGTCATAGCCGGTCGATAGAGATTGGAATTCCAACAATGAGCAGCTGAATTCTGGATACCCGTAGTACACAAACACATGGTACGATTAAGATTGTTGGATCCCCAAAGGTGTACTGTGTTTACAAGATGTGCACTCCATAATTTTTTTGTGAAGGCTACGAAAGTAAGCCGTTGCTTAGAGATGAACATAACAACATGTCCTTGATGCCCTCATTGGCATACGGCGTGTAGACTTACATCAAAGGACTACTGTCGCAGCGCCACGTGTGGCGCTGCCGATTACTACCGCACGATACCGCCTTCTACAAGCCCTCGTACGGTATATAGACACGACCCTCATACGGGTCTTCCGCTTAGAGGAATCAAGCCACTCTCTACTATAAATGTCTTCCGCTTGCTACCTCGCTTCGTGATAACTACACACTGAACAATTTACTCTCCTGTACTAATCTTCAGATGACGCTTCGGAATCTGCCATCTTTATAAGCCAAGCCGAGGTCGGCGCCTGGCAAAGGCCTATACCCTCCTCGCGTTGTGGCTGCTTGCGACCAGACCTTTAGGCTTTTGCGCAGCACCTCGATCTAGAACTCATCGATCTGATGTAAACCAGTCAATGATAGCATCATACAACTCGATAATACATCTATGCATTCTCTCAAAACGTTCCAAAGCCCACAAATCCTAGCTAATCCCCTTCCCGATGGGTTGAAACCCTGCCCTCAACTGAGGTGGCCGGTGCTGTGATATTAGGCAACTAGCGCTCTCGCCCACCATATTCTGGCCAGCCAACACACAGCTGGAAGACTATTGTGGACGTTGGCTCTCGACATGAAAACACATTACGATCACTAGAAAACTGGATGAAGGTAATGATTGGATTGAAAGCTGTCCTTTCTTCTCAGAAGAAACCTAAGCAAACAAAAATAAGAAAAGAGAAAGAAGAGGACGGAATAATTGAAAAGAGACCAATTTGCAAAAAAGTCATTGGCAACTGGGATGGTCCTCGCTACCCATGGAAGTAATCCATGAACGTAATATGCCCGGGGTTACTCGTCTCGATCAGTCCAGCAGCGACTGAATCTAGAGGTATATGAAGTCGACCCTCCAGGGGCTGCAAGGCCATCGATCTCATCATACCACGGATATGGAGTACGCCCTGCCACATTCCCGGCAGCTATAGCAGCAGCTGCAGATGCAACCTTGATTGACAAGCCGAGACTGAACTCTTGACGTTTCCCCCACTTTCCTCTTTGAACCAGACAATAAGTTGAAAATACCCCGACAAACGTGTCCCTATTCACCTGTATCAGTATACCAAACAGAAGAGATGGAAGAAGGGGAGAAATTACTTACACTCCAACCTCAGTATCGTTCTCATCATAGGCACAAGAAGTCGAGGCTCCCCTGGAGCCCCAGTGATAATACCAACAAGTACCGGATGGAAGAATCACAGCCTTCACGCCAAGTTCCCGTGCTAGATGGTGAGTAGTTCGGTATGTCCCTTTCCGGACATCCGGCCCAAAATTAGCGAGCTTTTCAGCCTCCGGCTCCTTGAGTATACAATATGTAATACACTTGAAGAGGTCCTCGTCAATAGGAGACTCAGGCACCGCAGCTAGGACAACGTCAATGTCTTTGTCCTCAGCGGTTTTGAGAATAGTCTCCAAGACGTCCTTTTCGAGTTTTGCCGAAATAATGACCAAATCTGGGATGACAGAGCCTCCAAGGCTCTCAGGAGTTGTGAAATCTTCCTTTCTCCAACAGGCAGGTGTGGCCGGATGATCTTGAGGGTATCTGAGAGAGGTGGCCTGACGAGATCCTTCCATAGGCTGGGTGTTGACCGTGTCATCGGTAGTTCCGCCAAGGTTATCGAAGAGGATGTCTGTTGGTTTGTCGTCCAGCATTCTAACGCCTGCTGTCCCGATTTGTTCTTCTTGGAGTCTTGCCATGATTGCTTTGCCTGCATCGTCATTCCCGATTACACTGACCATCTCGACCTGAACAGGGCGCGGAAAATAATCTTTGAGCACTACGTTTGACTTCGGGTTCGCGCGACAGCAACGATATGCCGCAAGTGCAATGTTATAAGCGCCCTCAATGACCCCTTGTTTTTTGGGTGCTGAAACTGCCTCCTCTATTTTTACACCGGGCTCATGGAGCTTCTTCTGGTCGATAAGGATGGACATCCTGAGGGTCAGAGCCCCAATAACCCCGATAGTGTATTGTTTGGGTGCTATTTCGGGTGCTGTTTTGGGTAGCTTTCTGGGTGCCATGTTGCAATTTTGAAAGGGGAGATATTTCGTGGGAGGAGATGGTAATCGTCAAACTATGGGGTCTTAGTGGTGTTTCCTATGGATTCAAGGTGGCTGTATACCGAGGTAGAAGATTGAAGATGCTCCTTCTTGAGCGTTTACTTATAGTATCGGGATGATTGAACAGAAGATGCTCATTCTTTGATATGACTGGTAGGATTGGGACGGGCGAACAGAAGATGTTTGTTCTTGAGTGTTTGCTCCCTGAATGGGGTAAAGCAGGTGGACAAAAGGTGCTCGCTTTTTGCCTGCCCTGCGCGTATCACATCCGTCCTCTACCGTGTAAACATTGTTTCCCTCATTTCAAGGACCGCCATGCCAGAACATATCCTTTATTGATGGAAAACATTCGCTTGCTACAGTAATGCTTCTGCCATGAACCGTGGCTACCTGACAGGATCCCTCGATCTTCCCTGATTCTCAATCGCCCACAGCTCACCAAACCGACTCCCCTCTGTCTCAACTAGCTCCCGCGGGCTCCCCGTCTCAATAACACGCCCCTGGTCCATGACAATCACCGCGTCAAAAAAGTCCATCACCATGTCCAGGCGATGCGACACCATCACAATTGTATACGTCCTGAACTCCTCCTTGATAATCTCCTGCATCAATCTATCCGTCGCATGGTCGACGCTGGAGCTGACCTCGTCTAGCAGCAGAATCCCGCCGCCACGCCGCTTGAACTTGGCGTCCTTGACCCGGCGTCGCACGATCGCTCGCCCAAGGCTGAAGAGCTGCTTTTGTCCCGCGCTGAGGCTGTCGGCGCTCATGGCCTCACGTAGGCCACCGCGCTCTTCGACAAAGGTGCCGAGTTGTACCGTGCGGAGAACGGAGAAGCACTCGGCGTCTGTAGCTGCGTTAAAGGGGTCGATGTTGGACTTGATAGTGCTGCCGTCGGGGAGGAAGACGGCATCTTGGGGCACGGAGATGATGCGGCGGCGGAGAGTTGAGCGGTCGATGCGGTGGAAGGGGATGCCGTCCATCTCAATGTTCTTCGGGGAGGACGATACTGGGTCCAGAAGCCGGAGGAGGAGGAGAATCAGAGACGATTTGCCGCTAAGGGGAATGAGGTCAGGATTCGTCTGCTTCATAGCTTATGCGATGCAGAAGGCAACTTACCTCCCGGTTCTGCCACATAGGGCAACCTTCTGGCCAGACTGAATGGAGAAGTTGAGGTCTTTCAGTGCGAGATGCGGAGGAGTTGTCACGCCATCTGATTTTGCTTGTTGTTCGTTGCTATTACACAATGTCAGCGCCGTCTGCAATCGAATTGAGGCCAACTCACTTGTATGAGGCAGAGACACCGTTGATCTCGATGCGCCCGGTCTCGGGCCACTCTTCTGGCGGTTCGATATCCTCGCCCTCGAGGTCTTCTGGGGTTACCTTCTCAGAAAATGTTTTGATGCGTGAAACGGCGCCAATCGAAGTCTCGAGTTGGGTATAGAATCGGACGAGGGATGAAAGGGTTTCGCCCCACGACATCAGAGTGACTAGGGAGGCACCAGTGAACCCTGAGTTGGCTCGGAGCTGGGTGGCGAGGGTCACAAGAACGACGGCCAAACCGGCCACCATGAGCTGCATCGTAACGACGAGCCATTGTTGGATCATGGCGAGTAGATATGCCGGACGTTGCGAGGTATCTAGCATATGCTGGTTGTGAGCAATGTCCTTGTGTGCCCAGCCAAAGGCGCGTATCGTGGCAACACCCTTGATCGTGTCAAGAAAATGTGTACTAGCAGCTGTTAGTTGAAGGTCTTTCATCCGCCTGGGCTTTCGTGTACATACTAGAGTGGGCTCTTTGACTCGAGATCTAAAAGTCGCAGTTGCCGAGAAGTCCGAAGATAGAACTTCTGAATGATCCAACAGAACGCAATCAGCAACGGGTAACTAACGGCCATATAGGGCGATGCAACAGCGACCACAGCTCCCATGCCAATTGACTCGAAACCGGCAAGCACAGCATTGAGCAGCGCCATTGGTAGCTCGTTGTCGATGAGTGTCATGTCCTGGGAGAAGAGGTTGGTGATGACGCCAGAGTCTGTAGTGGTGAAGAACGTGAGAGGCGCATGGATAACAGTCTTCAACGCTTGCTGGTGCAGAATGGTGCCGGAGGAGGTGGTCATGTAGATAATCAAAGCGACACCTGCCACCATGAGAGAGACGAGCTGCAACGCCTTAAAGAGGCCGAACAATCCAACATAGTATCCACTGCTTTTGTGGAGAGTATCTTCGGCCCAGTACTTCATCCAAATCGTAGGAAATTGGTTCCAAATGGAGTAGGACGCGGAGAAGAGAACGAATATGATGGTTGACGTTAAGCTCAGACTACGGAAGTAGTGGGCATAGACCCTCACGTCTCCCGTTTGTCTCGATTTCTCCATCATCTCGTCGGCAACGGCCGGAGCACGCTTCGCTTTCGGAGGTTGACCGGCGGTAGGTTTGTTAGAAGTCTCAGACCCAAAGTCGGAATCGGTATCAGAGTCTGTAGCCTTCACCCCAAGACTGGCGACATACTTCTTATCACGCATCAGGTCGGCAAAAGTACCTTCCTCAGCAAGAGTGCCATCGGTCCCCAGGGCAATGATGTGGTCTGCCAGTGGTAGATACTTAATTGCATGTGTGCAAAGTACTGCTGTTGCTTTCCGTCGCCGGATGATTCCGTCGAGCCCAAACACCCTTCTAAAGACTTCAGACGCTGTGTCATTGTCAAGCCCGCTCAGGATATCGTCGAAAATCAGGAGGTCGCTGTTCAAATACAGTGCACGGGCTAATGACACGCGCTGCTTCTGGCCACCGCTGAGCATGATCCCGTTGCTTCCAATTTTCGTATCGTCACCATATGGAAGAAGCAGAAGGTCCGTGTATAGCATACATGCGTCGATGATCTCGTCGTATCTGGCTTGGTTGAAAGTTGACCATCCGACGATATTATCTTTGATGGAGCCGTTTGACAGGAACGGATTCTGCTCGCAGTATCCGATGGCAGCGTTGCGTGATGGCACGGAGACTAAGCCAGTGTTGAACGGCACTTCACCTAGGAGAACCTTGCACAGGGTGGACTTTCCTGATGCTACAGGCCCAACCACGAGCGTGAGCTGGGAGGCCGGGATAGAGGCCGTGATGTTCCGGAGAACCATCTTGTCTGCTGTCCAGCCGAAGCTGCCATCGACAAGAGAAATTGCGGGCCTCGCGCTATTGGATTCGGAGTCTTTCCGATCGGGGAAGGTTTCCAGGGAAATGCCATCCGAGTTGTCTCGAAATGGGCTCTCGTCGGATGACCTCTCCTGAAATGCCGAAGGATGGGCAGATTGCCGGAAATCGATACGGGATTCTCCTTCGAGATACCTTTGAATACGATTAAGGCAAGTAAAAGCGGCAATAATGGTCGGAATAGACTGGAAAAGCTGGCCCAAAGGATTGTTGAGAAGGACCAAGAATGAGAATGACGTGAAGATGGTGGTAGTGTCAAGGCGTTCTTGCGCGAAGACGAACGTAATTGCGGGAGAGAGCATGCTCGGGGCGAGTGCAGCAAGCGCCGTGACAATGATCAGCCAGCGGAATTGATTGCCGATGCGCATCTCCTCAACACGCATTTTCTGGACGAACTCTGCGACAGGCTGTGTGATGCCAGAGATGCGGAGATACTTCATGTTGGAGATGACGTTTGCGGTGAGTCCAACACGCTTCTGAATCTGGGCCATCCAACGAGACTGGCGTTCGCCGGTGAACTTGGCCACAGCAGCGGTGACACCGGTGCACACGAGAATGACAATGAGAGGCGCAACGAAGGCTGTACCGAGCTGGCCCTGTAGTAGCCAACACCCAAGTGCGATCTCAATAAAGTTGGCCCAGATTTCGTGCAGACTGTAGAACCCACGAACGATGCGCTCGGTGTCGGTGCTCATGAGAGTTACTGCTGCCGCATCGCCAGTGTCAGTGAGTGCGGCTTCGGTGGTCTTCTTGTAGATGATTGCTGATAGGCAGCCTCGAGACATGTACAAGGCTCGCTGCTGAAAGTAGTAATAAAGAGCCGTAGAGACGGCGATTCCGGAATAGATCATGACAGCAGCTCCGATAAGACCGTAGCTCATATTCTTTGACGCATTGTCATCTTGGAGGTACTCGAGAAGAGTTTGAATGAAGAACGGCTGGCTGAAGCTGAATCCGATGAGGGCAATCCGTGGAGCGATAGGCAAGAGTAGAGGAACAGCCAATGCCTTGGCTAGGTCTCTTGCGAGCCCGTGGTTTTTGCCTCGGTTCTTGCCCTTCTCAAGTTCTTGAGCTAGCGTAACTTGCATCGTCTCGGCTATCATGCCACGGTCGAGAGCATACAAGTCGCTTACCTTCAGGACGTTGTGATATCCATGGAGGAAAAGGCGATTGAGCCACCAGTAGACGCCGAGGCTGAAAAGGCCGCTTGTCTCTTCCGGACTATGTTCTTCGGCGGTCCAGCGGATCCATCGTGACTTCTTCTGGGCCTCGATGATGAGGATGGCGACTTTGATGACCAGCGAGGCCGTGAATAGTCGTGCGAATAGTTGAGTCGAAAAGGTTCTGGCAATCAACCATGACGTCCTCGTTTGAGCGATGTCAAACAGGATTTGGAGAAAGACATAGCCAGTCAAAAGCAACGAGGGTCGAGGTGCTCTGGAGTGTTCGGCATACGAGAGTCCAACCATGAACAGAGCGGCAAGGAAACCAAGAGCTGACGCCGAGGCGGCAAATCCATCGATGCGAGAGCCACTCGATGTCGTCTGGAGGATGAGAATTGCAAATTGAAGTGTGGCAAATACTGTTATTATGCCCTAAAAAGAGGGAATCGTTAGAACGGAAACTTGAATAGACTTTGCCCAGAATCACCATCTCTTACCAATTTGACTGTTTGAAATGTTTTGGCGCCGACAATGCGCGGCTTGCGCGCAAGGTAGGCAACTCGCGGAAGCGAGAGAGCGACAAAAACGGCTGCGGGGATGATGGCTAAGAAGATCCTCTCGAACCGGAGAGTAAAGTCAAAACCGCCGCGGCAGCCTTCAACACTAGGCCCGAGGGAGTCGTCGTTGAGACATCTCGAGCTCATCATTCAGACTAGGCTTCACAGTGAGCGTCGATGCAATGGCTTGTCCAGGGTACGCTATTCGTTGAATATGCTAGGGGTTAAGGGTGAGTCGAACTCAATGGCTCGAATGAGTGTGAAAATCGTTTTGCAGAGGCAGCGTGGCTGAGCAATTCGAAAGTTGTGAAAAAACTGACAAAAATCAGGTCGACTAATAAAGAGGCTTGTCAAACAAGCTTAAATGATCGCACCCCGACGATGACCGGGCGCGCCACGAGGTTGAGCTTACTTCCTAGGCCCGGCATTGATGCATGCCTGTTGACTCACGTCAGGCTACATCCCTTTGATTTGACCAACAAGTTTGCGCAATTTCTGCCAAGTTGACGCGGAGCCTAAGCGAAACATAGATGCCTTGCAAGACTCGTACACAGGCTATGAGGCCATGTCGTCGTGTTGGCGGCGAAAACTGAGAATGTAAGCACTGAGATTGTCATTGGGCTTTTGGTGAGCACACGCTGGCATTGCACCCAGAGAGTCGGCGGGACATGGTGCCGGTTCATGTCAGACTGCAGCGATTGCTGAGCTCGCACCGGGTAACAGCCGACGCGCCATGTCGAATGAGGAAGGTCGAATGCGTTCGGAGCATTGCTTCGTAGTTTCTCTCACGGAGGAGTCATGGAGGCTAGAGGATAGCACGGCGCGACCAACAAAAGTTCTGCATTGAAGAAGACGCGCGGAGGCTCTAATCTCTTCGGACCGCCTCCGACTGGGACACCACAAGTTGTGACTGTGATGTTCAAAGTTCGAGCTTGACTTTCAGGGTTCGATCTCCGCCAGAGTGAGCCCGGAGTCTCCGTATCAGGCTTCCGCATCTAAGGACCATGCCTGCCAGATCGATAGGTATGATTACGATCCTTGCCAAGAACACCTTCGCCGCCAAGGCGATCCTTGGTCGGCCGAAAGAAGGGACCTCTGGTATCCACACCGCCGGCCGTCTCAGTCGGGAGGGTTTGGCATGGTTTACGTGGTGTCTTGGGGCAACATCCACAGCTACTACGGCTGATGACGACTGATTCCGAGATTGCTGACAATTTTGACACCTGAGATTAGATCTAGCGTGAAAAACGACTGCAAGAGTGTCAGGGTAGACGCGTTGGCATGGTGCAGTCAACACTTTCGCAACCACGAAGCTGATGACGAGTCCAACAATTGCTGATCGTGGGATACTGGTAGGCTGAAATTTTACGACTGTTTCTACGTCTGTTAATTACAGTAAAAAGGACCGTCATCCCGTTGTCTGTCTGACCAACTTTCGCAACATGAAAAGGGACACTGCGGTCATCATCTATCTGATGTACTCCGTATGCAGCATTGCATTGGTCGTTACACAGGGGTAAGGCGGGCAGTTGGAATTCGAAGTTTTGATGCGGACGTGACGGTTGGCGGGGTTGGCCCTACGAAGTACAGTGCGGGGAGATTGACCGGGAATCTCCCCAGTCCTGATTACCTAATAGAGCACTGGTCGGATGATATTATATAATATCTCGGGGGAAAGAGTCTCCTGGCTTCCGGCACAGCCACAATGAGAGCATCACCAGCCTCAACCTCACGCCATGTTCATGACAAGATCTTGCGCCACACCAACTCCCAACTCCCAACTGAGAAGAAGAGTTCGAGTGCCGTCAGCTGAGTACAGCTGGTCTCTGGCCAAGAATCCGAACCCGAACCGAGCTGCTCGCGTCGTATTGCTGCTGCAGATTCCAGTACCGCTGTGCAGCTGCCAGCACACTGCAGAGCACAGCACATGCCCAGGGCCACAGACAGCTTCCGGTCGGCCTCGCAAGCTGAAGCTGATCCCTCCAACCTGGCGTGCCTGGAAGAATGCTGTCATCTTCCCCGGCCGGCACCGCTGTCCGATCCTCGGAGCACATAGGATCGGCCACGCTGCCAACTCCTCAACAGCCTGCCAAGCTCAGCGTCAGGCGATGTATGATTCCAAGACCGAGGCAATACCATCTCCAACCAGACCAAGCTAAGCCGAGCTGACCTTGGAATCTGGCGCTCCTGAGGTGGACTGATTATAGATCCAAGAACAGAAAGCATTAAAAGACCAACAACTCCTAGGGGTTTGCAGAGTTTGGGCACACCGTCACGTACCGTATTAAAACCTAACCATCACGAATACCAGTCATACATAGACACGTCAGGCCTTTAATTCACCAACAACTTCTAGGTTGAAGCAGGCGCAATTAACCGCCGGTCATCTACGCAAACATAAACACGAGCACCTCCCCGAGAATCCATTATTGGATCAAAGCCTCAAGGAACTCGTTAAAACCAAACCTGTCACCTTGAGACAGACCCAATTCGAAAGCTATCGATACACCCAGCAGACACCCTCAAAAGACCACAAGAACGCCCAGCATGTGCATCGTTCTACTCACTACCACCCACCCGGACTATGCCCTCATCGTTGTCGACAACCGGGACGAGTTTATCCTCCGCCCAACGTCCCGCCCGCACTGGTGGACTCATCCTTCCGGCGCCACTGTCCTCTCTGCCCGCGACCTTCAAAGAGCGGAGAAGGGCACCTGGCTCGGCATCACCAAGACCGGCCAACTCGCAGTCCTCACCAACTACCGCGAGACAGATATACAGGATGCCAACCACCCCATTCACGCTGCCCGCAGCCGCGGAGGCATGGTCACCGCCTGGCTGGGATTCGATCCCGCAGAGCCCGCCCCAACATCGGTCAATCATCTCGTCAAGGATGGGGGTGTGAAGGGCGTCGGCGGTTTCTCCATGGTGGCTGGCAAACTGAAGCGAAAGCGTGGTACCGACGAAAAGCCTGAACATGCGCTCGAGGGCATCGCCATTATCTCCAATCGGTGTGACGAACTGCAAGACGTACCGTGGATCGGAGAGCAGCGAGGTGAGGTTTACGGTCTCAGCAACACCGTGTACGATGATCCTAAGCCGTGGCCCAAGGTTGAGAATGGAAAACGTTTGATCAAGGAGGCCATCCAGGAAGCTGTCTCGAACAATTTGGACGAGGATGCTCTAGCTGAGCGCCTGTTCAAAGTCCTGGACACCGATACGCTGCCCAAGCACCCAGATATGAGCTTGTCGGACTACATCAAGGAGTTGAAGCAATCCATCTTCGTGCCGGCCCTGGGCGACGAGAGTCACCGCAAAGCCATGGAAGAGGCAGTCTCCAGAGGCCCGGGTCAATGGGCTACGGATGACCAAAAGGCAGCCGAAGGCCTGCAGCTGGGTGAACGACCCGATCCTCCTGCCCAAGGCACCATGGGCTTCGAGGTGGGGTTGTACGGGACACAGCGGCAAACCATCATCATGGTTGACTGGGATGGCAACGTGACATATCGCGAGAGAGCATTGTGGGACGGCAATGGCAACGTTATTAAAAGAGGCCAGGGTGACGAGGTATTCAAGTTCAAGATTGAGGGATGGGAGAACTGAAGTGTCTGGCTCGCATCGAGACGTTACTAGATGTAAAGGGTCCTGCATCATCAATGTCGGCGCTGGAAGTCGTTCTTGCCCTACGCATCATGACACGGCATAGTTTAATGAAGTAAAGATTTATGAGCACTTTTCAGCCACAGTGAGAGCGATGATTAGAGAGGGAAGTGACGCTTGGTAAACACACCAAGATGCGGCAGAGGCTGCCTCCGCCACCTGTGGTGGCATCAACATCACGGCAGGGGCGTCAGGAGAACTTAACGATGATGGCAATGATAACAGAACTTGACCTTCCTCGATGATGCAACTCTCTTTCTCTCTCTCTCTCGCTCGGCAAGAGCTGCATGTGAGTCGACATCTGTTCAAGGGCCTCGACCGTGCACCCGATGTCGACGCGTCCTCCAAACATCCAACAACATCAGAGCACTTTTTCATCTGAACCTCACCTTTGGCTCACCACCTTTGGCTCACCTCGCCGCGGCTGCAATTCACCGCTCTGACTGCGTATTCCAACACTGAAATTCCCTTCTCGTCTGATCTGATTCTTTTAATTCACTTTCTTCTCCAGACAATGTCCCCCGCCGGGTCCGGATCGCTTGGCCTGGTCCTACTCGCCCACACCGCCCGCTGCATCATCACGACTTCCCATTTTTGCATCGACCTGGCCAACGCCAACCTCAGCCTTTTTGCTCTTTGGGCCAAGTCTTGTTTTCTTGCGGCTACTCTCAACTTCCTCTCATTCACTCAGTCTATCAACATCATTGTTGCCGCTTCAAAGCACACACTTGTTGCCAGCCAGGTAACTATCACAGTCCTCATTTGGGCGATTCCCTACCTCATTTTCCTCGAGTGCATCATCTACCTTGCCGCATTCATCATTCTACTGGAAAAATGCGAGACCGTCTATCTACATCTTCGTTCCTCCCGCTTCGGAACCGCAATTCTCGGACACCAAAGCACACCACGTCGCGTCCGACTATCTCGGGACCTGTTGGGCCTGTCCAGCGTAGCAGCGGACCGGATCTTGAGCGTGCCGCAGCAATCACCGTCGTTTCGAGCATCAACGACACCGAAAAGCAATTCCCAGCTATCTCACGGCCGGAGACAGACGCTGATTCGGGAATCGGCCATTCAGCTCTTGGCTCTAATCGACAAGGCGATAATCTCAAGACTTCCCAAACAGGCAAAGGTGATGGAGCCCTCGAACGTGTCAATCCCAACCATCGAAAATCCCAAGGAGGTACCTGCCCACCTCTTCAGCGGCAAGGCATCATTTCCGGTCGTGGAAGCTACCAACCATATCTCACTTCTCAAAGACATGCTACTGTCCAAGATCGTCGAGTCTTGGGGGAGATTTCCCACGCCAACGCTAACAACACGCGCATTCCATCTCCAGATGAGGCCGCTCTTGCGCAGTGTGGGAGAATTCGTTCCCAAGAGAACCAGCTCGTACCACCATCGGAAACAGCAGACCAAATGTACCTGGCAAGATCTCATGGAGTTCGACGACTCTCAGCCAGCTTCACCACAGGAGGACCGTTGTCCAGCAACCCGACTGTCGCCAGCTTCCCCGTCACCGCCATCACGGGTGGCGCACACCTGCCAGGGCAGTCTTATCTACCCGTGTCGTCCGAAAACGAAAGAGGTGCGAGCGATGCGGTCGAAAGCTCCGGCGGAAGCAGCCCTATTCTCAAAGGTTCTCAAAAGCAGTCGAGATTGCCAGAACTAAGCGGAGTAGAGAAGAAGCGGCTCCCCAAGTCTCGCACTCTTACCGTTCTGTCAAACCTCACAGCCTCTCTCTCAAGAACATCTTTAGCGAGCTTCACCGGAAGCGACCGGAAGGCCTCACTTCAGACAGTGGCTTCTCGCAAGACCAGCAGCTCTTCGACTCTGACAACGACCATTCCTACAAGAACCCCCACACCCGTTACTCCTGAACTTAATCCACTCATTATCACGACAGCGCAGCCATCGGCTTATTGGTCGGGTCGTTTCATGTCTTTACAGGATCGTTTCCAAGGCGAATCCCTTCAAGAGCAGACTCTATCAATCTTTGTCACAGCCCACGCCTCCAAGGCCAGTATTCTCGCTCAACAACGTGCCACCTACCAAGGCCGTGGCAATCTTCCCCTAAGCACCACAACGGCCCTCGACCGCTACGGTACTGCGGCTATCCAAGAGGCTAAGCGACTTTCAGACGAAGATAATCGGAGTCTTCGCATCTTCCTGCACCTTCAAGCACTCTGCGGTACGCCCGAGGCCCAGAAAAGCTTACACGCATGGCAAGAGGCATATGCTCGGAGGATGGGACGCAGTATCCTCCTGCCAGAAGGTACAAACTCGGACAGGGGATTCGTTGCGCGGCTCTTTAGTGGAAGCGGAGGCGGAAGGCGAAGTATCGGCAGCTCCCAGGTGGAGAGAGATGCTGGCAAGGGTAAACAGGGGAATGTCATGCGAGCAAGCATTATGTGATGATCTGAAGTACATTGTTAGCGAAGGGTTATTGTGAATCATGACTATCGGCGTTTTCATGTTGGGCTTGTTTGGACTCGGGGAGACGGAGTCATAATCGCATGGTTCGACTCGGTCAAGAAGAGCATTTGTCGGACAGGAGGAGTGTATGAAGAAAGGACCCTATGTCCTTGCATTGTGTTAGATGGCGTTCACCAGACATGAAGGTTATCAGGGACGAAAAGTTAGCTGCAAAAAACAATACCCATTTACTTTCTACACCAGCCTGAACCGTCCTCCATACCAAAAAACGCCTGCTAATGCATGTAGTCGCCCTGCAATATCCCGGGTGCCTCTAGACCTGTGCTTAGGTCTGTCTATGTCTCTCGGAATAGCACCATAGCGCCTTTGTCTAATCTTCAGCCTTCTTTCTCAACTTGAGGTAATCCCTGATTTGCTCGTGCTTGCTAGCAAAGAACATGCCAAGCTTATCGTTGCGCCATGTCAGTACGCCAATCTCTGCCGCGTAGCCCGCGATGTCCTCGTACTCCCTAGGACTGTCAAAGTCGCGGAACAAGAAACCGCTCGTGGTCGTCATGCGTTCCGTCTCGAGCTGCCACAGCCGGATTTGGTCGACGACGGTGGGCGGCAGGACGGGCCGATTCCGTACCGCGGCCATGCGGTGCATCTGCTCGTGGGCGTGGGCGGCGAGATACGAGATGATCTGGTCGGCTGTTATGCCGCGCTCGACGGCGTTGCGGATCGAGTTACGCGTGAGACGCCCCGATACCATGTCGGAGAAACGTAGCTTGAGCTTGCAGAAGAGTGAGAGGACGGCGATTTGTAGTGGGGTCTGGCCGTAAGCGTATATGCGGTAGTTCGTCTCGACGATGATGCTGCCGCCCTTGTTCTCCTCGCTTCCGCCGGGGGTCAGGCCGTTGGAAGGCCTTGGGCCGGTGGCTGCCGCAAGGGCAGCAGAGAAGCCTGCGCCTGCACTACGGAGGGCGCTGGAGCTGCTCGTGAGCGTCGTTGCCAAGCGGGTCGGGAAGTATTGTTGGGTCTTGTGCTGCGGGATGTAGATGAGGCCGAAGTCGAGAAGACTGGGGAGCATATTGCGCCGTGGTTCAGTGAGAGCCTGGGTGTCGTAGGCCCTGCCGAGCTCGAGACTCGCGAGGAGGAATAGGAAGCTGAGTGCGTCGGTACTCTCCATTCCCGTGACCGCAGAGGCGTGCTCGGTGGCCTCGAGCCAGAGCAGCAGCAGGGTCCAAACCTGAGCGTTTGCCTCCTGGAGGAGGAAGGTGAAGCCGGCCTGTGTGATGCCGACGGCACCATTGGCGCGACGTACGAGCGCGCCCGCGGCGAGCAGATCCTTAACAGACGCCTTAGGTCCGCTGACGTCGGCGCCGCCGGGGTTCACGGTGTTGACAATGTAGTGGAGGATGTCCTCCCACTTGCGACGGGCGTAACGGTCGAGGAACGGGACGGTGATTTCGGGCGGGACGGGGAGGGACGAGGGCACGCCGAAGGAGTTGTGAGATCCGCCGCCTTCGAGGGCGAGGCGCAGCGAGTTTTTGAAGTTTGTCGTGAGCTGCATCTCTTGTGGACGTTCTTTCGAGGGGGCAGTGATTTGGAGAATGTGTAGGCTGCGAAGGGTCGAGATTGCTTGGTCTTTTTGCCTGAGAGCAAGATGGTGTGTCAGACGGCTAGAGTATGTCACTAATGGGAGTCCGGCGCGCACCTTCTTGAGTCTGGCTTGACCCAAACATCGAGATCCTCTAGTAGCATAGGCTGCGGCATGTATAGAATAGCCATGACGATGGTTTTGGCTGGGCTTCTAGGTCAGCGACCTTGCTCTCTTTCCAACGCAACAACTCAATGCCCTCAGTTATCGATTCAAGGGGAGTTCAGGGCTTCTCACCCAGCGGCGGTATCATCCTGCGGAAGATGGCAAAGGCCGTAGAGGGCTGCAGGTACAGCTTCCTAAAGGTCGTGCCGGGCAGCTTCTCCAGGTAGTCGGCCAGCTGGAGCGATTGACCCGAGCTGACCGACATGATGGGCGATTTGCGCGCTGGTTTTTAAGGAGAGGAGAGCAAAAGTTGGGATTCGTCGATTATCTCATGTTCGTATGGGCGGCGCGAGGTTTCAGACTCGAGTTCGGGGTCGTGTGGGAGTCGAGAGTGGTGGTTTGTCAAGTTTACGATGGTTTGCGACCAGGCGAACTGCACGGCGCAGCGATCGTTCAATCATCAACTGGGCAGGGGTCTGCGGAGGTTTCCGCCTTAGGCAGGGGCTCTCGTGGGTGGTGCCTGACTGCCCTGGAGCTTGTGTTTCTTATCTTATCGAGATACCGATAAGATTTGTTATCAGCCAGAGATAGGTACGCACTGCACTTGGCCGCACGTCATGTTCCCCGTCGCGACTCCCTTCCCGAAGCTCGCCGAGTTCACCTTGCAGCTCATTCTCACCAATTTTTGTCCCTTTGCTCACCTCTAAAGTCATCAGGATGCCTCCAAAGCTGCCGCCATTGCGCTTCGTGCGCTCAGTGAGTTTCTGGGTTATAGATAGGCCGCCAATTGAGTCTAATCACCCATCAGGTCTTCAACTCCTTCACAAAGGACTCTGGACTTGAGCCGAGGTAAGCTGGCTTGCACCGGTTCTAAATCGCATCAACTAATGAGTACTGACATAACATAAGACTTCTTGGCAACAACGTACGATTGAATCTCCACAACTATGCGCGATGATTTACTCACTTTCTAGTAGTTCCGGGTGACTGGCGCATCGGTAGGCAAGGTCGACTTTGAGTTGGCAATTCAGAAGGAGCACACAGTATGTCTCATCCAGCAGCAAATATGACCAATCGCTGATGGATAATTTCCCATAGAATCGTCTCTCCACGATTCATGGCGGAACCCTTGCTAGTCTTGTTGACCTCGGTGGCTCTCTCGCCGTCGCTTCCAAGGGACGGTTCATGACTGGTGTCTCGACTGACATTAACGGTAAGCGTTCATCTTCATCTATCAGGGCTCACGACATACTTCATGGTCAGTATTGTATCAGTTAGCTAACTGCAATAGTCACCTATCTCAACCCCGGAGGCAAACCTGGCGACATCATGACGGGTACAGCTACATGTGACAAGAGTACGTAGTAGCCCCCTTGCAATGCAGCTGGGCTCAAGCTGACCTCTCTTAGTGGGAAAAACGCTTGCATACACGACAGTCACATTCTTCAACAATAAGGGCGAATTGGCTGCAAGAGGAAGCCACACTAAGTAAGACGCGTCCACAGACCGACCCAGCACTTTGCTGACTTATATCTAGGTTCATTGCCAAGACCTGGGGGTCAGAGGACTTTGTTGCACCCGACGAGTATGTTGTTGAGGAAGAAAAATGAAACACATGGTGAACCCAGAGTCCACGGGCTGCATTTACACAAGTCAAGGTAGATGGAGGTATATTGTATTAGATGTCGGGTTTCCGTAAGTTAGAAGCATTGAGTATCATCACACATGTCTGGTATCCTGCTGTCCTTCACCCTTCCCTATCTCGCAATCACAACCTGGGGTATCCGCCGCGCCACATTAGGGTCTACCAGCGAGAACAGATTTCCGGATGGACAGTTCGCACTTTGCTGGCTGTCCAAGATGTCATCACACAACTGAAGATCTTCGGTTGGCAGTGGTAATGTGGGCTCCCAAAGCCTCTTCATCTCCCAACTTCGTGGGCTGCGCCAGATTTCCGCGCGTGTTTAGGCCGTACTTGTCCTTAGTGGCCAGCAAGTAGAGCATGAAATAAACTGCGAATACGCCCAAGATGCTGATGACTATCGAGATAACGTTGAGCCAGATGTTGGTGTCGCTGTCGTAGAAGACGTATCCGTATCTCGAGTAAAGCGACGTAAAGAGCGACCAAATTCCACGGAGAAGCCACACAATGCTGATTGCGAGCGCAAGGTTCGAAGCCTAATCCAGAAATATTAGCATTCAAACTCCATTCGCAGCCGCATCTTCTGATACTGAGGGGAGGGGGGGTGAAAACAAAGCAAAAACTGACCTTGTGCAGAGGACCCTTGAGGGCCTTCTTGCGGACCAGGGCAACGTATGTGACGGCGCCAATGGCGCACAAGAGGTTAAAGATGCCAATCACGAGGTCGAAAATCTGAGCCACCAGTCTTCTCATCATCACGTTCTGGTATTCGCCATTTCCATAGGCCCAAGAATAATAATAAGCGTCTCTAGTGGAGATCCACAGGCACATTCCCGTGAAGCTGAGCAGTGAGATTAAAATGACTGCGCCGACAGAGAATTTCTTGCCGATTCGATAACGTTTTGAGGTCTCGTCGGTGCGGAGGAGGGTGATAGCCCGGGCAAGATAGAAGAGTGCCAAAAAAGTCAAGGCCTGGCTGACGTCGAGCATCCAATAGAGGATGTTCGTGGTGTACGAGATAAACTTGGCCAGTGAGGAGTAGTAGTCATAGGAGCTCCCGTTTGCGAAGGAGATGATGCTGACAATGACATGAATGAGTTCGGCGCTGGATACAGTTGAACACTAACGTTAGTTGCCATCAGATAGACGGAGTTGGGGTGCTTACAATAGCCAAAGCCCCATGGCAGCTTTGGTGATAGCCACCCATCGGCGAATGGGGTCATGATAGCCTCTGGATGTTTTTCGGAGAAGAGAAACGAATAATACTAGACCCGCGATAACAGCTAGTCCAAGCACAACAGTGTACACGATCGCCACGATAATTTGGATGTCCATGTAATTCATGTCTGAAGAAGTATGATCCGGTCCTCCTATGTAAGTCCTTGGTCCGGGTGTATCGTGAGTATTTCGATCAGATATGGTGTTATTGTTGCTGGGCAAGACCGATGAATGATAAGATAAGTATTACAGGTAAGTTTAACTTTCTCTCTTGACTTAAGTATCACAAACACGCCTGAGTGATTTTGCGACCGAGGCCTGCTCTACCATCCGCTCAGGGTTCTCGCATACAATTCTCTCACCCCGGCCGGGCGAAGGAAGCCTGGCGCATGCTGTGCCGCACTAGCCCCGGGCGTCTTGCGGTTCTGCCCACCCCGCCCGATTCCCACTCTGCCACCCCTTCTGGGCGCAACACATAGCTCTGCCACTACCAGAGAGGCCTTGTATTCATTGCCAAGAAAGCCGAACGGCCGAATCACTGTGATTTGACGTACATCGAGGGCGGTATCTTTACCTAGGAAGTCACTGTTGACCACAGCCTCTCACCGTCACAAGTCGGCGTCTGTGGCGGAGCCGTAGAAAATGGACAGGCACTGACTTGGGCTGGTGACCGTTACTTGCAAGGCTCACGCCCTCATGTTCATCCCCCATGGCTCGTTCCTGGTCATTCGCCAGCCCGAGGAAGCTATTGACTTAAAACCAAGCCTCTTTTCTAGCTTAATTCAAGCTTAATTCCTCTTCCCCTGGGAAAATTCGAGGTCGCAGCCCAAGTCCCAGTAGCAAATGTCATCACGTAAATATTCTCAAAGACGACACTGAGTGGTTGACTTTCTGCAACACTTCGCAGTTAATGTGGAACCGATGATTTATCGCTAAACAAGACCCTAGCTGACTCTCACGACATGAACAGAGAAAAGCGATATGCCTAAACTCTTATCCCAAGGGAATCCATCATCCGTCTTCGCAAGGGTGATACTTTGTCTCAGCATTGATTGCAATTGCCTGGCTCTTTGCTGAGCACAACGGCATCATGATCGGGCACTAAATGCTGCAACCCGTGAAGCCATAGCGCCTTGGCAGTGTGCTAAGCCCCTGGCAAAGCCCCGTTGTCTAATAACGATAGAGATGATAGGCTTACTTTTCCTTTGAGCAACTACATTCCATTCAACCTGTGGGCGAAAATGGACGGCTGCAGCGAGAGTGGGAAGGTCTCGGGCGACGTGACGTGGAACGACTGATGCTGAGAAGTAGATCGTGACTTCGAATGGGTAACGTAAGTGTGTTCAACCGCTAGATGCTTTGCGGTATCCGCACGGGTACCACAGCGGTGTAGAGATGATCTCTTACTTCCCTTCATCTGATTTATCATGCAGTCCTTCCAGGAGTTCAACATATGATACACATGCAGGCAAGTGGTTCGGCAACATGCACCCCAAGCCGTCAATCACATTGTGAAGAGCAAACGCGAGGACGAATGGTAACAATCCATTTTGATATGTTCATAGCCCCGGGAGTAAATACAAGAAGACGCAACTGGCACGAGTATTCAGCAGCTCCACCAACTAGCACACGTTGGGCCCGGCCTCCAGGGCCGAAGCAACGGTCTCGGCAACTGCATCGTGGATGGGGTAAGTAGGATGCAGCGTGTTGAGCCAGAAATACTCGTTGACCGGGTAGGTGCAGCTGTCGATAAGGGTATCCTGAGCAGTCGTACCGCTGTTCAAAGGTTAGCTTGTCACCTTCTGTCCACCAGGATCTTCGATCTCAAGGTTGACTTACTCCTTGTACGCGTCGCAGTAGCCAGTGGTGTTCTTGTACCCTTTGGTAGAATCGAACTTGGCAACGTTGTCAAGCACACCGTTGAACACCCCGTTGGCGTCAACAACCCACGAGTTCGCACCCCCCCACGTCGTAACATTCTTTGCCATGGCGTTGATCCTGCCGTTGAAATCAGCAACGTCATCCTTGCAAAGCTTCTGCGCGTCCGCATTCTCAGCAAGGAGCATCGGCGTCCGGTCCACAGGCGGCGTCGTCAACCACACAAAGTTCCTCGCGCCCGCCTCATACAGCTCGTTTGCCAGGCCTTGGTAGACGTCGACAATCTTCGTATTCAGCGCAGACGTAGCGTCGGCGCCGTTCCAGTACGAGTTGCCGATATCGTTCACGCCGATCCAAAAGGCAAACACAGAGTCCGCGCCGGTCCAGGTAGGGGCCGTCTTTGCAGCGTAGGCGTTGCTGAAGAGCGTCTGGACCTGGTCCTTGAGGGTGAGCACTGTGTCGGCGTAGGGCTTGACGAGGTCGGCGTCGACAGTAGCGCCGCCGTAGGCGAGGTTGTAGGTGTACAGGAGGGATGCGTTGTGCTTCACGGTCAGGTAGTCAACCCAGTTTGGGCCGTTGCATGAGGTCCAGCCCGGGTAGGAGGGGTTGGGGGCTTCGAGGGAGGTGTTGAAGCCTGTGATATGTTAGCTACATGATGATGATTCGAGGCCGCCAAGTATCGTGCCTGTTTGGGAATATGAGTCGCCGCTGGTATATGTTAGCTTGTCTGTAAGATAGACTGTAGGAAGTGGCATGCCTACAAGACAAAGGCGTGCTTGACATTCGCGAAGCCAGGCCACTCCGCCGTCGCGGTACAGGCACGCTTCTCAAGAGCGCTCGCTCCAGCAGCCAAGAGGCTGGTCGTCAAGATTTGCGACTTCATCGTGCCCTGCACCTGTCAAGAAAAGAATGCGATTTCAAAAACGAACGACTTGGTTGGAACGAATGGAAAGACAGGCGGGGATGCGGTAAATCACCCTGAATGATCGACGGGTCCCAGCAACACCTATATAACAGGATCGCTTGCGTACCTGTCATGACGGGAAACTCGCTCCTCGAAGGGGGCTTGACATTTAATCTACACCTTACCAGACCCATTAAGCCCCCAGGGCCCCTCAATTAACGGAAGGGAGCGAAAAAGCTTGGGACCCTCCCGGGACCCCGGGTCCTCGGATTGCTCCAGGGGCGGGGCATCGTCTCTTCTTCTTGGCTACCTGGACTCGAAGTCCTGAATGCCCTCTGCCAATGTAACCGAAGCAGCATTTCAGCAGGTGCCTCAGAGAACTCTCTGGATGGCCAGCACGGCAGCTGAGTCCTCGCCACATTGGAGCTCAAAGTCTTGCTTGGCGAGGTAGTCAGGGGTCGTCGAATTCTTCTCGTTCATCCAAACACCACCACGAGTCGATCAAAGTGTGGAGAGCAAAGACAAATAGAGTGAAGGTGGGCCAGTGTGAGACGGGACGAAACAGGGATTAGGAGATTGGATATCACGTGCGCGGAGGAGGCCCCTCCGCTTCGCTAGGATGGTGCGACAAGTTGCAATATCATCGTACACATGATTCCGTAATCAATGACTCCATGTTCTGGATATGGTTCCCGTCGTTGACAGTGAGACACCGCCGAACAATTGTTCGTCCCCGAATTGAGGAATAGCAATTCGCTTCTAAAGTTGATCCGAGCCTCAATAGGTTTGGTCGATTCAAGAACAGCCTCGTGGAAGAGCAATGAGGCCCGATAAGCTGTAACGAAAGATAGCCATAATAGGATGATCGTGTTAGGTAATACATGAGAAATCGATGATAGGCGATTGATTATTCGGTGATTCTCTTCTATCTGCAGGTTATTGAGTCTCTAGCCACAACTTCCGAGTATGATTCTTTGTGCTATTCTCCTGGCCGCGAAGAGATGGACACTGCCTCGCAGTCTCTAGCCCTTTCTCTTCTCTGGAGATTCTCATGACTAGCATCCGGAGTCTTTACTGAGGCGGAGGCCATGCCAAAGGATCTTCTCCTACTGCGTATTCGAGATCGTAGCTGTCCATGTTGAACCCGGGTAAGTTCCATCCCCATTCCGAGTCCTCAAACCCAGTGGTATCTGGCGCAGTCTCTCCTGATGGGGGTAATAGCTCGGGAGGGGAGCTGCCGACTGAACTGTTGGCTTCCAAACACTGTTCAATCCTTTGAACGTAATCCGGGGTCGGGGGAAGGTAGCCTAACTGGGAGGACAAGCTCTCCTGCCTATGTCTCCACGCCCTGACGAGGACCGCTCCAGCGACGGCATATGGGTGGACCGACATTTCGAAGTAGTCTTCCTGGTAGTGATAAATGACGGGCAGCACCTTCCATGCTCGATCGACCAAATCCCCCGTCGACTGGAGACAAAGCCGACTGATCAGGTGAAGGAATAAGTCGTACTCGAGGTATTGAAGAACAAACCACACAAAGTTCCAACCTTCCATCACTTGAAGCTGACTCACAACGTGTTCAGCCGCCTCGAGTGAAACACGAAACAGGATGTCTCCTTTCTCCTCGGGCGGCGGCTCTACAGCCTCCTTGGGCTTGCACGCCATGATTCGAATCTTGTTGACCATGGCATTTTTCAGCTGTAAGCCCGTGACGTGCAGATTTCCCGCGCTCGGGTCGCAATAACGCTCCACGATATCCTCCAAACACTTTTCAAAACTCACAAGGAACTTCTCCAGCTCGATGCTGTGAGCTTGACTGAGCTCGTCTCCTACGGCACTCTTTTCGACGACGAACATGGCGTGGCTCAAGGTTGATCGCTGTGTGAGACATCGAGACAGGCTGCAAATCACCAAGCAGGCAATCATTTCGGTCGGGCCGTCGCTGTTCTCGAGGGGAGTCGCGGTATCGACATCGAAATCGGCGTCGTTGATATTAGTCGGCATTTTGCAGCTGCATGCGCGTGATAGTGGGGTCGGGTTGAAACCGGAAGCCATGGCAAACCGAAAGTCAAGTAGGACGATGTGCCACCAGACGCGTCTTCGTAGCTCTGTTTCGAAAGGAGAAAGCCCCAGTTGCGAACCATCTCGATGTAGTCCGAGCCGTTGGGCACTTCGAATACAGACGCCGCTCATAACCCAATTCGCGTGGGCGCTCTCTGGATCTGGAATCGCTATCTGATAGACATGATTTAGCTGGACGCTCGATCTTGCAAGGTAACGGGTATACGCGCGGCTCCCTAGGAGATCGATGCAATCTTGGGGATCAAAGCGATTTTCCCTACCAGTTGAAGAACAAGTGCTTGCAATAATACAAGAGTGGGCTTCTCCAAGAAGCGTGCACGATAAAGCCCCGTCCGCAAGGTCCTTGAAAAGCGATTCAACAGCTCTATCCTGGACTGTCCCAGTAACCTGGTGCACTCCTCTTGCCTCATCGAGCCAACAGCACATGCATAGATCGAGAAGAACAAAACTTCCATGTCTCGCGGTAAGGATGGCGGAGTCGTCATGGCCTGGACCAGATGGCGTTGCGCGGAGGGCACGTGTATGAGTTTCGTTATCGGGTTGACTCGATCTAGGAACATCCGCCATAGCAGCATAGCATGACTCGGAGGTGGATGAAGAGGCCGAGAATTGCCAGATCTAGGCTCTCTTGCGTTCATGATGCCTGCGCCGTTTGCAATGGATGGTTGTTGAATCGTTGTTTCGGGTAGGCTTGGCAGGCTCGAAGGACTGTCGGCATTATCCACGGTTGTTCTCATGGCTTGTAACTACACGAAGGCAGACGAATTGTCAGAAATATGGCTGGCGAAGGAGGCTACCACCAAGGGGTCCATCAAAGGGCCTTTTACCTCGTCAAATACCGTAGCCCAAATGGTGTTATCTGTAAACCTGACAGACCCATTGTCGATAACGAGCTTCCCGAGAGAGTTTTCAAGAGCTTGCATGTCTCGGTCTCGGCTCCGATCTTGAGTCTCGCTCTTCGTACTTGTATCGCTTTTCGAGCTCGGCTCTGTACGAGTACTGTCGCTACTCCCCTCGCGCTTTTCTGCAGCCACAAACTGTTGAAGTAGTTCCTCGCACCGCGCCAATCTTCGCTGAAGTTCAACATTGGGCTTCTTCCGGTTCCGGGTCTTCGAGTTCTCACGCGGCACACACTCTGCGCCTAGCTAAATCACCAATGACTTGCCGTTAGATCTTCAAGCAAGGTCTTCGAGGCGGTAGTGCTTTCGGAGACAACTAACCTTGACGCAGCCTCCGCATGCCGGGCTTTCACGATCGCACTTGACTTTCCGTGATTTGCAAAGAACGCATGCTGGCTTGCGTGGGATTGGCTGTGCTTCAGCATTTGCAGACTCCATGCCGGGCTCGAATAACACCACAGCACCAGCTACTACCCAAGACTGTCAGACAAATAGATGTGAGTAGCTTATCGATGGTAACGGCGGCCTCCAGAGCATCGCGAAAGGAAAGGTGGGACAGAGGATGTCACCATTCTTTAGGCTCGTCCCTAGAACGGATTTTTTTATGCAATGGTAAAAGAGCGTAGGGCGTCCATCCCTTTATGGCATTGTGAGCAAGGATCTACCAGTGACACAGGCCCGGGCTGAGCACCGGGCACTAAGCCACATGCACCATCGTATAGCGGTAGCGTACGCAATCAAATGAATCGTACGGGTACTGTAGTGTACCTATCATGTAGTAATTCTAACTCTAAAGGCTACTCGGAGTTAAGATTTCGGAAAAGTCAGTTCGCTTTCGCTCTCCCACACATGCTCGAGATTTGACCCTTCAACTTAACTTACAACATACTTGGCGCAGGGTTCAAGGCGTCCTCGTCGCCTTACTTCCGTCAGTGAAATATTGCTGTGGATCGGCTCTACACACGATGAGGTCTCCAAAGTAGGGAATCGATGTTTTCCACCTCGGTTGATGACGCTGAGAGTCTAGGAGGATGAGGTCGACTTCTCTTACGAGTGCATGCAATCTGTCGCAGGAAAACCTTTCACATCTGTCAATAGATGGTTTGCGAAGAAACAGGGCTCAGACGATCAGCTGGTCCAGGTTGATGAGAGCGCAGGAAATCGTTTGGAGTTCCTGTTCCCGAAAGGCGCGTACTATAATGTTAAGTCGCACAGCCCTATCGCATGGTGAATGATCTAATGGAGTTATTGAGGCTATGGAGAATACAATATTTATCGCAGACAAGCCATGCCACCAAGCTATTATAAGTGAAAATCTACATGATCTAGGCAAAATTATCAGTATTCGAATCAACAAGACCGAGCATGCTGTGTGCGATTCCAGGTGATGCCCGTGCGATGCGGGCACAGAGCCTTGCTGGGCCGTGGGCTTTCGGCTCTTAATAAGGAGCGAAATGCGGGCCCCCGGGTTCTTTATAAGAAGCGAGACGGCCAAAGTGATGATGTGCCAGTGGGCCACCTCCCAAGTTCAACCCGTTGAGATCATTCGCGCAACTCAGCAAAGTTTCTATCAAAGTTTGGCAAATTGATGGTTATTAACTCAAATGCATCTATGTCTTGGCCTTGAATCAAAAAGTGTAGTTTTTTGAGTGCCTTGGGTTGAGGCCTCGCGCCTCTGTATACAACCTATCTATCTGAGGTTGCCTGAGGATGCCGGGCCGTTACGGCGGTTACAAAGCCGCGACAGACTTTATGATCATAGTCGCGGGTCCAAAATTCTTTGAGTTGAGTTCATCACGCATGTATATCCGTCTTGATTCGATAGTTTAGGCGGTGTATTGGCCATACAGGAAATACTACCGGATTGGGAGGCGATAGTCATACCACCTTTTGGTAGGTTTACTGCGCTGCGCTGTGTGAGGCACGATCGAGGCTGAGGGTAAGCCACTGATCCTGGGGAACGAATTCCAAATATTACCCCGTACTGAGAATGAACTAGATAAGTCATTTGATTTGGCTGATACCACGTCCTCTTTACCTCGACGACGTCGCTGACGTATTTGCACTGGCCTTGGCCCTTGGGAGCTCCCTCCACAGGGCCACCACGGACGTCACCCAAGACATGCGCTCTCCAATCACAACAAATCAAGCAACTTGATGTTCAAGAGTCAGCAAGTAGTGTGGTGAGAAATACCAAGACAGTAGCACAAGGCAGACAAGCAAGAGAACGACGCCAAAGGTGCCTGAGGGCGGACATAGCAAGGCAGTATTATATGAGAACGACCCTTGCACGTTCTGCCGCGGCAAAAAGTAGAGGTCCACGAAAGTAATAAATCCGACTATCCATATATATTGATGATTCAAGCAACGTGAAGTAGAATGGATCAGCCACCACAACACCACTCCAATGATGCATATTCCCCCCCACTTGGCCCCTATTGATGGCTGTAAGAACGATGGATTGAGGTTTTGCAAAACTAAGGCATAACTCTAGATATCAATGGAGACCCGTCCGCCGATTAGCTGAATATGTACACTTCAAATTCCTTTACAATTACACTGCTGATGTTCTCAAGGCTTTTCCAAATCATGGAACTGACTGGGCATCGGAAGAAATTTGTCATACAACGTGGACTACTTCTTATAGGCCCAGGGCAGCATTTACCTCATCTATATCTCGTGACAACTATGGATACCCTTGTTGACTCCTAGGCTAGTATCTAAAGTAAAATCCAAACGCTTACACTTTCAGTTCCTCCACCCATCAGCTCTCTAGACCGCGTGATAAAGTCCCATTACAGACTGTCCTTGTTCGTCTGAACTTCTTAAAGCTCCAGGCTTTAGGCTGCAATCTACCTTCGAAGTCTAAACGCACCATCATCCTCCTGATTCGAAACAGCCCCGAGAGGAAATCTTTCCTCATCTTTGAAAGTGATGGGTGGAACAATACGCCCCGGAAACCAAACATTGAAAGCCGCAGCACATAGGAACATGAGCGATGTATCGAGACAGTACAGATACACCTCTGTAGTCTGAAGCACGCCTTCCCGTCCCTCGGCGAACTCAGCCACCCGGAAGATTGACCGAGCAAGAATGAGGAACGAGGTGGCATAGAGCACCATGATGAACTGTCTCCACGGCCGTCGCCCGTTCATGCTCATTGCCGTTGGGTGTTTGATGATTCGATGGTGAAAGACCGAGATGGATACGATGAAGGCTGCGAAGAAGAGGATTTGAATTCCGAGACCGACGAGTATAATATTCTGACCGCGGTCGAGTCCGTCTTTATCACTTGCGCCGGAGAGGATGCCTCCACCTGTTGCATAATGAGTCAGTCCTTCCATTAAGATCACAGATGACGACGATGAAGACTGGGCTTACCGATGCACTGGAAGGCGAACGAGAACACATCTCCGAAAACAAAGATCTTCGTCAGCCATCTAACAGGAATAAGTGATAGATGGCCCGCTTCCAATGAGTCGATAATACGGCCTAGGAGCATATAGATTGATGCGGCGTACAGTGCCGGGGCAAGCAACGGTAGAAGAGTCTGGATGATGAAGGGGACTTTTGACCAATTCGGCGTTTCGGACGCATTCATTGCTCGACTCCCATATCCAATGCTTTCAACTATGCGACAGCTTAGCAACGATTGTGCCACAAGAATTCACTGGGTTCTGGGGGCTTCTTACAGTTAACACCTATGAAAAAGGCGATCCAGTACCAGGTCTTCGCCCGCTTGAGCTGAATGGAGTGTATTACACCGCTAATGCCAAATAGTACGGCGAAGGTGACCGCTGCCGCGAGAGACGGATCGTAAGGATACTTGGAAGGCGGCTGATCCATTGTTGCGCGTGCAATCTTCTCTGTTGTATGGAAGAAGCTTGTTCACGTTGTTAGCTGATTTTGGAGTTCCTTGTGCAACTACGAGACCATCATTCTTTTATAAAGAGCCATGTTGTGATATCGATCCCCGTGGATATGCGCTGGCTGATCTATTCACGGTGTTCCTGTTACAACGCCTTGTATCATGAACAACATCAGAGGCTGGTGTTGAGGCAGTGCTCGGGTTCCAATTTCCCAATCCGCCCCTAGTGTCCCCGGGGAAAATATAGTTCGGGGAGTTTAGATGTTCAAAGTGCGGGCCTTACATAGTTGCCGAGCCGGTGTCAAAGTAAGCATACGAGATTGACAGGGGCTAAGCCGCCCTCCGCGTTCTTCCCATACACCGATGTCTTCACGTTATGTCCGAAACGTCGCTATGGAGATCTTGACTCGATGGTGACATTGGAGTACTCAGCCATGCTCTGGGTGACGACGCAATAGATTATCAATGGATCAACCTATACATCTTGAGATGGCGGCGTATCACGGCCTGTTTCGACAGGGCTGGAAAACGCAAACCCCGTAGAATTGGGTTTTGAGGAACGCTTTGCCAGCTGAGCATACGCGTCACCCTGCCTTCAGCTTGCTTCAGCTCTCTAGCCCTAAATGATTGTTTGCTGACGATCTGGCTGCCAAGTTGTGAGAGGGGCCGGAACTGAGCTTATGAGAGGCTTGTCGATTTAGGGTTCAGGCCGCGGTGAATGCGAGCTGTTCCTGATGGCCTTGGCAACTGAATCTCAGACGTAGACCCGATGTGGCAAGACCCTCCAGATGAACTAGTCTCATGCTAGATGAAAGTTGACACCCGCTATCTGACTCTCTGCCATAAGGTAATTATCCGAGGTCTTTGTTATGATACACAAAGCGACGAGTGAGATTGCCATTATTACTCAGTGATGGCTACACCCACAATATATAATGGATGCCATCCTATTCATACTTGGTACGTGTATTGCCAATCATGCCGTGTACATTTAAATGATAGAAAGGAGGATCCTTAGGTGTCCTCGTTCACCTGCTCTATCTAAGAAGTCATCCACGGAGCATTTTCAGTTTCCATCTCATGCATTTGATGCCCTCACATTTTCTCCTTTGGACTCAGAATAGGTTGTGCCTTGGAGATCTTCAAGCCCGACAACCACAGCACATACCTCAATGTTGGTGCCTCCTACAGAACATTCATCAAGACAGAGAAACCACATGCGAACGAGAAGACCAAAAGACTCGCGTCCCCTCAGTCTACAACTTAACCCTCGACCAAACGAGCGGTTCCCACTGGACATCAGCCTTCCTCACAACAATCACAGGAGCCCAATACCTCGCCCTCTCCCGCATCCTCGGCTCAATCTGCAAATCCTCCCTTCTGAACCTTGACACCCTCGAATATAGCAACGACCTCAACTATGGAACAGCCCTTCAGAACGCAACCACCAGGACCTACCAAAACACAACCGCCTCTTCCTCCAACCCAGCAGCAGGCTTCCACGTCTCAGCCGGAAACGGTAACTGCGCTCTAGGTTCCACCTTTGCAGACCTCATCACAGAAATGTACACCTCCGGCTGAACCCCAGACTACGCATACAACCTCACCTGGCAAGGCACCTCCAAAGTCCTCTTCAACGGTGGCAACGCAGCCTTCACCCTTGGCCCAAACTTTGCAAACCCCACAGAGTGGTCTGTCCCCGCCAGCACGACCTCCGGCACCCTCACCCTCAGTAACATCGAGACCATCACCATCGACCCAGCCCGCTCACGTACGACCACCAAAAGGGCGCCGGCGCCCCCCAGAAATGGACCTGATTCCAGTTGCACTTCCCCAACTCGTCGACGAAAGCAAGTATCTGGTCCTACGGCTTCGGTGCACCCTCGCACCAGCTTTACCAATTTGCAACGATCCGTGTGGGTGAAGAATTGCACTACGTCCTGCCATTCGATATGGAGACGCGGGGCTGCAGCGGTTGGACGTCTCCGAAGTCAAATATCACGTACCCCCAGCGCTGGGAACTCAGGTTTGAGAATGGGGATGTGCTTGATATCAAGTCGGTGAGGAGGACCAGGAGATTTATGGGATGCGGCAGCTAAGTGACACTGTTTACGCGGGGTATGTTAATGTTTCTGGGAAGTTTCTGGGGCAGGAGGTTGGGTTTGGGGTCGTGGAAATGATCAAGCTGATTGGAGATTATCCGGACATTAAGATGTGCTGGGCTGCTTGTTGCACATTGCACACCGGAAGAGAATGAGAGGGAGATCGCGTACAAGAGAGAGAGAGTTGAGATGTGATACTGGAGAGCTTGAGGATGTTTCCCTTCGTCTTGGCTCTGAATCCCAATTTCAGAGCACCGTTTCCACCGCTGCTTCACAGTAATTAATGCGTTTAACTTCTAGTTGATGTTTTTGCCAGTACAAGTGGACAATACCGAGCAAGGCGTTCGTACATACGTCTACAGATCAGTAGTGATGTTGTAGTTCAAGAATAGGCAAGGTGAGATGGTCGATATCCCATCGATTAAAGATATAAGTCATAAATTAGTAACCTGCGCCATCTAACCAAAAAGAGTATACCTGCAAGTCGTCCAGTACCTGGAAGCGATGAACCACGTCCCGAAAGCTGGGCTAGGACATGTGAAACTATCGGGCTGCCAATCCCATCCATACATGTATGCAAATCCCTTCCAAGGATCGCAAAACCAACGAGTTCCTTTTTTTTCTATTGGGGAATAATAATGGTAAAATCGTCCTGGAAACCATTTGCCGTCCTGAAAACAAATGCAACAAAGTCCATCTCGTAATGTACGAGGTCTGTAAATCGCCTTCTGTACATTGAATCGCGTACTTAACAACAAGTCATGCGCCTGACCATTGCAGTACCCTTACGTGAGAGTTGCCAGCATGGCGCGCATGATTCCAGGAGGAGGACCTGGGAACTCTCGCGTTAGCCTGGGCTCTGCTTTGACAAGACGGTGACGAAGCGTACCTTAGTAGTACTTTGGTACGCTGATGGCCATCCTACCTTTCTTGTCCTTCTCGATCCGCACTCCGCGACGCGGCTCCTCCACCTTCTCGACCTTCTCCTCGAAGAGGACGACAGCGCCATCGGGCATCTGCTCAGCACGGACGAGTTCGCGGCTCCTTCCGTGCTTGCGGTCGTGAAGCTCAGCCTCGAGAGCCTTAATCTCAGATCTGATGTTCTTGCGAGACCGAGACCGGCTACGGCGACGCTCAGCAACGGCCATGGGTCCAATGGGAACCTCCTCGCTGTACTCTCGGCGCTCGTAGACGACTGGTGTTGCGGTCGTTGACGTTGTGTAGGACGTGGAGCTGCGAGCGGGGGAGACATCGCGAATGATGGTAGTCTTGTTGACAACCTCTTGGACGGGAGCCGGGGGTGGTGGAGGGGGTGCCTCATAGTAGACGGAAGGGGCATGATGATGAGAAGAAACGACAGTCGGGGGCGCGGGAGGCGGCGCCACTGAAGCAGGCGCTGGTGGAGGAGGAGGGGCATGGATCACAGTCGGGGGCGGTGGGGGGAGGGCAGCAACCGGTGGAGGGATTGTGTAAATCTCCTCGTGGCGTTCTTCATGCTTGCCTGCCGATGATCGTGCTGCGGCAATCTCCAGTTCACCTAGCATCATGTTAGATGTAGTCAACCAACTGTAGACACATATTTTCACTTACTCTGCTTGTACTCCTCGCTGAGCTTCAGAAGTTCGTCAATGTTGTCCTGGCCAAGAGCCTTGAGGACGATGACGGTATTACCCTGGGGTGTCTGTTAGTCGAGGTTCAGTGCACTAGATTGAATCGGAACTTGCCTCTTCAATGTAAGGATACTCCAAGTCGATGAGCGCACGCTTGGAGACTAGGCGTTGGGGAATGCGAGTCTTGCCCTTCTTCGGGTATGAGCTACGGACGGTCGTCGCGGTCTTTGTGGTGGTGCTGGTCGACCTGCTGGAGGTGCTGCTTGATCGGGAGCTGCTTCGGTGCGAACTCTTCCTAGTTGACCTTGACACCCTAGACTCGCGGCTGCGGTCTCTGCGTCGGCGTGAGGTGACGACCTCGCGCTCCTTCACTCGCTCAGGCATACCGCGGAACTCCTCGTCGCCATAGAAGCCTGGCTCGGCGATCTGGATCTCGTCGTATCGTTGAGATGGTGCGGGGCCCAGCTGGCGGGTGCGGGGTAGAGGGATTGGAACGTATGGAGGAGCCCGGTAATCGTCGCGAGGGCGAACATCCTCTCGGCGGGCTGGCGGGGGGTATTCCTCACGCTCGTAAAAGCGGAGGGGACGACGGTCAAAGGTGTCGAGGGAAGACTGGCGACGGAGCATGGTCGGGCGACGTGGTGGCGAGGCCTCACGGACTTCGCGCTGCTCCTTTTCGAAGAAAAGGCGACGGTCGAACTCCCGGTCCAAAGGCTCTCCGCGACGGGGGCCATAACGGTCTTCTTCAACGTAGCGGCGGTCTCTTACAATGTCCTCTTCGTATCCGCCGCGGTGTCCACGATCAAATGGACCGCGGTCGAAGCGTTCATCTGAGTGATCTCTGCCGCGGCGAGGCGGTGGGCGATAGTCGTCACGTTCCTCGAAGCGGCTTCTCTCTTCGAATCTGCTTCGTTCATCGGGATAGCGACGGTCATCTGGATAGCCACGGTCCCGCTCCCGTTCTTGCATGAAGCGGTCGCGGTCCCAGCGTTCAGCACGGCCGGCCATTTTGATTGTTGGTAAAGGTAACGTATAGGTGGGTGAGAACAAAACGAAGTTCGATCTCGGGTATCACAAAATACTGCTGAAAAAACTAGCGGTGGTCGTGGAATTAGAGATTCGGGATGTCACTGGTGATGGGTTGTTCCCGGGATGTTGTGGAATGATCGGGTGATGGCAGGAGTTCGTGGGTGCGAGTCTCGAGAGAAGTCGCTCGTATTGTGAGAGTCGAGAATCAGAGCGATGACGACACCTCGAGGGAGAGAGGGATAGAAGAGAGCGAAGAAAGAGGGGAAAAGCGGGAATACTGTGTGTGGTCCAATGTCGCAGCAGAGAGCGAGTTAGTGAGTGGTGGAATGGCTGGCCCCCTAACGTAAAGGTATGCGAACCCAGGCCAATAGCGCCGGTAGTGTCGGTGAAGGCCGTTGACCCGCCTTGGATCCAGTGAGCTATTTTGGAATTTGGATTGGATAATGGAGTAGCGGCGCCGCCCTGCGTTGGAGTGGCGTGCGAGTGGCTTCTTCCAGGGTTTATGAGACTTGGTATGTGACACTGTAACACTGGCAGTGTATGGAGTGAGGTGCCGTAGTGAGAGGTATGCGGCGGTGATGGGTGAGTGAGTGGGTGAGCGAGTGAGAGAGTGTGTGCGTGTGAAAAGCAGGACAGGTGATAAACCCCTCCTCGTCGTTTGGCTGACTGATGTGTGGTGATGAGCGAAGACGGGTGATGCGATGAAAAGCCGGACTGAGCTCGTCGAGTGACTGGACTCGGTGTTCTAGACTCTCTTGTGTGTGTCGTGTGTGGTGGTAGGCGTGGGTAGCAATCGGCCTATGAGAAGGCAATGTGAAGCCAGGAAGCAACCTGGAACTCTACCAGCTGACCTCACGAAACTGGGCCTTTGACTGCAGACCCGATAATGGTCCTCCGTCTTCGACACTCCCCAACAACGGTCCTGGAACTGACTGTTCTTGATGAACCACCGGAGTTGCGAAATGTGATGCAGGCTGTCGCACTGGGTCCAAGCCGTGAGTTGTGTCGTTTTAAGGGTCCTTGCGAAAAGAGAACAGACAGGCGGAAGGGTGGTGGCTGGGAAGAAACGAGGCGGTTTTGTAGTTTTAGTCTTGGACAACCACGGAGATTTGTGGTGGAGTGGAAAAGCAGGCTTCTTGGAACGACGGAAGCCAGGACAGGGTTGGCTTGGCTCGTCAGACTGTACGAGGAAGATGGTGGTGTTGGCGATGCCACTTGAGCGATGATCCCAGCTTGTCTGGCCTTCTCTGGATGGTCCAACGGTTTCTGGTAGTGAGAAGATGGCCGCTGTTAGTTATGCGACGGACGGATGGCCCGCACCTCTCCCGCATGATGGTAGAAACACCAATAGGGATGCGAAAGTGCATCCAAAGTCGATATCCAAAGCCTGTTTCATTGTTGGACAAGCACTTGACCGCAGCATGGCATTTCGCCTGAGGAGCGACAGTGCTTGTCGGTCCTTAACGAGAGTCATCGGCGCCGTATCGGTCATCGCATCCGTCAGTCCAAACTTGGCGGGAGACTACTCCGTAGAGGGCTGTGGCAACAAGGCTACTCCTTGTAGAAAGCCCTTCCCGAGGCCTGCGTCGTTGCTTTTCGCTGCGATTCTGCCCATCTGACCATTCCAGACCCGGTCCAACGCGGCCTTTAGCCTCAGTGGCCCAGCCCGCTTTTGCGCCCTCTCGAACCTGACGTCGCCGCTTGGGCAGCCATCGACGGGGCGCGTCTTTGGAAAAGCGCAGGACCGCAACCAGGGGAGTAAGTCCCAGGACTCCATTCCGGACCAGGTCTGCCAGGCTGCACACAGCGGGATCCCCGTACGGAGCCATGGAGCCCGCTATGGGTGTCCCGTCATCCATGGACCACGGTCCCGTCGTTGGGCTTGAACGGATCGACGTGAAATGGAGAGGATGGGGGATGCCAGACAGTCGGAAGGGTGGGTGGAATCTCGAAAGAGGTTAATTATCGTCTGGGCGGCGTAACAGTGGGATGGGCCGACGTTGGAAACTTCCAAACTCTTCTTCGCTGTCAAAGTGTCTCGCCTTTTCGTCTCGTCTGCGCTTTTGGCATTGCGTTCTCTCCCGCCTCGGCCCTTGCCTTGCGCTTCCCCTCCCGCAGAACACAGTTCGAAACTGGCGGGCTTCTCTGCCGTCACTGTGCTTCTACGGAGTACTGGCTGCGCCAACATACCTTGCTCAGCTCGTCTCTGTGGGGGTTCAAGTTGACCGCCACCCTGCTCGATGACGTCGGGTACCAAATTACTCTGCACTCTGTGTGCCCATTGCCCAACCAGCCGCCGTCGGTCTGGGCCACTGCGGCAGTGATAACTTGATAAGCCGTCCCGGCGCGTGGGATAACAGAGTCGCGAATCGAAAGCCGTGGGTGGATGTGAAGATGGGTCTCTGGAGCCCTGGAAGAATTGTAATTCTCCACTGCCGAAGCGACTTGGGTGCCCGATGGCGGCCCTATTGACCGTTGAGGAGACACTGGGAACCGGGGTGTCCCCATTCCGGGGGAGCGATTGGAGTTTGCGCTTGTGATTTTGGCATTGTTCTCTTTGTGCGAGGGCTGGTGCTTGTCAAATTACAGTTCTACATCACTGGTTGGATACAGACAAAGTACGGATAGAGATTGTTGTAAATTCACGCATGCGGCTTGGGTGAGGTTGACTCGATGGCTGACGAGACTCGGACGAGGCATCTTTGTGCTTTTTGGTTTGGAAGAGAATCCCGTGGGTCTCGAGTCGCCCGTCGGGTCCAACCATTGTATGAAAATGTACGTACTTTTCTGTAAGTTGAGACCTGCAAATGTTCGAGGTGCGTTATCGCAGATAAGCGCCTGCTTATGTCACTGTAGATAAGATAGCGCACGTGCAAGTTCCGGCTCGGTGGGTCGCATCTGCCCAGTCAGGCCGAGTACCCGGTACGTACTCAGGAGGAAGCTCAGGCGATGCTCTCCCCTCCCAATTCTCAACCCATTAACCACGACTCGATTGCTATCGTTCCCGTCCATCATGGCAGCTTCTGGGGACTCCTCCAGATCGACCGCGGATTCTAGACCGGACTGCCGCTTAAACGGGCCATCACCTGGCTGTTGCTTTCTCAAACCAAAACTCTCCAGGAAACTTCAATCAAACCGTTGCCGCCCACAATTCAGGACACCCATCTAGCACCGACCATCTCGAGTCAAGCACAGCACGTTGGACGAAGAGGCCATGCATGTGGTAGATTTTTATCCGCAGCCCTCGCACAACCGTATGAGCGACCAGATCTACGGAATTCGATGCATTTTTGAGGCCTCAACGAACACGCGAGGGGCTCCAGTAGCCGACACGTTTGGTGTGTCTCGACGCCATCTCGCGTGGGACCATGTCAAGTGTCACAGCCACGGCCCAGCCTGGCGGTATTCGCCGCTATCGACGTTAAGCTTAGCTTTTCCCAGGGCTTCTCCAGGTTCTGGGCTTCGGATGCGTCTCTTTTCTTCCCCGGATCGGCTTCCCCCATCAAGAACCCATATCAGTACAGAATCTTGATCGTAAGCAACCACTAGTCTTGGTGGAAGAGATGGGTTTGCAGGGTCAACCACCACGAAGGCAAGGAATCAAGACGAAGCTGCCATAGATAATAATCATTCGACCGCATGGCGCCAAAAATGACCGTCTCCGCGAAACGAGATGAGGCATCTCAGCTGCCAAGGAGAAATGCCCATGGTCTGCCTTGTAAGTTCAAACCCCGTTGACAAAAGCCGTGGACATTTCCCGTACGGCGCAGAGCACCAACCCCGCCAGGCCAAGTCGCAGGGACAAGACTTCCAAACCCCCTTTCCGATAGTCGATGAATTCAGATCCGATGAAAAGCACGCCCTCGCGAAGAGGAATTTGGCGCTCTCTTATACCACCGGTCATTCCGAGCTAGCGGAATACTCAGCAATCCGTTGACCCGTTACGGATTCAGGAATGAATGTGTACTGGCGGACTTTCCGAGGAGCGGATAACCCGGATTTTAGAACGCTCTTCACTGCAAGCAGATATCAGCAAAACGCCTCAACAAGCCAAAGATCAGCTGGTCACAGCATCCGAACACCAAAAGCAAAGTTGGGGAAATGGAAGTTGGGGGTCGACCTGTCGAATGCGAGAGGGGGAGGGGACAGCAACGTGGTCTCCCAGCCTATTCACAACCACGGAGAACTAGACGACGACTAGACTCCGCCGGACCGCAATTTGAGTTCCATCACAACGACTCCAAGGTTGGCACGTCGCAATAGCGGATAAAGCCGCGCGCGTTCATGAGGAAATCAACTCAATCATTCGCGACATCTTCCAATCGGCTCTCCGGAGGGCTTGCATCTGATATATGATGCGGCGCTCAAACCCCGTACATACTTGACCAGGTCCAGCTAGTTCGCATCCGCCCCACGCACGCACGAACAGCAGCTGCAACTGTGCCCAGTGAGGTTTCTCTCCCGTACAGATGCAAGTCCGAATCTAAAGGCCGCGGCCTGTAATCTAAGCTCATACTCTTTTTGCCGACTAGGAGTGCCGATATTCACTCCCGAAACGTGTCGGGAATGGAGCGTGATCTGCATTCCTCCCCACTTACGCCGAGTTGAGCCTAGTCGACATGGAAGGCTGGACAAGGGCTGCTTGCGACCAGAGCCGTTGTCGACGAGTCTGGGGGGAGGGAGAGACACAGGAGCTGGCGCAATGTGATGCTCTATTCGGGAAGCTGCAGTTCTGGCATCTGCTTATCGGCACAGCTGCAAGAGAGACTCGGTCAAATATTCGACTCTGCTGCTGCAGTCGCCTCGAAGAAGCAGCTGATGCAGCGCGTAAACATACATCCATCTATCTCATCACATCGCCAATCTTGCACCATTGTTGCTTGTTCGCCATCCCTGAGACTGGGCATCGTTGTAACGGTCGTAGCAGATCAAATTATCATCTCAACACGTCATCAGAGTGAGCGTCTTCCTCACTGGCTGGCATGTCCCCCGATGTGGGAGTGGAATGGATCCGATAACATGGGCCGCAGTCCTGCAAGTGGTGCTTGGTGCTGGCTTGGTGCCGTTTCCCGAGCTCGCACCCGATGCAGATTGGATGTGAAAAGAGGCGTCCGCTCTTGTGGATGTCTACCCCGCGTTGTTTGGTGTGTGGGATAACCCGTCTGGGGTAGCTAGGTGCCACGCCTCCACCTCCAATCTGGGACAAGGGGAAAAGACAAGGGTCGCTAATGAGATATCTATCTCGCCAGCCTGGACCAGCCTACGGGATTTCCAGCTGGCCCCCTTGAGACAGTGTTTTGTTGAGTCAGTCGTCTCGACATTGAAAAGGGTCTTCATCCCCTGCCAGACTCGAGAGTGGTTTTGTCCCAGGATACCTCTTTGACATCCCGCCAAAGTCGACACTTTGCTCACAAAAGCATTCGGGGCTGAGCGACGCACTGCATTCCCTTCATCATGAGTAACGATAAGCCTACCGTCGAAAACATCGACGATATCAACGCCAAGATGGCACAGAGATCCTCGTACGACGCGAAGCTTGACCCGGAAAAGTAAGACACATACAGCGCACTCATATCCAGGAACCTGGCTAACTCTTTATCGCCAGGCATACCGAACAGGCTATGGCTTACGACCCGACCGTAGAGAGGAAGCTTAGGCTGAAAATCGATCTCATGATTGTGCCAACGGTCGCCCTGCTGTACCTCTTCTGTTTCATTGACAGGGCCAACATTGGTGCGTCTCCTGGTCCATTGCAAGGTTGACAACAACTTACAAGCCCCCAGGAAATGCTCGCATTGCAGGCCTCGAGAAGGACCTCGGTATGGCAGGCTACGATTACAATGGAACCCTCAGCGTCTTCTACGTCAGCTACATTCTGTTCGAAATTCCCGCCAACATCCTCTGCAAGGTCATGGGTCCTGGATGGTTCCTCCCCCTGACCACCTTGCTCTTCGGTATCTGCTCAGTCGGCACCGCTTTCGTCCACACCGTACCGCAGCTCATGGCAGTCCGGTTCCTCCTCGGCATCTTTGAAGCTGGAATGTTGCCGGATATCGCCTACTACCTGTCTCGTTGGTACCGACGATCCGAACTCGCCTTCCGCCTCAGCTTGTACATCGTTATGGCGCCGTTGGCTGGAGCCTTTGGTGGTCTCTTGGCCTCTGCCATTCTCCGTCTCGATAGTTTCGGAAGCGTCCATACATGGCGCATGATCTTTGCCATTGAAGGAATCATCACGATCGGGCTGGCACTCATCGGCTTCGTCACCCTTACCGACCGCCCCGCCTCTGCTCGCTGGCTTACCGAGGCTGAAAAGGATCTCGCCGAGACCCGTGTCCGCTCTGAGCGTGTTGGTCAGACTCAAGTCCTCGACAAGATGGATACCAAGAAACTTCGCCGGGGAATCTTCGCACCTGTTACGCTGGCAACATCGTTTGTCTTCCTTCTGAACAACGTCACTGTCCAAGGTCTTGCATTCTTCCTGCCAACCATCGTCAGGGGAATCTATCCCACGGCGACTGTTCAGCGCCAACAACTCTTCACCGTTCCTCCCTATGTTGTAGGCGCCTTCTTCACCGTCCTCTTACCACTGCTCAGCTGGCGCCTCGACCGGCGACAAATCTTCTTCATGATGTCTGCTCCGCTAGCAATGGTTGGCTATATCATGTTCCTGGCTTCCAAGGACCTCTCGGTACGCTACGGCGCCACCTTCCTCATCACCTCGGCCGTGTTCGCCCTTGGCGCTCTCACAAACGCACAGGTCGCCGCCAACGTCGTTTCCGACACGGCACGAAGTGCAGCAATCGGAACCAATGTCATGTTTGGCAACGTGGGAGGTCTCATTTCAACTGTAAGACTGCTGCTCTCTTCCCTAGTAACCTCTGACTGCCTGCTAACTCGTGGTTTTAGTGGGCCTTCTTGCCATGGGATGCACCCAACTACCCAATCGGCAACGGATTGAACCTGGCGACCTGCAGTATGATCTTGATTACTTCAACTCTCACATTGTTCTGGATGAAGCGAGACAACCGCAGGCGTGCGGCCCGAAACGTCGAGGCCGAATTGCAGGGCTTGTCGAGACAAGAAGAAAGTGATTTGGACTGGAAGCACCCTGCTTTCAGATGGAAGCCCTAGATGGCTTCGGGATGCCTGAATATTAGCTCCAGATGCCTTGTTTATCCATATACCACGCACTCGGAGCTTCCAAACTCCGTCGAATATAATGTTGCAATCAAACCCATTGCACTACTTTCAAATTGTGACGGAGCTATGCCTCCTGGCTGCAAGGGGGCGCTGACTGAAAGAAGGCGCCTTGGAGGAGTACCTCAAAGCAATCGCCAATCTCAGATGGAGGCAAGCACTCACCTCAGGAGAATGTCCAAACGTGTCCAAACTTAAGAATGCTCCTACCTTGAGCTGGACAGCGGGCAGGAGTGTTGATTCTGGTCCTTTAAGCACGACTCCCAAGTCAATGCTTCCCGTGTCGTTGGAAGGTCTTCTCTTCCTCTGCCCATCTGTCTCTTCGTCTGTGACACCATCATTTCTTCTCTCAGCATCAAACAAATCGCAGTTTGCTAATCGCATCTTCGTCTTCCCGCATTCCATCATTACAGCATACAATTGACCGCTATGGCTACCAACTCCGGATCCGACCAGCAAAGACGTATGCTAGCTTCCCTACCCACTGTGTCTACAAAAGCTAATCGAAGCCTGCAGGAGGAGATCAGCTGCGACGGCTCGCTGAGATCCAACAGCTCGAAAATCAGCACGGTCGGAACGAGAGAGCCGAGGCCATGGCTCTCAGTCTGCTATCGGAGTCGGGTCTGCATCCTATCGAACAAGTCAAGCTCCATCATACGCTCGCTGGGTCTCCCAGAGACTACCTCTATCACGCGAGACAATGCCTTCTCAAGGTCGATGAAATCATTCGCATTCGCGACGAAGACGGTGTCAGGTTTACGAATTTGCCCCAAGACACCGATGTGTTCTAGAGGATGCGTGAGAATGTGCAAAATCGCCTCCAAAAGGCCATCAGTGAGAAGCGGAACGTCGACTATGCGGTCAAGTGGTTAACGTTGGTCACCCTGTCCTTTTCTCAACTCAACTCCCTTCTTTTTCTTTCGCGTAGGACAGAGCTAACGTGGTCGGAGAATCAGGCTGGATTCAAAATTCGTGGCAAATTTGGTTCGCGATCCTGTCGAGACGAAGCTGTACTTCGAGCGAGTGCATCTTGCTCTAGCAGCCGCTGGCAAGACTCTGCATGACGAACCTCCGAATGTCCTCGCTACAGCTCAGCAGGTTGGCCACAATAATGTGCCCTCGATGCCCGGCCAGGCTTCAGCTGGTACGGTCAGCACCGAATTCCAGTCGCAAGGCAGCTCTATAGGTCCGCCCTCATCTGATCTGGCTGGCAAGGATGACACGATCTCAGTGGCTCCTTCCCTCGTTGATTCGCAAGCCACGGTCTCAGTGGCTTCTAGCCCCGTTGCTTCGCAGGCCACAACTTGGAGTCCGAGTGTTCCCCCGGTTCCGGAAGGCCAGAAGACCGGTCAAGATGTTCTAGCATCTAGCGAGGGGATGTCCGAGAGAGCTAGTGCCGGCCTTCAGCTCCAATGCTCGCCGTCTGCTGAATTTTTGCAGTTCTATCAAGAGGTCCTGGAAGAGTATCCAGAATTACTTTTAGAGATGCCGCAGGTTCTTCAAGGCGAATAGATTCTTATGCAGTACGCAACCAAAGCAGCCTTGCGCTTTCAAATACAAATTGCTGTAGAATACTGTGTGCCTTTTTAAACGTTCCGTGAATCATTGGTATCTCATTAACTACTACTAAAGATGGCGTCATTACTGGATTTGTTCATAGGTCAATACAAGGGAAGTAGGATCGGATGAACATATACTTTATCATTACCCTTCATGCAAGTACGAACATATCTATTGATGCCGTCGAGCAGTTGGTGGAATAAACTTCCCCCTCCCTTTATCCTCAAATCACCTCACAACTTACTCTTACCTGGCGCACAGCACGACTCGCCAGCCGCCCCGGCAAAAGCAAGCTTGCTCACCCCATCCGCCGCCTCCAGTGCACCCTTGCCGGCCGCGACCTGGCTCGGGGTGCTGCAGTAGCTGGGGGGCACGTCCATGACGGGGTTGTTGGCGAAGAAGTTGCGCGGCCGCAGAAGCAGGGTGATGGGCTCCACGGGCATGATGGGGAAGTCCTCGGGCGCGGGGATGTGGGTGACGCCAAAGGTGTGCCAGAGAACGATATCTTCTTGCTCGATGGACTCTGTGCCGTCGCCGATCCATTCTGGGATACCGGAAGAGGGCTCGCCTGAGGTTTGGGGGACGTGGCGGCCTGCGGGCCAGAGTTCGTCGTCGCGGTCTGTTGGGAGGTTTGGTAAGTTTTCCGTCCATTCAGGGGGTTGATAGGTAGAAGAGAGGAGGACAGAAATAGGGGACTTACACTTTGTGACGTGCACAGCGTGCCTCGCGAAACCAGCGCGCTTCCATACCAACGACCCCTCCTTGGGCAACAACCCAGGAACCTCCCTACTAACAAGCTTATAACTCGCCGGCTTCCCGCTATACGGATGAATCTTATCCGTATTCGCAATCTCCCACGTGCGGCTGGTAGACCCGTCATAGTCGGTCCTCGACTTGCCCGTGGTATCGAGCTTCGTCTTCTTCGCGTAAAACGCGTTGCCGTAAAAGTTCTCGGGGGAACCGACGGGGGCGTCGGAGGCGACGGCGTCGGCGACGAAGACTGTGTTGCGGGGGCCGTCGATGTTGGCATCGACGCGCAGGCAGAAGAGGTGTTGGTGGTTGTGGGCGTTGACGCCTGGGTAGACTTGGGTGCCCCAGCCTTTTGTATCTTCGCCTGGGTTGAGGGAGTAGGTGTTTAGGATGCCGGTGAGTTTGATTTCGGGTTGGATTGTGCCGTCTTGCTGGTGGAGTGTTAGTTGCGTTTCTGAGCAGGGCGATGGCTACGAAGGGGAGGGAAGGGGCTTACTTACGTGAAAGATCCATTGGATTGCGTATTCATAGTTGGCGGCGGTGAAGATTTGCTGGATGATGAGCTTGCGGCCGCGGGTGACAATGACAGAGTCGTCGCGGAAGTCGGTGTGCTTGAACAGGATGCCGCTGTCCTCCTCGTGAATGCAAATGGCGTTCTTGATGGTCCGCACGCCGCCGTTGCGGGTGGGGAACTCGGCGTCGAGGTAGTGGATCTCGCCCTTGCAGTCGCAGCCGAGCGAGAGGCTGTTTGTCATGTATCCGGCGCCGTACTCGCCCAGATCAAAGGCATGCTTCCGCTGGTGCGGGTGCTCCGGGTTGCCGTAGGGCACGACCATCTCGGCCAAGGACAAGCGGTAAAAGATGGGGCGGACGTTGCCTTTGTCGTTGTAGGTGATGTTGCTGAGGACGATGCCTTCACGGTAGTTGAAGCCGATGTGGAAGTTCCAGTTCTGCCAGGCAATCTGGCGGCCTTGCATCTGGAAGGAGACGCCCTGGGGTTGGGTGATGTTGATAGGCTTTAGGTCGGTGCGGTAGCCGCCAGATTGCTTCTGTACGGCGGCGGGGGTGTAGTCTACGGGAGCGGCCTTGCTGAGCGGGCGGCGGACCTGGGGAATGTCGATGGCGATGATGGCTTGCTTGTCGGCGTCGTAGATGGGGCAGAAGTCGAGGGGGTACTGGTACTGGCAGGTGTCCGGGTCTGGGCGGTAGTACATAAGGGCCTGCTGGAGGCGGATTGTGTTGCCGTGGCGCTCGTCGTAGCCGATTGTCCAGGGGTCGCAGTAGACCTTGTGCATGTCTGATTTGGGGATGCCAGAGATTTCGCACTGCTCGATGACTTTGGGGTCGGTGCGGCAGATGTGTTCGACGATTTGGAGCTCTTCCATTGTGATCTGGTGGTGTTAGTCTCGGTAGGTCCTGAGAAAGGCACGGCGGAGGGGACTGACGATGGGCTGCACGCCTTGCATGAGCTCCCACTTGGTGATGGCGCCTGAGGCGAGGTCAACGAGGCCGTCGTAGACTTTGCCGCCCTTTGCGATGACGACGACGTCGGCGATACGGGCGGGGAGGGGTGTCGTCGAGGGCGAGGTGAGCCATTTTGTCAATTCGGCTTTGCGGGGTTCGTGGAGGGAGACGACGTTGAAGAAGACTTCGCCGTGGGTCTTTGTGACGGCGGTGATGGCCTTTTCAATCTCTGCGGAAGAGAGGGGATCTAGAGGGTGCGGCGGTGCCATTGTGAATGTCTCTGTGGTGTGAGGGTTCTCTGCGTGTGGTATAAGGTCCTCTTGTCACACAAAGGTGTTGCGAGAGGTCAATGGCGGGCGGTAGTGGAGAGTATCGAAATAAATGCAATTGAGGGATGTCGAGCTCTAGATAAAGCTACAGCTTATATCTCCAAATCGATCAAGGGGATCCCCAGAGTGAGGCCCCTCACCCCTCTTCTTCCGACTAGGAGCGCGCAGATAGGCGCGCTCTCTCGTTCTCATCCGATGCGCGATTCATCCCTCCAAGGCCAGCCGGATCAGGCAATGCAAGCCCATTGAGACCTGGGGGTTTTCTCAGGGCCCGTCCAGACGACGAACGAGGTGCACCGTACCTTGCACAACCGATGCGGCGCGTCATGCCAATTGGCAAAAGGCGCTGTAAGCCGTTTCGATTCGATAAGTCAAGCCATTGGACAAGGTGGAGAACTTCTCTCGGAACTGGTTTGATAAGAGCTTTAGCCTCTTAGTATCCCGGAATTGAGGTACCTACAGGATGCAAGGTGTAAGTTGCAAGGCATGGTCAACGTTTCGTCTGGTCGACCCGATAAGGACGGTCGCACACAGACTATGCATTAGCTGCGAAATTCCGACGGTTCGTCCTCAGGGACTCGAAAGACTCCAAGTAACTTCAGGTTAGCTCAAGCGCGGGGAACATGGTGGAAGTGTTGGTCTTGGAGCTTGGAGACTCGAGAATGATGCAGAGGAGACATGGAGGGGAGAGAGAGACACACACAGGAAAGTGGGGGGGGAAGGACGAGACGAGGGGCTGGATGGGGAAACCCTAGACGATAAGCTCTGGCCCTCCAACCTCCGGGTGTGCTTATCAGAGGTGGACCCTACAAGACCCACTCTCCGGGACCGGAGGTGTCGGCTTGGACGGGTGTTTAGGTGGGGTTCTGCTCGGAACCGCAGTCGCTGCCAGGTTCGGGCGAGCGGTGACTGTTCTGGCCACTCAGCAGACGTCGGGTAAAATCGCCTAATCGGGTCTAGCTGAGCATCCTGACCACTCAGAATGAGGCTGTGAGTTGTCGTCGATGAATGCTTTACCTAAGGCAACCTCTGGAATTCACCATCTCACCGTCACCGATAGGACTAAACCGTTTCCTGCCCAAAAGTGCGAAGCTGCGAAGGTGCGAAAGTGCGAGTCACACACTATTGGACTTTGTAGTCTTAGATGAGATCCGATCCCTATGGCAGGACCTCTAGCTCTTTTGAAGTCCTTAATGATGGGGTTACCTACAAATCATGCAGCATCGGTATTATCTCGCACTTGTGAGAATACGAGAACAGCAGTCTGTGCCCTGCGTGGGATGCCATGTACCGTGCAGCCACGCGATGGATGCAGTACCTAGTGTACTTCATCCAGGCATGTTGCAGTGCGGCCTTGAACTTTGCTTTGAAGTCAATTGACTCCCAGTCTAAGAATCAATAACAGATGGGATCAGCTGTAACGAAGCTGAGATTGCAGACGACGATGGAGGCAGGTATCACAATGTCCGAAACATCGGAGTTAAAGAGTGCCAGTGATGACGTCAGCAAAATTTCTGCCACCGCTGCACCAAATGCTTCACTGCGACTTCGACGATTAATTTCGTCCGCGTTGAATTAACCATCTTTAGCCACGTTGTCAGACATATCATCTGGTGAAACTCGGTTCCCTGCTCGCTCACTAGCCTCAGTACGTCCTCGCTTGTTTGGTCAACTTTCTAGTCGACATTGAGGCTCTGACCATCCAACTGAGCCACCAGACACAACGGAGTCATCGTCAAATTCAAGATTCATCGGCCTTGGTGGACCTATCAGGCAGCAGAGTGTGTTGACGAAGTGCACCGGCAATTGCAAAGGCTCTTCCTAGGATACTTACCCTGTTCCTAGTCGCATGACCAACAATTTGCTGCACAAATTGCCAGCAGGATATTCCAGTTTCCGGACCCTCAAAAGCATTCTACTGTCAAGCAACTCGGCATCTAGCCCGGATCTTCCCCGGGCCCAGATTTCCCCGGCCCCGGTCCCGACGCCGAGCTTCTCAGCCCCCCCAGCCCACACAGCCAAGACATCACTCACAATCGAGGCTACAATGGCTACCTTCGCAACTCCTCTACCGCAATCAAGCCGGTCCGAGATCCTCGAATGGCGCTTCCCCAAACCCTACCACCAATACGTCCTGACTGGCAAGTCAAGAGCAGCATGGCACACCTCCTTCGTCATCCCCCAACTCAACCTCCTCCTTGACGCAGGCCTCGTCGTAAACAACCTGCGGCCGAAGCACATCTTCATTACCCATGGCCACTCAGACCATTGCCTCCTCGCCCCGGCCTTCACCAAACGCGAAGACCCCCCAGACATCGTTTGCCCCGTCGAGATGAAGAAGGCCTTTGACGACTTTTGCCTCGCAAAGACCCTCCTCAACCGCGGCGGTCTAACGACCAGCAGCGACGCCGAGGCCGTGGGCCTCAAGGTCGACGGCAAGGGCACCGACAAGGAGGGCAGGACAGAAGGGGAGAGGGCCTTCCTCGGCACGCACGTCACAACGGCCGTCAAACACGGCGACGTGGTGCCGCTGCGACGGCTTAAGGGCATGGATGCCCTCGTATTCCAGTGCGACCACAACGTGCCCGCCGTGGGCTATGTGTTCCGGACCACGACGCACAAACTCAAGGCTGAGTATACCTCCCTCCCCGGCCCGGAGCTCAAGAGCCTGCGGCAATCGGGCGTTGAGCTGACGGCGCCGGTGACGACGCCTGTATTTGCGTTCCTTGGTGATACGACGGCGTCGACGCTGGCTGCTGAGCCGGAGTGGTTGTCACAGGGGATTCCGGTTGTGATTACGGAGTGCAGTTTCTTGTATGATGAGCATGATGCACAGGCGGAGAAGACGAAGCATACCAAGTGGAAGGATCTCAACAAGGTCGTGCGCAAGTGGCCCAAGACGACGTTTATTCTGACGCACTTTAGTATGCGGTATAGTAACAAGGATGTTGTTGCGTTCTTCAACGGACTAGAGGATCCGCCTAAAAATATTGTGGTTTGGGCTGATGGGCAACCGGAGTAAGGGATCAAATGGACGATGACAGCATTGATAGAGGTCAGTCTAGATCAAGAGTTGCTGACATTATAGATAGGTAGACATAAAAGATCTTAGAGTATTCACATACCAGCGGTTATCATAGAAACTCTGTCAAATTCCCACAGACAACGCTAATATGACGAGGCACAAGCACTCAGCCTTCACGGAGCGCTCTTTCAGCGAGTCCTGATATTTCCTTCATCTCAGTCTACTGAGCTGAACAATTCAATCCCGCAATCACTGCACCTTCATCCCAGCAAACACATCACTCGTCATAGCCGTCCACAAATCCATCAGATAATTCTTCCTCGGCGCCCACCGCCCCGACCCAGCCTTGGGAAACACCTTTGCCGCATTGCGGACATACGTAGACTTGAGCGGCATCATAGGATGCGGCTTCATATCCGGATCCTCAAGCAAAGGCGTCACCGACCGCAGCTTCTTCTTCTCCATCCCGCGCCACAACCTCACCAAATACGAGCTCGTCGCCTCCGCGCCGAGCGTCCACGAGGCGTTGGCGTACCCGAAAACGTACGCCATGTTGGGCAGGTCCTGGAGCATACAGCCCTTGAAGGCGAATTTCGTGTTGGGGTCGACGCGGCGGCCGTCTACGGAGATAGCGATTGAGCCTGCGAAGCGGATTCTGAGGCCGGTGGCTGTGACGATGATGTCTGGGCGGAGAACTCGTCCCGACGTCAACACGATGCCGGAGCTCGTCACCTCTTCAATGGTATCCGTCACGATGTCTGCCTTGCCAGACCGCAGCGCCTGATAGAAATCCGCATTAGGACACACGCAGAGGCGCTGTTCCCAGGGGTTATATCGTGGCTTAAAGTGTGGATCGAGAGGGATGTTCGGCGGCAGCTGCTTCTGCGCCGCACCAAGCAGAAACCGTTTGGCGGAGGCGGGGAACCACTGGCAGTAGTAAAACAAGAAATACGACAACATGAAATACTGCACCCTCAGAATTCGACTCGAGACAGCTTTCGGGAGGACGGAGAGCATGAAACTCTGCAGACCGGCTTTACGGGATGGCATCCCAATGATGTAAGTCGGACTGCGCTGCAACATCGTCACATGCGCGGCGTCGGTGGCGATGTTGGGAAGTAGTGTCACGGCCGTGGCACCGCTGCCGATGATGACGACGTTCTTGTTGCTGTAGTCTAGGCCCTTGGGCCAGAACTGCGGGTGGATCACTTGGCCTTCGAAGGTGTCGATGCCTGGGATCACGGCTGCGAGGGGGCGTTCGTAGTCGTAGTATCCCGTGCCGAGGACCACGAACCGCGCGCCAATCGTTTTGGTTTTTTGCTTCTCCCCGTCACTGGTGGCCGTCGCCTTGAGAATCCATCTGCATGTCGCCGAGTCCCAGTCCGTGGAGGCTACTTGATGGTTGTACTTTATGTGTCTGTCGATGCCGTGCGCCTGCGCCGATTCTTCGAGGTAGGCGCAGATTTCGGGCCCGCCTGCGAGGGGGTTCTGACCCTTCCATGGGTTCCAAGAGAAGCCGAAGGTGTAGATGTCTGAATCGGAACGGATTCCGGGGTATTGGAAGAGGTCCCATGTTCCGCCCATCCGGGGCCGGCCTTCGAGGATGGCGTAGCTTGCATTTTTGGGGCCGTGAGCTTGGAGGTAGTATGCCGTGTTGATGCCCGAGATGCCGGCGCCGATAATGATATAATCGTAGATCTCGTCCACCTTCAAGTCTGAGGGTTGAGTTGACGCCATTTTCACGATGTTGTCAGTAGGCACATGTGCGTATACGGTTGTGGTGAACAAGAAGCTTCTGACTAGTTGCGCATGGGGCTCATCCACCTTTTGTATAATTCATGGTAAGGAATGTCTACTACACGAAAAGCATACCCACCTCGCAACATACAAACCAACCAATGTCCGACCGTGGCGAGGACCCTACGCTCAGATTTCCCAATCTAGGGTCGCAGATTCACAGAGTTGCCGAGGCTTGCGAGATGGGATGAAACCTAGAAACCCGCACCCAATGTGTTTCTCTACTTGTTTTACCAAGCAACCCGTCACACCATCGGGGAAAATGGAAAGACAAGAGCTCGGAGTATCGGTGTGTTCGTTCGGCCTCCGTTCCCTGTGAAGGGCCCGTGGTTGTTGCATACTCTGTCAAAAGACTATGATTCATACATGTAGTTGGTGGTGAGGGGTATGGGCCAAGAGGAGCACCGCATAGTCCCGCCTTACACAACTGAGTTGTCAAATTTGTGGGTTTAGTTGCTATTGTTACTCTATGCGTGACTTTGTCTTTCTTTCCTACGGGCGTCCGCGGATGCGGAGAAAATGCCACAGTGTATCTAAGAGAACCCCATTGCCCCCACGCATTGACCTAGCTCCTAAGTTGCCTCGGCTGTTGATCCTCCATCAGACGCGGTCATGAGATCAGATGACGATATTAGAGACGAGACGGACCCGGAAAACGACACCCCCGATGGAGCAGAGTGGACTCAGCTTTCCGAATGCGAGTTGAGGTCTCCCGTGCATGTGTGGGGCCTCCGTTGGACTTATAATCTCCCCGATCGGCTCCGGGCCTAGTATCTCTCCCCTGGGCCGATCAGATTCCTCCCGCCCCCGCTCCCGCCCCCGCGTCTTTGCTTGACAAATGGCACCCGTATATAGAGTTCAGGCTTGTTGGACTGCAGCCGACCCCGTGGGGAAAGCTCACTTCTAGTGAGGAGTAAAGGGACTTCAACATTGAGATGCACTTGGACGTGGTCTAGTTTCTTCCTAGCTTGTACCCGCTCGCTCGCATCCGAACGGCACTTGACAGCCTTTGACAGGCTCCTCAGATTGTGATTGTTCTCGAGACGAAGCTTGGAGTACGCAGTGAGTAAGGCAGACCCCCAATCCCTTAGCAAGCCGCCTCCCTGAGTTGAGTCGGACTTTCAGACTGAGGGGGGTGATCAAGGTCGAGGGCGCCCAAGACATCGCCACCGAATTGTCGATTGGTCATCAGAACTTGTTGCGAATCATTGCGTTCTAGGGGCGATAATTGACAGAGCCGTTATGACAAGAAGTAAGGTGTTTGTCATACGGCCTGGTCTTCGGGCTCCGTTGCGGACTTGATTCATAGAGACATTTCCGTGACGGACTCTTTGGACTGAGATAAGAGCCAGGAGAGTAGCTGATTCTAAAACCATAGTAGAACATCAAATAGGGACGGATCTTCGGGAGATCTTCGACAGACCGTTGCGTCCTCGACGTCCACAGTCCGCAGTCCGCAGCCCGCAGGACCGCACCCGCTCTGACCCCGCCTGTCTCGCTGGGCTGTGAGTGGTCAAGGTTGAGTGACTTAGCTTTACTCAATCGATTGAACGTGTAAACTTAAGAGTTGGTTTCCCTGCGAATCTTGCATGAAACTGGCCTCTTGGATCTTAGTCAAGGTCATTCTTCACAACCTTGTAAGAGCATCTCCGCGGGCTTTGCTTATTGCATTCAAACAACTTTCTTTTGTACTTGCGGAAGTATAAAATTTGCTTCATTGTCAGCCCAAAGGGGTTACCTGCTCACCTTACTTGATTGCTTCTTACGTCTTTCACTTTTGCTCTAGAATTGACCTATTAAGCCAAGGCCCACATGGCGAAGTCTTCTCCTGGACAATGCTAATGTGGTATTAACGCAGGACTTTGCGCATTCGGGAGTGTGTCTCAATCAATACCGGCATTCCGCGATCAAATTTATCTCACAGACAGCATGCTGCTATGGCAGTTGATAAGTCCTACAGCTTGAAATAAGTTGAAAATAGGATTCTAGAAACCGAGGAGGTCCACAACAAACAATGAGGAGCTAAGGAAGTATCGTCGCACGAGTGACTTGATGTAATCAAAGGAGTGTCATTTTATCGTTGCTTGACGTCGTTGTCAAGTTTGATTTGCTCAAGCACAGGCATCAATCAAGCGATGAAGATGCTTGAGCTTGAGCTCAATGCGTGCTTGTTCTATAATTAAGATTAAACAACGAACCCCATTTTCGACACTGTCGTCCTCCAAACCAATGCCCCTGTCCAAGATACGAAAACCTGACCAACACGAATGGCTCATGGCCCTAAGTGGTCTCATGTACTCGTAAGATGGAAGTGCCCTGCCCGGGCCACTGACCTCCCTGTCAGAAAACATGGTCGTGGTTCGACTGTGTCGCATGAGGTCGTCGGTAGAAGAAGAGTCGGGCTGAGTATGTAGGTCGCCGGCCTCTGGGTATATCCGTCCATAAGTCATGATGCAAAAGTGGTGTTGTGAAGAAGAAGTGATGATGCAAACAGCCGACCGCCCTGGTTTCTTTCCTCGAATAGGCGAAACATTCTCGATGAATTTATCAGTTCTTTCCAGATTGACCTTTCATCCTCACTGAATTCACTTCATTGCACGGCCGCAGCAGCCACCGCTACTCCGAAAAATGCGATAAGCATGGCGAGACTTGAGTCTGATTGGCGACCTGCAGCATTGACGGGCGACGACGTCGAGAACGGGGGGCTAGTGGGAAGGGGGTTCCATGTGTCTCCGCCACCACCGCCTTGCGTTGCTGAAGCAGATGCAGAACCGCCACCACCGGCATCTCCAGATGCGGTAGCTGTTGCTGTCGCTGGCGATGAGCCGATCGAAGAGCCTGAGATGGCAGAGACGAAGGACCCCGATACCGTTGAACCACCGACTGCTCCTGCGCCGACACAACCACAGACTTGGCCTTATTAGTCTATTGCTCAACGATGATTTCTGCCTCGTGGTGATGACGAGCCATAATAACAGACGGTTGAGGATTGAAACGTCCTTGAGAGGAGAAAGAACTTACCGGATGAAGCTCCGTTGATGACAGCCTGGAACGACGCGGCAGGACAGCCCGTCGCAACACAAGGCTCAATGGCAGCGTAGAGTGCCGCCTCTTGTCGACACTGACATGAGAAGTCGAGGCTATCGCAGCCGACAAAAGACGCGCCCTCGAGGAAACAGCTTTGCGCGCAGGAAGGAATCGCGGTGACGGCGACGCTCGCACAATTTTCTGCCGCAGCCGCGCCACTCGCCAGCCACACCGCGCCGGCGACGAGACGAGTGAGGTTCTTCTTCATCATGATATATGATGTGATATCTTTCTGTACTCTTCTTGACCGAGTACTATTTGGTTAAGCGATTGTGAAGTTTGGTTGAATTGGGAGATGGTGAAACGAAGAATGCTTCAAGGGGTGTTCGTGAGCATGGAGATGGAGCGTCCAATTCGTTCCTGGAGGGTCTGGATACATGCAGGAGAAAAGGAGAATGGGTGACAAGCTTCCTTTGTGGAGGGAGACTGGAGGAAAACCCTGCATGGGGGAGAGGGTGGGAGTGGGAACGGGGACATAGAAAAGGCAACAACCACAGTCACGTTTGTCCTTTTGTCGCCTACCTTGCGATAAACACCACACGACTCATAGCCAGAAGCTCTAGACCAGCAAGCCTGGGCTTCCTTCAGCTGCACGTTGCAGCTCAGCTAGCTTCCTCGGGAGCTATCTAATTTCCCTCACGGATTGTCGCTTTCACATGTGGCCTACTGGGCTCCCAGCCGGCGGTTGGTCGGCATGAGGTCATGTCCGTCGAGCCGTAAATGGGAATATCATCACTAATACGACGCAGGTGGAGAGGGATGTCACCCACACCAACACACACACACCAACACACCAGAATTTTCACTTAGTAAGGAAAGGTAGGTAGTCGTCGTTCCTCTTTGCGCGCTATCTTCTCGGCCGACTTCTCCTCATCCACTTTCCCCCGCAGTCAACCCCGGGGGGTCTGGGGACGGCGATGCCTTCCGATATGGGGCAAGACGCGGGGGAATCGACAGGGATGCCCGAGGGGGGATGGCGCTGATCTTTTGGCCCTGGCACTACGGCAAGGTCGCAGGTGTTGCTCTTTTAAGCTTTTCTTCTGGGGCGCGGACGAATCGTTTGTCTGATAATTGACTTGGCCGTTGGGATGAGCGAGCCAATTTGCCCAAGTCTTGGATGCCGGTCCGACCAGGAAGAGGCGCTGGCCTCGCGCTACATCAAGTTGGGAGCTTGGTGGCAGGGATTGGGAGACGACACCCCGGCGATGTGATTTGTAGTGCAGGTGATAAGCTGGCTGGCTAAATCCACCTCGAATGGACCGAGGCTGGCAGAGGACGCACGCGACAGACATTTGATTGTGATCAGAGTATGGTGTCTGGTAAATCCAGCTCGTATTTGGGAGAGGTGGTGGCAGAGATCCGGGCGGGCGAGGCGGATGAGGATGGTTTTTGGAGGTGGCGAGCCAATCAAGGCCTCGAGAAGCTTTCTTACATCAATTGACCATCCAAACCGTTGGAAAGGGCTCGCCGGTGGCTTACTTAAGTTCCTTTCTGCTAGTGCTAGGTCTCACCAACGCGACCAATTGTTGGTGATGTCGTATTAGCCACTAACAGACTGCTCAGACATCTTGCTAGCACAACCTCAGTCGGTTGGACGAGATCATCACGCAAAAAGGGTGATACCGTTTAGGGGGGATTGACGGCGCAAACTTGTGAGAGCACGACATGAGCGAATCACGAGATTAGCTTGTGTCTTGGGATTCGAGAAGAGGACGCGGGCTTTGATATCACGCCTTCCACATCCATCCAAGATTCTACGTCTTGAAAAAGTCTGGACTCCATGAGGGACTTCGGAGATTACACGAACATGGTTGCACGTAAGTGGCCTATCAAAGGCTAGGCTGGCTGCATTTCGCCGTCTTGAGCCTGCAGGCTTTCTAGCCGATGTGACCAGAGTTGCTGCGCTGATAATCCAAACCCAGGGACCTTTTTTTTATTCTTTACCGAGTAATACGACTCGTTGGAGTATCGGAAATATCTATGATTTTATTATCGTTTCAACTAGATCAAGAGTATATCTGGCACCGTAAGCCCAACTTAAGCTTATTTTCATGCCTTGAATTCGCAGTCACATGCAGCGTCAGATGCGTACAACGGTTTTATCATAACGTATGTATGACGAAGCTAACCGAGGAGCGTCTCTGGCCTTCCTCTTCGATGACATCTATCCAGTGAGCATACTCGGCAATCTTCCCTACCGGGTCGCTTATTCTGTCTGGTCTCCCGGCGCTGTCCCAAAGTCTATGTGCGACCTTACCTCGACTAGGAGAGTAATGGCGCGCTGAATTGTGCGAAGCCCGATGATTTGGTAGATCCGGGACAAGCTCTGGAGCACAAATTTCCCCCATCGCTCGATATTGCGATTAAAAGTGTACTGCTCTGACATGAACTGGCGCTCATCCACTGCCTTGATTTTGCCCAGGACCGAGCCGGCGATAATCAACACCAGCGTCCACGTTGCTATTGTCCGACAGTCATCCGGTATGGTTTCGAGAGTATTCAGGATATCCAAAGCGATCCCTAGCAACAGCTGTGACTGCTTGTCTATCCCATCACAAGGTAGGCGGGCTGCTGGGTCTGATTCCAAACGAGCCCTAGCCAGCTCTGGAAAAGCGCAGTACGGTTCCAGGCAGCCACCCAACTGGTAGCAGTGAGCAAGCTGACGGAAGTGAATTAGCAGAGCTTTGATATCGCCAGTATCCTCGATGGATGAAAGCTTGGGAAGCTGCCCTCTGTGCATTTGATTTTCCCACAAAGAAGCCTCATTGAGAGAGTTCATATACGCCATCCCTTGACTGATTCCGCTCTCGTCTTGAAGAGTAGTCCGGACGAGAGATCTTTTCCTCCGGATCGGTGAACCTATTCTACCTAAACAGCTGAACACTGAAGTTTCAACACCGGTCCAGGGACAGACGAATGAAGAGGGAAACACAGCGTTTTCAAGGAATGTATCAAGATAAGCAAGCGACTGTGCCGCTTAATCAACTAGAAAAGAGACCAGCACTTCGCAGTACACCATCGACGGCACGAGGAATGCTTGAATTCGCGTCATGATGCGTGATTCCGAAGGGCAGTCCAGTCCTTGGTCTTTAGCCCAGGATTGAAAGAGCAATCGCGACCCGTCGATGTGTGATAAGTCAAGAGATGAAGGATCATACCAACTCTAAATCATTTGCGTCAGTCCTCTCAAATCAATTCACAATAGGAGCAGGGCTCACCGAAGTTATGCCAAGTAGAATGATGCCTAACAACACTTCATCCTCCACGGGGTATAGTGATGTCGACAAAATGATCGACGGACCATTATTTGGCTTGTCGAAGGTGACAATGGTCGGGTTTGTGATTTTACATGGTTCTTCTGAGATCTCGGAGATTGCCTCGGTCTGAAAGCTCAAGGGCGCGATTGAGCTGCCATCGTTCTTGCGGAAGTCAGAGGCAGACATATTCATGACGCAAAGAAATAGCAAGCGTGAGCTGGCCATCATTTCTGATACGTAAGATCGGAAAGGGTTCTGTCCGGAGTCGAATAATGAGCTGATTGGGCAGACGAGTGAAAAGTAATGATTGAAAAGCAGAAAATTTTTATCACGGGGCTCATGAAGTAGCAGAGCATTGTCTATTGGTCTCTCACAAATTATTATTTCATCAGCCTACATCTCTAATGTGCAGTCAGATGCGTGCTCGAGCGGTTGGTCGTCACCTGCTGGAGCTGATTCTTCTCCTCAGAAGTCTGTAACGCTCATAGGTGACTGTAGACCACCATGTGTGAGTTCTTCATAGTCTGATATGGAAGATGAACCTCGAACATGGGGACTTTTCGGTGAAGAGGCCGCGGCCATAGAACCAGAGGCCTCTTGCGCCAGAGGCTGGGATGATGACTTGTTTGGCGTTTCAATCGCTGCTTGCCTCTTGGGCGGGATATCAAAGATAGCTCGCGAGACGTTCCGAACATCTTATTGAAACCAGTTGGGCGAGCTGTCAATAGAATCAACGAAACTGGGAGGCGTGTGCGGAGCACTCTTGTATTTCGTAGGACCACTTCAATACTTAAGCATAGCCGGGGCAATCGACACCCCACTTTACACATCGTGAACAGCGAGGCCCAGCCTCATCGCATTTCAGCTTCTTTCAAAACTCTCAATGTCAGATGATATAAGTTTATTGGAACAAGTTCCGGACTTACCCGGTGTTCACAACGAACGCAGCCACCTCGTGATCATGAAGGTTATTGATTTACCTCAAGCTGCGAGAGCCGGAAAGTAGGGTGGTTGGTATTGACTCCCGGACTTTATTCTCCTAGAACGTTGAGATGAGCCGCTACTCATGATCGCGAGATAACATGATAAATCGAATGTGTCGTAGGGTATATATGGTGTCAATTGCTGCCCGCAATCGACGGCGTCGTTCTTGTGACAGAATGAAAGTGCCAATGTTGTCGAAGAGAAGAGGTTGGAGATTGTGTGTGTACTGCATTGGCACCACCGAATAAGCATGCGGGGCTGCTTGACAGATAAGTGTGCCGTCAATTCCGCATCGTATGCACTTTCCAATTGGCTTCAGCTTATCAACAAGAGCCACTCCGAGAATGCCTTATACCGCGCAGAATTGATCATGCTTTTTCGACATAAGAGAATCAGATCACACAAAACTTGGGAGAGCCGCTTCAAGGATTCATGTCTCAATCACACTTTCAGGGACGTGTTCCATACATGCGTGGATTTTTTGTACGGGCCCAAAACTTCGGAAACATGTGCAAGGTAGTTTCAATGATTCAACCAATTGAAATCTCGTTGTCAAGATATTTACGTACATCACGTCAATTAATCACGCGTGTTTGCCTCGGCTCAAGAAACGATAAAACCTGACTTTGGAAACCAACTCCGACTTGATTCTAATAAGGTGGAAATGCTGTAGTACTCAAGCAGAAACACGACCATTCATAACATGCAGCTCAGTCAGAGGCCCAACATACCTCTTTCTCGCTCGCAGCAGCCAATAAGAGGCACCAAACAGCAAAGCTGCACCGAGAACAACTGGCGCATAGTTCATGTTGAGAGCAGTAACGGGATAAAACGGAGGAAGGAATAGGAAGACGCATGTGAAAACCAGATAGCACACGGCAATCACGTTGACTACCACTCCGATCCGTCCGAGACGCCAAGGCCCCCATACCAGAGTCTCTGGACGGAATATTCTGCGCCAGAGCACAAGGATGATCGGGAACAGGTATGAGGCTTGAAGGCTTACTACAGCGAGAGAGAGTATGGCATTGAAGGCCGTTGTAGAGCCGATATTAATGAGTCCGAGGAGAACAAGTAGACAGGTTGTGACAATAATGGCGACGGTGGGGATGCCGCGTTTTCGTTCGACCTTGGAGACGACTTGGGAAAAGGGAAGTCCTGGAGGGTGCTTAGATCAGTTTGACTAGTGTATTGAGTTCGGATGCACCTACCTTGGTCTCTTGCAAATGCCCATATTACACGCGCTGCAGAAGTTATCAGTGAAATAGTCGATATGGTGGCCATGATCGTCACAGCAGCTGTCAGTGCGTTGGTTGCTGCCAATGTTCCAGTAATGTTGTAAAAGATCTGAATGATGGGGAACCCAGTTGGCGAGTTCAATGCCAATTCAATATCGCCCATGCAGAACAACAGCGTGATCAGAAACGTAAATCCGAGAGCACCATTGATGACCACGCAACCAACCATTGCGCGAGGTACGCCGATATCCGCATTCTCCATCTCCTCACTGAGATGGGTAGCTCCATCGTATCCCATCAGCACGTAACAGCAACTCAGGAGACCAATGCACCACGCTATGCCATCGTTGGACCACCCAGAATTGTTTCCAAATGTCGCAAATACGAAGGAAGCTGAATGCTTTGTGGGTGATACGATCGCCATTACGATCAGGATGATCAGGTAAAAGCCAACGTGCAATGCCATTGTGATCTTTCCCAAGAGCGGCAGGACGTTGCTGCAGAAAATGCAGACAAGAGCAGAGCCTAGAAGAATAGCCCAGTAGAGCATTGTCCCATGCCATCGCTCAAAGGTATAAGAGTCGGGGTAATTGAAAATCAGAAGACCCTGAATCTGGGTTCCGGCGAGAAACGGCGCGCTTCCGGCTAAAGCGACCCATCCTAGGGTACTAACAGGCATTCCAAATAAGTTTATGTGCAAGTGTTGTCGTTTTGGAACCTCATCCTTACGTGATGTATCCAGCAAACCAGCTGTGAACTTGCCCTTTCCTCCCTGAGCTCAAATGTGCGACAAAGTGATATTGGCCTCCTGCCGTAGGGTGACTATGCAGATGGTCAATAAGGTTATTGTGAAGTTTCCAGAGTGCCCTTACATTGACGCCAACTCAGCGAGAGACATAGCTGAGCATAAAGATCCGAGGAAAGCAATAACAGCTCCATAAACGAGCGAGGCCGGGCCTCCGTTTGTAAGCCCCGTAGCCATCGTGCTGCCAAAACGAAGGTTAACGTTGCCTAGATCAAGACTCCGGATATGCATTACCTGCAAAGAGCTTCCCACGTTGCCATCAATGATACACATGTTGCCAGTATCGCTGTTGGTGAAAAGTTTCGCTGTAGTAATATGAGGATTGTTATCCACAGGTAGCGTACCTAGATGATAGCTGAATGCATACCTTGACCTTTTGAACATAATTAGTTTGTATTTGGACTCCCCCCTCCGGACCTGTGGGCAGACTCTGCTTTTCGGGGATAGATTCGGAAGTCATCGCAGCTTTGAGCAGTGAGTGGTGTTTGGTAGCAACTCATAGGGGCCTCGTAACGTCGAAGAAAGAATCTCAATTTATTCTCCCCAGTATATAATACACGGCTTTGAGACTCAAGACATTGATAAGCTGAATGCATGTAGCCACTCGGAAGTTGGTTTATCTATGCGCCGAGTGGCAATTTGCAGGTACTCCGTATACGAAAGTATCCATGATGGTGGTCGACCGACGCTATGCCTCGAATGGAATAAAAGTGCGAGGGGCAGGGAATCATGCAGCCCGCATTCTGGCCAATAACCAGGTCGTCACCGGGATTTGAAGATGACAACACCAAAATTAGCCACATGAACCAAGACTACAACCTAAAATTACTAAGATAATGAACAGGCAAAGAAAGATTTAGAACTGGCTCTAGGAGCGGTTCCGAGTCAGCTTATCTCGGAAAGATCGAGATCAACACCTTCCGGGTCCAAGATTTCTCTGCTGGACGTACCATATCTTTCCCCCATCTCTCACCGTCCCGCGGGAACCTTGGATCAACCACCATTCGGCTACTTTAGGCCATTAGCCAGCTGGGCTTTCTGATAGTGAAGAATGGTGCTATCAGCCGTGGCTGCCGGTGGAATTCCCTCAATCTCTATTGTCAGTGTGGTAATTTAGTTTCCCACATCGACCAAATGTGAAGCAGGCCTTTGCGGGTAGCATGTAAGGTAGAACTTTCAAGAGATGCTGGCAACGTTACCAGCGGCCCTGTGAGACTACCTACATAGATAGCTATGTCAATAAATGAGCTTTCAGCCTGATTCATCCAATTGTGGCACAATTAAAACATCAGAATTTGGACTGGACTTCGAGGCAATTCACACGAGGAAAGAAATGATAGATCTAGAGCAGCAGGTCAGTGGCCAGAAAAGGGGCCAGTTGACGAGCTCTAATCCCGCGCATCAAGATACGTGACAAAATGATTTTCAAACCTGACCTAATTGATTATTGAAAGTACTACAACATCCAAATATCTGGTACTCTTCGTCTCATTCAGAGCCTCCCGCTCGTGACTGGCTTGGCAAGAACCTTGGCGGCGTCGGTCTCTGCCAAAATTGTGGCATACGACCCAAACCGAACCCAAACCTCACGCTGAGGCTTGGGATCCCAACAGAAGAATCGCCCGGTCGAGCGCATTTCGCGCAAGTCAACCACAACCACAGACTCGACAGGCATGATAGTCTCTGTCCAAAACAACAAGTACAGACTATCGCTTAGCTTCAGCATCTTGCAAAGCTCTGCGTCTGCCAGGCCCTTCTCTGTGCCGCTGAGGCAGTGCCACATGAGGGTGCCTTTGTTGAGGTAGAGATGCTCGTAGGCATCGCGAGGGGTATAGCGGTACAGAATGTGCTTGCCGATGAGCTCCTCGGTAGTCTCATATGGTCTGACGTCGCCACGGTCATTCTTGATGGCGTTGAAGAACTTCGTCCATGTTCTCCTCTCGTTGGTTTGGTCGCTGAAACCGGAGACGCACGCAATCGACTGGCCTGTTGTGTTGTCGAGAATCAAGCTGACTTGCTCCTTATAATCGGGTTTGTAGAAATCAACGAAGTAGATGTCGGCTCGAACTTCATAGGCTCTGTACTGGGCATCACCGGTGACTCCGGCTTGGTCTCCCTCGAGGATTTTCCAAGTGAGCGTCTCTGAGTCGTGGAATTCGTGAGATATACGAAGACCTATATCGAAAACGTGATCGAAAGTATTGCCGGCAAGTTTTGAAGATGCGGGCATTATGTGTTCCTGGAATCCGGCTACCAGTTCTTCCAGGGTGGGCCAGTCCGATACAGGCACAAAGTCGGAAAGCTCTGTAGAGGCGACCATTTTGACGGGATTCTACGGTGAGTTGTTTGGAGATTATGATGATAACGATAAACAGCAAGAATTTATACACTTTTTCTTGCTTTCTAAATAATAGCGAGGTAGACCCAGCCCCTAATGCTCATTGCAGCTTCCTGACATCTTGCATCTGGGGACCTAGTTGTTGGACCTCGCACTTTTTGTCCAAAAACGGCTTAGTGGTTTCGCGGAAATTCGGACTCTCGATGTTCTCCTGTCAATCTCTCCGAGATACCCCAGCCGGGACTTAGCTAGGCGGAGTCGTAGGTAGATAAGGTGAACTGGATGCTTCACTTCGTTCGTGTAAGATGTCCCAATCTAGAAGTTCCACTTGGATCGTTGTTTGATTGCCGAAAGTTCTTGCATTAGGCATGTTCCGATGTCGATTCCGAGGCAGAATCGTCATACTTGGAGATCGCCCACGGAAACTGCAGCCTGGCTATCAGAGACCATCTCTACGGTTTTGCCCATTCTAGGTCTCTCGTGATGGCTGCAGACTAGCTAAATTTTGGACTTTGTCTTCTCCTTCTCGGTCTCGGCACGGAATCGCTTCGTCAACTGCCGGATAGCCAAGTCCAGCAAGACATCCTCGCTTCCACCAGGGATTCTCGCACCGGGAACCTCGCGGTAGATTTCTAAAAGCGGCACGATCAGCTTAGTTCTCTTGAGAAGTTAGTTCATTAGAATATGGTGTCACTTACTTTCGGCAATTTCTCCCTTGCCGGTACGCGTGTAGCCGTTGCCGCCGAATAGCAGCACGGCACATCTCGCACACTCGTCAAGAACAATACCGGCATTGGCTTTGCACAAGGCCGTTAACCCGCCGAGTTCCTCATCTGCAGTTTTCTTTGGCATCTTGGATAGTTGATATGCAAAGGACTCAACCCAAGCATACTGTGACTCGAGGATTGCTCCGCATTTGGCCAGTCGATGACGGACCACCGGCTGCTCGATGAGCGTCTGCAATTATGGTCTTTAGCAGAGAACACGGCGTTTTCGGCAGACCCAAGAATGTAGACATACCTTATCAAACGCCTTGCGCTGCATACAGTACGCAAAGGCGGCGCTCAAAGCCACTCTAGCTTGCCTTGTAACGCCCACCGAGATAAACATCCGCTCATGGTTGAAGTTATGCATGATGTACTTCATGCCCTCGTTTTCTTTGCCGATGAGGTTTTCTCGCGGCACCCTGACATCGTCAAACTCGAGATACGAGGTGCCGGCAACAATTTGACCGGCGACCTTGAGGCGCCTTCTGCTCACACCGGGTTGGTCCACAAGCGGTACCACAAGCAGGGAGATGCCCTTCCCTCCTGAGCCTTCACCACCGGTGCGAACGGCTATGGTTGCGAAGTCTGCCACAAAACCATTGGTAATCCACTTCTTGGCCCCGTTAATTATATACTCATTGCCTCTGAGCTCAGCTGTCGTGGTGATGTTGGCTACATCTGACCCTGCACTAATTGTTGGATTGGGGAGATTAGCCTGGGTGTCCGCCAGTTACGAGGCTGCTCAGAGAACTTGATGCACAAACGTACTCGGGTTCAGTGATCGCAATGCAGGTTCTCTTTCTTCCAAGGAGGAGATCGGGTAAGAAGCGATTCTGTACTTCGGCATTCGCATAGTGCAGTAGAGGAGGAACCCCGAATGCCATGCCAGTAGTCAAGGATCCCGGAGGTCCAGCCAGTCCTGAGCGACTCATCTACAGCCCAGACTGTCAGTAAGGCACAGAATTGCGCAACAACTAGAGCTCCTACCTCATCTGAGTAAATCATGGTATGCAACGCGTCCCACTCCTCTACCGGTACTTCCCCAGGCATATGCGTGACTCCCAACTTGTGCAGCCATTCTACGGGTAAAGGCGCCGGCAACGCCGGAATGAGGAAATTTCCCTTGGCGAACTTCGTGAACAAATCGGACGGGATGTCTTCCGCCGTTTCCCATTCCATGGCGTCCTTGTGCAAGTTCTCGTCAAGAAACTTTCTACAGGCAACTTGGAACCTGCGGTGTGAATCGTTGAAATACGGGGAGGGCAAACCCCTCAGCCATGGTGGATCTGCAAATGGAACTTGAGACATGGTGTTGGCGGGCGGTCCTGCGTGTGTAAGGTACAGACGTGTAAGAGGTTGGAGGAAATTGCAAAGTCTTCAGCTACTATATCAGAGCGAAAGTATTCAGAGAGTCTTGCAATGTTGTTGTTGTTGACAATGGCAGCACCTGAGCTCGGGCAGCTCTTTCGGCATCCAGATTGCGGGGCCGGCTGAGACCGAGGTCTGCGGCCCCTATACCCCACTCAGCGCTAGCCACGGGCCGATGACGAGTCCGTTGACAGCGGCGGATCACCGAGAGGCAAACTAGACCAAAGCCGGATGGATGGATCGGCCCGGGTCTTTGACTCGGAGTCACTGATTCAGTCTGGCCTTTGCACCGGACATCACAAGTTCTTCCGACAATTTGCGGAATGATCTTAGGCCAGAGGTTGCGTGATAGCATGCCGGTTACCGGTTGGTGGAAGAGTTACTGAAGTCTCGAACAAATTCCTTTCTCTACTGGCACTGACTCCCTCATCATACCCATTACTATGGAACACATCGAATATCATGTCGGCGTCCAGGAACAGCGAAATGTTCAAGAAAATTCTTTGCTTGTACGTACTTAAGTTGTCTATGGTAGATACAGTAGATGGGGGAAAATATATACACCATGAAGTCGTCAATATGTTTAGCGCCGTCCAAGGCACCTTTCATCCGAGTTCAGAACCTATGCACCAATGTAGAAGTCGATACAGCTCTCGTAAGTCTGTTTGTTGGTCTCGGCGTACCAGAACCACTGGATCGCGCACTTGCCACCAACGTCGCAAGCGGTGGCAAGGGTATCGGGGATAGTGATATTCCAGTCAGCTGCAAGTCTGTCAGTAAAGTGCACACACAATTTGGCTGGTCTTGGTATCCACTTACTGTCGGCCAACGGGTCGGGGTCGGTGGTGGGCCAGTCGGACCACGAGATGAGCGGCTCGCCGATGATGGTGTTGTTTGCAAGATCGATCACCGAGATGTTCTGTTACTCATATCAGCATATGCACTTCGACCAGTGGTGTGCAAGGCCTAGCTTACGGCGTGTCCGGGTCTGTGACCGGCAACGAGGTCGATGTGGAAGGGGATGACCTCTCCGGCCGTAACGGCGCGAACATTGTCCTCGTTATCCTCGTATTGGTAGCCACGGCATTGGAACAAGTTGCACTTGTAGTCGGCGTCTGCTACCGCGAGGGAGTTCTCGATGGGACCGGCAATATCGCTGTCGAGTTTCTTGGTCACTGCAGCTCCGCAGAGCTCTTCCTGCTTGGCGCCAGTCTACAACGCAATTTGTTAGCTTCAACTTCCGGTGCAAGACCAAACGGTCTCGGAACGTACCGTTCTGGGCTCCGGGGTCTGTACGACACCATGTCCAAAGACACCGGTAGCCAGAGCTGCAAGAATGGCGTGCGTGAACAACATTGTGGAGAGAAAGCCGGATGAGTGATGCCGTTCGTGGAGTTGTGTTGGTACCAAAGTGCGCAAAACTGGTCAGAGATCGAAGCCGAACTTCCGAGCGAAGACCTTTAAGAGTCTTTCGAGACTCCCTCTCAAAATCGGTCGCATGTTTTAGACATCAAGATTAAAGTGTCAGATGGATCGACGACAAGCAGAATTCTGCCGTTGTTTAATCAATTGCCCGCGTGGCAGCCCCCATTTTCCGCCAATTCTCCACAAATGACAGGCCTGCGGTCGCCAATCATGCCCTGGAGTTGATTAACATGCGGCACTTGGAGACACCCACCGGCAACCCACTGCACCCCTTGGTGGAACCGCAGAATCAGAAAAAGGCATGGACAATTGGTGGGATTTCCTAAAAGAGTCCGGGAAAGAGGGAGAACAAAAGGGGTCGCGACTTGCAAGTTGTATTGGAACGGAGGCACTCTAGAAAGAAAGGGGCGTAAAACAGGGCAATGAATCTTCTACGCCAAGACTTGAGGGCGGAGGCCGGCACGATGAGAGTCTTGGGCTTTTCAAAGGAAAATTGTACTCCGTAGCTATCTCCAGCTAAGTATCTCAGGAAGATTGGGCTACCGATGCAATGATAGAGAGCTTTAGGGGCCAAAGCTATGCCGTTCTAATAGAGGCCATTCAGGTTTTACTGTGAGCAACTCTATGAATGATTGGGTGGCGGAAAGATCTAACGCTACCTCAATTGTTTTTCACTGTGTACGGCTCTGGGAGCTTAGACAACAGGCACTGTCCATGTCCACGATGTTGTTGATTCTCCTACGTCCAGTGGAGGCTCTAGCAGTTGAGGACTGCATGCATATTTGAACCTCGACACCACATATTATGGCGTAATCACTTATTCAAAGACTTTACGCATTCTTACTTCCAATAGGCAACTCACAGAAACATTTCAAGAAGACGCGTACAGAATACCTGCTCTATGAAGAGTGTATAAAGACAGCCTTTGCAGTGGACACCACCACAACTCAACACATGCCTAGATAGGTACATGTATGCAATCATAATTAGCGCGCGCCGGCTTTACACCACGGTGACAGTTTGAAGTATTTCACAAGGTGAAGTGTGAATTGACCAATACGGCCCGCTTGTCGTCTCAAAGCGGGAATGCCTTAGGTTGAATTGCCCCGAGATTTGCTTCTCCAACATGGCGCTTGAGTGTTGCTTGGCGAATGTCAGTCGGTGAAAGACCAGGCAATGGTCTGCGAGTAACTGCCAACTCATTCTAAGGTCAACACGAGCTTCTAGACAACATTCACTCCGATCTGCAATGCTGACAAACACGTGCAGGGGTTTGACATCATTTCTTCAATCCCCGCGTTGCTGCCTAATTAGCTGATAAGCCGTCACTTCGAAATGGCGAGCCTTTACTAGGTACTCTTACGGACTATGAGTATCAGTGCATGCCGATGAGAGTTGCTCAAACACAAACTAGAGCTGAACGGCGCACAATCTCACTCGGAAAGAAGATTATAGAGACTGGGGCAACCACGATCAACATGCCTCTGGATACACCGCGCTTCATTCCCACTCCAACTTCCTTGGAGCTCTATGCCTCGTTCGTCCATGGAGAAAATCCAGAAATACGTGTCAAAGAGTCGTTGACGCAGATCATCAATGCCCACCCTCCTCTTCAATTGTACACGCAAGACCAATGCCGAGGCTTCTTCCGCGGACCGACGTCTTTGGCATATCTATTGCTTAGAATCCATGCGTCTCACCCCGAAATCAGAATCCATGGACAGTCGCTTCAGCAATGGGCGGCTTCTTACATCACTGCTAAGCGCGGGGGAGGAGACTCGGCCCCTTGTGGTCTCGCATGCGAGAGCGCTGCTTTTTGGGCAGTGCAGACAATTCTGGACGAATCACAGGCGCCAAAGTTTCAAGAAGTGCTGGAACGACTTGCTGACGAAGACGATCATCCATATGAGCTCCTCTTTGGCTATGCTGGTATCTTGTATATGATTCGTGCTGTAGAATTTTCGGTACGTTTGATGCTAGTCGTCTGCTGTGTGGAAAATGTAGTTGATAATCAGGTACATTAGAGACCGAAGGTAGCGAGTCAAGTCGCTACCGCTAAAGCCCGGATCATCGAGAAGACACTTGCTGCAGGTCCCTTGTGGACGTGGCGCGGAAAGCGCTACATCGGTGCTGTCCACGGTGACATTGGCATCCTGACTCAACTCTTACTGACAGATCCGAAATTGGAGGAGAATCCAATGATCAGGGGATCACTAGAGCGCATGCTTGAAGTACAGCGAGATAATGGTAACTGGGAAACCAAAGATGATCCCGGTAATACAATCTACGAGGGTCTTACTCAGTTTTGTCACGGAGCGCCCGGTTTTGTTCTCTCACTCGTGCATATTGAGAAGTTCTTCCCGGATCTGAAGGCAAAAATCGATAAAGCCCTTCAACTTGGCAGGGATTTCATCTGGAAGGAAGGACTTTTGCTAAAAGAGCCATGTCTATGTCACGGAGCACTGGGGAATTCGCTGTGAGTACATGATTATAACCTCGGTTTCGGATTCTGAGGTCATCACTTACACTTTGGACAGTGCTTTCCCGCCAGGGAAAGAACGGGACCACTTCCTGGCTTGGTCGCTGCCGTCTAAAGTTGCCGAGGAGCACGAGCGGGACAAGACAATCTTTTCACCCGAGGACGGGGCGCGCCTGGCGACGTATTTTGACTACTTGCCTAGCGCAGCTTGGACGTTCATGGTTTGTGAGGAGGCAGTCCCGGAATTTATTCTCTACACCGATGTGTAGATACCCAACTTGCCTATAATGTAAGGCGAGGCGGCGCATCTCTAGCTATAGCAGCATGACACATAAACTTTCCTAGCCTTAGTTACTGCACACTCTACGTGAGGTCATAGTAAGAGAAATACTTTGAGAACTGAACCTTAGACAAGAAGCAGAGAACGTTGAATAGGCGTATTGTCCCAAGGTTAGACCCCGACTTGTTTCATTACCACAACTCTAATTTGAATGTGGGCTATCTCACTAACTACTTTGGTCATTATGTATAAGGGTTTTAGCCTCTCGCCATCTGTCAACTTCTACTCCGTCATTGCGGCGGAAATGCTGGATGGTCCGGTGGGCGAGTCGCAGATCTCACCACCACTGTCGTCGTGATTGATCCATCAGGACCATGATCCTTCACGATCCGGAACTTCTCCTCGTCCGGTAACTCCGAAACCCAAGTATCTGACGTGCAAGATCTCTTCACCGTAGTTCTGCTGTAGGCAATTTCAAACTCCTTTTCAACCATAATCATCTCGGGACCTTGGGGAGAGAGGCTGAACTCTCTTGCGGCCTCGAGGTCACCACATATAGGACCAGGCCAAAGCTTTCTTCTTGAAGCCGTAGAAGTTGGTGAAGCTGGGATAGTTGGAGATGGTATCGGAGTCGAAAAGTGTTCCGGAAAGAGATGCTCCACAAGAGGTTGTAAGGCTGGGATACAGGCGGCGATAATGACGACGTCTGCTTCAAGACTGCATTCAGTGTCAGCTATCTTTGCATACTGACTGGTGATGAGACGCCTCAGCCGACGTCTCTTCCCTCATAACTTCTCATCGGAATCATTCCCACCATTGATGACTTACCTCGTCCATATTACAAGATCTGCTGAGTCGTCTGGTTTCAACGTCAGAGATGGCGTACTTTGGCTAGCAGTACCATGCGTATTACTTACAAGTGAAGTCGGGGCTTCCAAGGGATTTCAGCCTCGTGCACTTGAATAAAGCGGTAAACAAGGCGCTGATATACAAGTTAGATCTGCTTCGTGTCTATGGAGGGGCGACATAGACAGCCTTAGGCCATGTCTGGAATTCCCGTTGTCCAGTCCTTAGATTAACTTACAGCAGACCCAGGACAAGAGAAATCGTTATAGCTAGTCTCTTTCTTCGAGCAATTTTCAACCTTCGAACAGATAGTGCCACATAGATGGCGAGATAGGCATTTGTAGCAGCTGATATGCCTAGATACGTCCACGTGGTCAGTCAATCCGCTCTTTGTTGACCCTTATGTCGGAGGATTTGAACCCACCACTTGTAGATATTGAATATGCAACCGCTCTCTCCGGACCCAGACAGGCGGTTTTCGTGTACGTGATGTTCACCACAGCCTCTTGCGGACACTGCGCAAAGAGCCCAATCACATTTCCCAGTAGTCCCACGCAGCACAGCAACCCCAATGCCCACAGGAAAACTCGGTGAAGTCGTCGAGGATTGAGAAGTCGGTTCATGAGCGCCACCACTGCGAGCTTTGGCAAAGCGAGCGCAATGATCCCAAAACCAAACGATAATACCGTCCACTTCAGCGTCTCTTCCTTCTGCTCATCGGTGAGCACATTGACGTGTTTCCCGTTGCCGAGCGCGACAGCCTTGAGCGTCGTTCCAGTTGCCGTCCACCCTGCTACCACCGCTGCCAGGAGAATCCCGTCGTCATATTGAACGCGGTGCTGGATCCATCCCTTGACGTACAGCCGCGCAAACGCAAATAACGTAGATATGATGGTTATTGGGACCACGGATGCCACAATTATGGCGCTAATATCGTGGTTATCGACGATAACATCGGAAGGGTCTACGTCGCGCGGAATTATGGGAAACGGTGGTATCGTCGCTCGGGTTATCGTTTTGTACAGCAAGGACATCATACGCGCTGGCGCAGTGTCATTCGATCATCGAAGCAAAGAGCAAACATGGCATTCCCACATTTGGTTGTATCCTGACAGTTGGGAACAATAACGTGGGACGACGAGAATTGGGTAAAGAGTTCGGGGACAGAGAGGGGGGAAAGCAGATACAACAGTTGTAAGAGGAAAAGGTGAAACTCGAAACCTTATTCTAGAAAGAGGGACGAAATCGAGCCCATCGTCTCACGGACCTGGGCGGCCACAAGCGATAGGTTGTAGAACAGCGCGTCTGAGGGTTAGTCCATTCGCCATCATCCGATTTTGCGGTTGGGTGAAAGGAAACTTAGTTGCTCTGGCCTGGCGCGGCTTCCTTCAGGCGGAACAAAGTCTCCAAACCAAGGAGATTGAATCGATGAATAATTCACAAAGCGTTGTGACATTGAAGTCTTCCGCAAACAGCAGACTGTCGGTCGACCCAGATATCCGGGTTCCCGAAAAGCCATCGATTCTGACTTTGACAAAGGAACCCACTCGGGATCGCGGCAGCCACGATCACCAGTTCAAATAGAGAGACTTGGGGGCCGCAGGCTAGTCCAGAAGCGATGGCGGGCTAATAACGTCAGCACTTGCTCGGGATGTCTGCTTGCGGACCGATTCCGAGGACATGGTCAACGATTACCAAGGACATCAGATGTCAAAATTCTAAAAACAAAACAACGTTTCTCGCAATACCTTAGGCAACTTATAGCCGTCGCAAAGCCATGGCTCCGGGGAAGGCTCCAAGCTCGTTTAGCCGCCTGATCGGACGTTGCGAGACGTTGACTGGCTGCGACTAGTCTTGCCAAGTTGGTGTGGCCTAGCCTCCTTCAGCATTTTACCCTTGTTCAACCCAAGATGGGACACGCTTCATCATTATGCTAGGTAGGTCAGTGTGTTACCAAGGGCGAGTGTATGCCAAGAGAATCGTTCCTCAGGTGCCCCATGATGAGCTCATCAGATAGACAGCTCCTAAGGTCTGGACTTTTACATCCTCTATATGGATTTGGAGATTCTCGATCCTCGGCATTTGAGGAATATGGCGGGGACTAGAGCTAGTATATTGATAAATAGATTGAGGGAGAGTCCCGTTTAAGGGCTTAATGGAATTCCGACCCAACACATTGCGCGGCAGTGTGCGAGGCAATCAGGCTAGGTAACTGTCCTTCATGGCCTTAATACAACTTGCCCACATCCCATACTCAGCACTTGCTAAGGCAACAGCGACTTTCCTGATTAGGTTGATTGCGGTAACCCTGGAGGTCGTCCATCTACAGGCGAGTCTGCTAAACATCTCAAGGGACGCAAATAAAGCTTATTCCGAGGTCAAGGCTCTCAAAGCCATGTGGGAGTCAGGGCATAGTCTTTTACTAGCATTGACCAGGTACTACACACTGAGGAAATGGTGGTTAACTTAGGCCTTGGACCAGGTTATCCCCGCCATACATTCGAGTGCTGAAGTCATCTGCACCCGAGGGCCTCGGATTCATTGGCTACTCCACGCGAGGAAGCTTGTTTGAAACAAAGATCAGACTGCACATCTTCAAGCTTTTGCCTTCTCGGCCTCCTCGTGAACTGGCGGTCTCCGCTGACCGGCCGGTAGCCGTATGCGCTCCTCTTTGTGCCGGCTATCGAAGCGGGGTGGGGCAGATGGGGCCGAGAAAGGCCCAGTGCTGAGAAGGAAGTTATTCCGAGTGAGTCCCGCATGATGAAGAATGTCCAATTTAAGGGGAAATAGTCCTCCGAATATATTGGCAAGATGATTATAACTTATTGATCACGTTCAAGTGACAAAAATGAATTCCAAGGTACTCTACCCATCAACTCGGCGTTGTGCTTGTTCATTTGGATCCTGGCTGCGGCATTCTCATTGCGCTACATTAGGGAGTAAGATGCATCGGTGGAGTAGGGCAGGGTTGTTTTCAAAAGATCTCCGAGAGAGAATGGAAGATGGGGAATGCGATGGGCAATTGAGTTACGAAACCTCGAGTTACGTGTCGGGTCAGACCCATCGCGCTGGTTCCTGACATCTGCTAGTTTCGTTTGACAACAAGCCGCTAGTCTCAGTTTCTAACAGCCACACTTAAGCGATACTCAACAAATCTTCAGTAGTACTCATCTGTTTGCTTGCCTCCCAATTTCCCGACTTTATGGACTGGGGCTCAGGCAGGTCGGCTAGAGCTGCCAACGATCTAAGCGAGGTCATAAGAAGCAAACATGCTTACCAGGGCACAACTCCCTTCGCCTCACCAAGGGATACAAACCACAGCTTCCGACGATGAAGCAACGATCGAAAATATGGGCTAGAGAAAAGAAGGCATTCTCGCCTCACGGGTAAGTGCGGTTACAGACACTCGGTTACAGTCCCGGACAAGTCTCACTGACTTATGGCCCCCTGTCGTGTAGGGCATATATTACCCAAACAAGAGAATTCGACAATCCTGAGATGCCGCCCAGTTTGCAACGTGTTGAATTTGGAATGAGAATCTCCCTTCAATATCCACAACATGGAAGGCAGCGATCATCGTAGGTTTGGCACATTCTGCATGTGCGTGGTATATAAGGATGATGGATCATCGTCAAAGTAACCTTGATTGAAGTAGCGATCAACCGTCCTATCAAAGTTCCAGCAAGTCCCAACGGCGCAAATTCTTCGATCATGAGACTCCCGAGCGTTTTTCTCGGCCTTATTGCGGCCGTGTCAGGCCACACCATCTTCCAGAAGCTCTCTATTAATGGAGCTGACCAAGGGTCATTGAAGGGGGTTCGCGCGCCTTCAAGTAACAACCCCATCCAAAACGTCAATGACGCTGGCTTTGCCTGCAACAACAACATCCAGTACAAGGATAACAACATTGTGTCCATCGCCGCTGGTGCAAAGGTCGGTGCTTGGTGGGGGCACATCATTGGAGGTGCTCAAGGCACTAACGACGCCGATAATCCCATCGCCGCGAGCCACAAAGGTGAGGCACTTAGCCTAGATTTTCTATCACCGTTATACATCCTTCATCGAAGCTAAAAGTCCATGAAATACTAATGCGGATACTTCAATAGGCCCTATCGTTGTCTATCTGGCCAAAGTCAGCAGCGCCGCCAGCACTGGCACAACGGGCCTCAGCTGGTTCAAGATTGCGGAATCTGGCCTGAGTGGAGGCACATGGGCCGTGGACACCATGATAGCCAACAATGGCTGGCACTACTTCACTCTTCCCTCGTGTGTTGCACCTGGGGACTACCTCCTGCGCGTTGAGATCATTGCCCTCCACTCCGCCTCGACACAGGGAGAGGCCCAATTCTATATGGAATGCGCTCAGTATGTTACACATGAATTGCGGAGGAATTTTGGGGACATAATGACTTCTAACACTGAGTAGAATTCGGGTTACTGGTTCAGGTACCAATGCCGGCTCCAACACTGTCAAGTTTCCCGGCGCCTACTCGGCGACCGACCCAGGCATTCTCATCAACATTTACGACAACTCCGGGAAGCCAACGAACGGTGGCCGCTCATACAAAATCCCGGGTCCTTCGGTACTCAGCTGCTCAGGTTCCGGAAGTGGTAATGCTTCCCCTTCTGCCTCCAGCTCTCCGCCTGTGTCGAGCTCTCCTCCGTCCAGCAGTGGCGGCAAGACTGTTGCTTTGTATGGGCAATGCGGCGGCCAAGGTTGGACTGGCGGTACGACATGCTCACAAGGAAGCTGTAAAGTCTCGAATCAGTACTATAGCCAGTGTCTGCCTTGATGTCTGAGTTCAGGGATTTTCTGTGAGAAATGATCGACGAGGGTCTTCTGGATTCAACTTTACAAGCTGCCTTCTGATCGGTGGTTACTTTCCGTACAGAGTCGACTTTCAATCAAATGCTTCGGATTCTAATATCCTTTAGAAAACAAATAGACATGTTGAAGAGACACAGCCATTATCCCATGATCTCCTTCGTGAACGTGTTTCGTTTAAGCTACACTGGGCCGCAACAGCATGGTGGAGAGCTCTGAGTCGGGCCACTGTTGTAGCACTATGATGTCAAACTTCTATCCGAATCAGCCACTCATCGATCCAGTAGAACGTTCATATCAAGACCACGTCCTCCTGACGAACAAATCGACATGTATCGCCGGCAAGCAGGCTGCACTCTTTCGAGACTCATCTCCGTTAGCATGTGTGGAGTCTGAAAGTTGGACGGAGATCACGCAGTGGAACCAACCTAGACGCACTAGGGCTCACAATTCTCCAATATCAACTGGTCGGTTAGCTCAGTTGGTTAGAGCGTGGTACTAATATTTCACCTGAAATGTTGTGTAATGCCAAGGCCGGGAGTTCAAGCCTCCCACTGATCAATCTCTTCTGCTCTGGACGATGTCATACTTTCCTGGCACTTGAGTTTCACTTTTTGAAGCATCGGACAGATTTTGTTCAAGTTTTGCGTCACTTGAATCTGTGCCGGGGAGCTGAGCGTTTCCACCCGGAATTGTGGAGACACTGGAGTGAAGACCCGGATCGGTAGTCCTGTTCCTCGCCGGTTCTCGCCGAGTTGCATTTCTTCCGCTTACGGACGTCGGGCCGGAACTGTCCACACCCTTCACTGCTGTGTTAAGAGAAAAGGATGGGCCACTTAATACTTGGGGCATTCCCAGACCGAGCAAGGTCCATTAATGTAATGCTGAATCAACCCTCATACTATTCCCTCGGCGCTGGAGAAGGCCGGCCACGGCTCGAATATTTATGAAAGCACATTCCACTCGGCTTCCGGCGCCGTTGGCACACGTCGCCGCGGCGTTGATCTCAAGTAAGAATGCATGAAGATGTATGCGCACGAGCCAGATCCTGCACACGGACAGCAGCGGGAAAGACACAAGAGAGAATGTCACAATGCCCCGACATTCTTGAGACGATCGTAAGCGTTTTTGCCACGGTGACGGACCCAGCCAGGATTGGTAAGCCCCTCTCCCCGCAGAACTGCCATCATCATAGGGGGCGACGAAGACAGCTGCTAACAAACGAACTAGACATGCACGATGCTGTCATCAGACCCCTGACCCAAGAGCAGAATCCAAAGCTTATTCTTCCATCTTTCTCCATCAGAAATCTGCATCTTTTGTGAACGAACCATTTGACTTGTCGGTTCGCCTTGTATGATCGTCTGTGGGTCCTGATCTTCGAGCTTCCGTACGACCTAAAACCCCGGCATCATCCTCTTTCTCGATCATTTTGGAGAAGCGTTTCCAGGGAAAGCTTTGGGAAGTTACCATAAGAACGGAAACCAAAGAAATGCCTAGAATGGAAATCGAAATCCCTGCTATTCATCCCGCAGTAGCAGTCAGAGCTCCAAGAGAGCCTCTCATCCTTATCGATGCCCCGACATATCCACCCGACGCCGGCGAGGTTATTGTCCAGGTAGAATGGACCTCTTCTACGCCCTACCACCTGCACCAGGCAGACGGCGGCCTGTTGATCGACATGTTCCCCCGCATTCTGGGCGATACCTTCGCAGGGACGGTGCTCCTAGTCGGGCCCGGGCCGCACCACGTCGACCTTGAGGTCGGGGACAAAGTTCTGGGATACTCATTCCGCGACGACAAGGACGGCAAGGAAAAGGCGGCCCAGACCCTCATCACCGTCCCCACTTTCTTGCTAGGGAAGATGCCCAAGGGGTTGACGATGCAGGAAGCCGTAACCGTACCCGACAACATCGTCACCGTCTTCCAGGCCGCCGTCGATCTCGGACTGCCGCTCCCATGGCCCATCCCGGAAGATTGGACTCCCCCGGAAGCGGATGTGCCGATCTTGCTGTGGGGCGGAGCCGGATCGGTTGGGATGTACTCCATCGAGGTGTTCCGGCATTGGGGTTACAAGAATCTCATCGTGGTCGCGAGCCGGAAACATCATGAGTACCTCACCTCACTAGGTGCGACGGCCTGCTTCGACTATCGAGATAAGCACGTCGTCCAGAGTATACAGGACCATCTAGGCCACAAGGGCATCCCCTACGTTATCGACTGCATTGGACACTTATCAGGATCTCTTGGACCTATTACCCACCTGGCGGATCAAGGCACCAATGTTGCGGTTATGCTCCCTGTCGTCATTAAAGACCCAAGCGAGATTGAGGCCCCTGTTTACCAGATGACAGAGCCCGCTGAAGGACAATGGAAGGAAGGTGTTGTTGTGAAGGGTGTCAGAACACATTTTTATCTCAAGGTATTTCATTCGTCCTTTGCAAGGCGACTTCGAAATCTTCATTACTGACTACAATTTGACATAGAACAAACTCTTCAAGGACAAGATGCAATGTGAAATAATACCGTCATTGCTGGAGCAAAAGGTGGTGAGGCCAAACCCGCAAAGAATAGTCGAGGGAGACACGTTACTGGAGCGGGCTCAAGATGCTATCGTGCTCCTGCGAAACAAGGCCGTGAGCGGCGAACGACTTGTGTGGAGGGTTTCAGAAAACGAAGCGGTTGTATAAGGCTATGTTCAGCCTACAAATAAGTACTCAGAGAACTGGTTTCACTCAGTTGTCCGACTGTCAAGCAGTGGAGAGGAGGGATGTTTAAAAAGCCATTGATGAATTCAACATCTTCTCAAATCATGTGTAAAGCGCCCAGATCTGGCATACCCTCACGCTTCAAAGCGCTGTGAAAGCTTACAGGACCGAGAACTAGGAATGAAGCTGTGTGATTGCGTTTCTTGGTCGACTCAATAAGCGTACCAGATAGCTCATTTATTTGCAGGAAGCGCACTGCGTGAAGTTGAATAGGCCGAGATGACTGAAAAGTCAACTGAACAGTTCTCAACACGGTAATCGCTGCTCATCACCGTTTTTTCAGAGCGTTAAGGCAATCCACCGGAAACTGAAGGGATGTTACCCTGGTGGCCCTGAGAGCGCGGAATTACGTATTTATTCTCATCTCATCCCACGATACCTAGTCTGGCAATTCGTTCCGGCGGAATGGGTATAATGGAACTGGCAGTCGAATATCACCACAGAAGCAGCTGACCTTGCAGGAAAGCAGTCAATGCTATATTAAATATCAGTGATGATTGCTCAAGCTCGCTGTTCCTTCTACCTGCCTTCACCATCGCCATTCATCACCTTCACAACCCACACCACTTTCCTGAAACCTCACCTAAATCCTTGAATTGATCCAACCCGGCAACCACAATGGCTACCTCAACTCCCACCACCGTCACCGTCACCCTTCCACAGGTCGCAAAGATGATTGACCATTCACTACTTCATCCCACCATGACCGATGCCGATGTTCTGGAAGGCTTGCGCATCGCCAAAAAGCACGGCGTTGCCACGGCATGCGTGAAGCCATATCTTATGCCTCTCGCCAACAAGGAACTTCAGGGCAGCGATGTGCTTGTCTGCCCCGTCATCGGCTTCCCCCATGGTGGCAACACTACCGAAGTTAAGGTCTTTGAAGCCAACCAAGCTGCTGCAGCCGGTGGCAAAGAGATTGACATGGTCGTCAATATCGGCAAGGTGCTCGGAGACGACTGGACGTATGTCGCTGAAGAGATCCGTCAAATCAATGTTGCTGTCGTCAAACATGGCGCAATTCTCAAAGTCATTTTCGAGAATGATTATCTTGAAGAAAAACACATTATTCGGTTATGCGAAATCTGCTCCGAAATTGGCGTCGCCTTTGTCAAGACTTCGACTGGGTACGGCTTCGTGAAGCAACATAACGGCTTGTACACGTACAACGGGGCCACAGTTCGGCACTTGAAACTCATGAGGCAGCACTCGAAGCCCGAAGTTCAAGTAAAAGCTGCTGGAGGTGTTCGAACACTGGATGATCTGCTTCACGTCATGTCACTTGGGGTTACCCGGATTGGGGCTACTGCTACTGTTGCGATTATGGAGGCTGCGATTGCGCGTGGTATCACAGATCAGCCGACAGAGGTGGAGTTTAAGCCGATCAGCGGGCCGTCGACGGGAGGTTACTGAGTCCTGCGCAAGTGATGCAATTGCGACCACTTGACATTAAAAGATTTACGGCTTAGAGTCATCCTCATCAAGCTATAACGAACTCAAAGCTTCTTGCATAAAATTAAATTTGTTCCCCATCAATCAAAACTTTTCAATTCTGGTGTATTGCCGTTTTTATCTTTGAGTGGGATGCTTGGTTAGTTGTAGAAGAGATCGTTGATACATCTTGTAAGTGCACACCTAGAATGTCAGCATCTCCTCTTTGACCTCCTAGTAGCACAATAGCCTCGAACTAGAGGACGTAGAAGTTGGCTTGTCGCTTGTATTTGACGCTGTGGAAAAGCTTGCTCGACTTACTTATTCGGAACGATGTGGTCATCAAGTTCCACCGGAACGTATTACTGTAAATGGCCTAGCGCAAGACCAGCTAAGGAACTTCATTCCGGTGGAACCTATTTAGTCTACCAGCGACAACCTCCAACTCACATCTACAGGTCAACAGCATATCGTGCATCGAGTTGAGCCAACTTTCATCAAAGAAAATTTCGGATGATATGGCATCCATGGATTCAAATAGACCAAGGAGAAAGGTTGCGGCCGCATGTCAACGCTGTCGAAAACAGAAATTGAAGGCGTGTTATCTTTGCCGTCTAGCCCCCATCTGTGCCGGCGGTGGTAACATTCATTACATTTTCTAACAAGCTCGTCCAGTGTGATACTCAGCGTCCCTGCACTCTGTGCCTCCGAGCCGAAGTGGACTGCATCAATGAGACGCCCAGCATCTGGAGGATCCAGGGTCCCAGTATCACCCCGTCACGGACCCGGAAGGGAGAAAAGGTGCCGGGCACAAGCAGGTCTCGTTTAGCGAAACGAGACCGTCGAGCAGCCGGGATGGATGAACTTACCGAACCAGGTTCTTCTCCCGCCATGGTTGTGACCATGGATACCTCAACATTCTCTTCGGAACCTCAGTCAGTTCGCGATGAATCTAGTCCCGCACCTCGGGCTGTGTCAGAACAGGTCTCGTCTAGTAGACCTTGGTCGACAAACTCGGCTGCAGTAAGCTTCCTGGATGAGGTAAGTGATTCCATGAATACCTATTTCGATGGAAGGCATCTGTCTGACTCGGGTTCTGGACAAGGCATTCCAACACCACGACATAGACACGCCGGAGGAAGCAGACACTTCGGCATTCGCGGCTACTGAGTGGACCTCAAGAGGAACGCACGAAGCCGTCAGAGAAGCTGGTGCTTCCGTCGCGTCATTGCCTCGATCCCTTTCGCAGCAGCGGATCCGGTCCATCTCACGGCAACATGGCGCCATGAGTGCAGCCCAGCGAGACTTTCTTTCCGTCCTGCCACCAACTGCGCCTATGGCGTTACTAGTCAACGTTTACTTCGAGAAGATCCATTGGTTTATGATGATATTCTTTACAAGCGAGTTCCGAGCTCGAGTCCAAGAACTTCATACGACTACAGCACAGGGAGGTCTGCCAAGAAAGGCTAATCCGGGCCTTCTTGGCCTTGTGCTTGCTGTTTGCTTGACTAGTCTCCGCTACGCGAGCCCCGAACAGAACACTCAACTCACTGAACTTGGTGTAGATCCAGAGTCATTGCAGGAAACCATATTGGGAACTTTGAAGGTGAGATTCCTCGACGTCGTCTCCTTGGGATCCATAGAGGCTGTTCAAATGTGCATCCTCTTGGGAAGTTTCTACCTGTATCACGGAGAACCCGAGCTCGCCTGGCCAATTTGCGGAAGCGGTCTGCGTATCGCCCAAGCTCTCAAACTTCATCAGCGATATAAAGATGAGGATCAGCCTTCCACGGTGCCTGATGTTGACAACCCAATCCACAGGGCAGCTGAGACGCGCAAACGTTGCTGGTGGGCCATCTATGAGATTGAGACCTTTTGCTCGATGCTGTATGGTTTTCCCCTAAGCATAGTGGACGAGGATTGCAACGTCGACGTACCCGAACAGTATCCTTTGCGATCCAAAGATGCGTCTTGGGAGTCTATCAGGTGGAAATCCACTGGAAAAGCTACCGTGCTCTCATACAAGGTATCGATGGCGCAGCTGTCGGTCATTGTGAAAAGGGCACTTTCGGAGCTCTACGGAAACCGGAAGCAGACCAACGGCAATGAGCTTGGTGCAAGAACTGAAGGGCCACTGGTTCAGCGTCTCATAAATACCGTCACCAGTCTAGACCAGCAGATCCGTCAATGGCACGACTATCTTCCGCAAGAGTTGCGTTTGAAAGAGGGTAACCGGCTTCAGCAGGATGCAAGACCGGCGAACTGGGCGGGGGGCAGCAAACTTTCACTGGGCCCAGAACACCATCAGCACACTTTCCGCATCCAGGCACTAGCACTCAAACTCGCGTATGAAAACGCCAGAATTTTAGTTCACAGGCCCTTACTAGCCTACAGAGCGATGAAGAAGATCAACACGGCCGGGGGCTCAGATTTCCGCTCCATCGGAGAGAATGATCCTCTCCAGAGCTCGGTGCGAAGTTGCCGAGACGCTGCCTTGCAGATTGCGAATATCGGGTGCACGCCGCACTTCAAAGAGGTGATCGACACCTACGCCTTATCATTTGTCGCGCTGCATCTCTTCACTGCCGGTGTTACGCTCTCAATCATGACTGGACTGGACCCATTGAGCCGGGAAGCCTATGATTCCAAGATGGGTCTTCGAAAGTTGATGGAGATGCATTCCCAACTCAAATCCAAGTCTGTTGTTGCTGAACAAGGGCTGAACATTCTCACGAAACTAATGAAGCTTGTCATGACCAAGGAGTTGGAGAGAATGCTTCACTTGGATGTTCCCCCGCAAACGGAACCCAACCGAAAGGGAAGAGACAACGAGTCAAGTGGTAGCTTGAATGCCGTCGAAGTCACTGCCCGAGGCACCGAAATAACCACTATAGGTCCAAGCAGCAACATCGATCACAACGCATTACAGCAATGCACACCAGCGGCCGACACGGTCGATGATGCCACAGCTAGCTTAAGCTTCAGCGAAGACCCAATTATAACACAAGCGCTTTCGGAGTTCGAGCAGAGTAAGGCAAAGACCCTCGACTATAGTTCTGAGCTAACATCAGTCTTAGTTATGATGTACGATATCAATGGTGTCGGAGAGGAAGACCCGGTGGAGTTCAGCGAGTACCTCACTGAGAGTTGTTTCGGGAGACAGGATCAGGGATGGATATGGAACCAAGGCCACTCGTTTGCAAGCTAGTAACGGAAGCTGATCTATCAGAAACTGAATGTTTGCCAGGTCCATCGACACAGCATTCTGAGATCTGAAGTCATCGGGTAACTACACCGTACACGCCATATCAACCCGCGCACCGCAGAGGAAAATCGACCCACAGGTTCGATTTGGACCTCAATAAATCGAATATAGTTCTCATGTACACCAGAGACCTCTGGTTTAGTCAGGAGCCCATGAATTCTACCGGTATTATGGTTTGCCAGGTTGGTTTTCTCGAGGATCGCGGGGTTCATCTCCCCACCGGAGTTCGAACTTACCGTGCTCCGGCGGGGTAACACGACCAGCCAATCTAGCCATTCTTTGAGCTAAAACCGCCGCATTTACTTCAGAAATACCGCAGACCCATTTGCTTGACGATGTTTCCGGTGGAGAACCTTCGAAGAATTGGGTCATCATGATGCCGGCTGTTCCTGTCGCTGGGGATCAGGCGTCGCGGCTGGCGTGAACTCCGTGGAGCGGAGAAACCACCCAGGAGTTTCTCGGTGGGACAACGGGTCGAAGCTTGTGAGGAGATCCTTATCTTTGGCTTACCACTTGTTCTGAAGCTTTCATGTTTTCTGTTCAACTGGCAATTCCTCATCAGCTGCTACGCATAGTTGTACGGTGACATTACCTCCAATCCTGCCATCTCATCGGAAGACCAGTCTCCATATACACCATGATTCACCAAAAAGACGGCCTCTTGGTCTATCAATTTGATGGAGAGCAAGTATGGATCCAGCCATGGGGTTCTGATGCCTTCCGAGTCCGAGCTACCAAAGCCCATGTGATGCCAACCAAGGCATGGGCATTGGAAGAAGAGCCCGAACAAGTCAGAACTGACATCTCATTCGCCGAAGACGGCTCAGCCACCATACGCAACGGACAGGCCAAGGTAGTTGTAAGCAAGCGGGGAAAGATTACCATCTACAACGCCGACGGCATCGTCGTCCTCGAAGAGTTTGCTCGGAACCGTCGCGACCTGCTTGATGCGAAATGTAGCGCCATCGAGGTCGAAGCTCGCGAGTTCAATCCCCTCCGAGGCGGCGACTATCATCTCACACTTCGCTTTGAGAGCCAGAGATCCGATGAAAAGATCTTTGGAATGGGCCAGTATCAACAGCCCTTCCTGGACCTCAAGGGGCTCGATCTCGAGCTAGCGCACCGCAACTCGCAGGCCAGTGTTCCTTTTGCGTTGTCTTCTCTAGGCTACGGAATTCTTTGGAACAATCCTTCGATTGGCCGCGTCGTATTTGGGAAAAATACGACCTCCTTTGAGGCGTACTCTACCAATATCCTAGATTACTGGGTTGTGGTCGGGGAAACGCCCGCCGACATCGTGCAGCGTTACGCAAGTGTGACTGGCAAACCTCCTATGATGCCAGAGTATGGGTTGGGCTTCTGGCAGTGCAAACTCCGTTACGAAACTCAGGAGGAGCTTCTAGAAGTCGCCCGAGAGTACCACCGCCGGGAGCTTCCTCTCGATCTGATCGTCATCGACTTCTTCCACTGGCCATTGCAAGGCGAGTGGAAATTCGACCCTCAGTATTGGCCCGATCCAGGTAAGAACAGCTCATTGATCAACACTGTCTGGACTAGAGACTAATCCGAACTCTAGATGCCATGATTCAGCAGCTTCGTGAGTGGAATATCGAGCTCATGGTCTCGATCTGGCCGACAGTGGATCAGAGATCACCCAACTTCCAGGAGATGCTCGAGCACGGCTTCCTAGTCCGCACCGAGAGGGGTGTTCGAACCAACTTCGAGTTCGAAGGTTCTACCGTATACTACGATCCCACTAACCCAGGTGCTCGGGAGTATGTCTGGAACAAGGCCAAACAGAACTACTTCTCCAAGGGTATAAAGACGTTTTGGCTCGACCAAGCCGAGCCGGAGTATTCCGTCTACGACTTTGAAAACTACCGCTACTTCCTGGGCCCGAACCTATCTGTTGGCAATATCTATCCTAAAGAGTACGCCCGAACGTTTTTCGAAGGTCAGAAAGAGGCTGGCCAGAAGAACATCGTCAACTTGCTCCGCTGCGCGTGGGCCGGCAGCCAAAAGTACGGCGCGCTTGTCTGGAGCGGCGACATCGCTTCCTCGTGGGGCAGCTTCCGCAACCAGCTGGCAGCCGGATTGAACATGGGCATCGCAGGACTGCCTTGGTGGACGACCGACATTGGAGGTTTCCACGGCGGTAACCCTAATGATGAAGCCTTTCGTGAGCTCTTTGTGCGGTGGTTCCAATGGGGCGCGTTCTGCCCCGTGATGAGACTGCATGGAGACCGAGAACCAAAGCCGGGGAATCTGGCTTCGAGCAGCGGAGCGGCCAACGAGATCTGGTCTTATGGCCCTGAAGTGTATGGCATTTGCCGCAAGTATCTCCTTATCCGCGAGAAGTTGAGAGACTACACGCGGCGGCTGATGGCTGAGGCCCATAAGTGCGGGTCGCCTGTGATCCGATCGCTGTTTTACGAATTTCCGGGGGATGAGAGGTGCTGGCAGCTTGGGGCTGAGCAGTACATGTATGGCGATGCCTATCTCTGCTGCCCTGTTGTTAATCCTGGCATCACAAAGGCAAAAGTCTATCTACCGAAACTGGTTGGTGAAGAGCGATGGAGAACTCTTCCTCATGAGGGCTCTGAGGAGCAACGCTTTGAGGGCGGGCAGGAGATTGAGATTGAGTGCCCTCTGGACTGGATGCCAGTGTTTGTGAGAAATTCAAAGGCAGAAGTGATTCTGCTGAAGTCAGAATAGGGTAGATGTCTCTTGTTGAACCCTCGGGACGCCGGGAACTGTTACCACAACTTACATTGTTGACATTCACCTCCTCTTGGCCATCATGTTTGACTGCACCCACCCTCTTGGCTTTTGGCGAGTTATAGCGGAATAGTGACAGAATCGGCATAACTTACAGGGGTCATGTGCCGCTCAAATCAACGTGTTCTTACCCCGCGTGCGGCTAGTCGCCCCGAGACTCATCTCATCTCGCGTTTCTCGGGGTAAACACGCCACTGAGTTCAATTGCCTTTAGTGCATGCTCCTGGCCTTGTTTTCAAATAATACGAGGCTAATCAGCTAGTCCCCCGATGCTCATCCCTTGTCTCTTCACATCTCTTTCAGAGATCCAGCATGGAGGTCTCATCTGTTGAACAAGACGCTGCTTCGTGAGCAAGATAACAGCATAATGGCCCAGAGAGAACGAGCCAGCAACGAGCGGATGGAATCCGCGTCCGAGAGTGAGGACGTCATCGCCGTCGCGAATCCATCCGCTGATGTTCCGGTGTTCAAATGCGACTACTGTGGAAGCACTTTTGGACGCCAGGAGCATCTCACTCGGCACAAGCGATCGCACACCAGAGAAAAGCCTTTTACATGCTCAGCATGCGGCAAGAGCTTCTCTCGACTGTACATTCTCATAACTTACTCATTGATCTCATGTGCTGATGGAATCATAGGGATGTCCTCACTCGTCACGCTGCCTCTCATGATGAAGTTGCAAGCGAGTCACGGCGGCCCGTGGCATCTTCCAGGGCCTGTCAGGCATGCGCTGTAAGCCGTTCACGATGCTCAAAGGAGAGCCCCTGTCGTCGCTGTACGGGTAAAGGTCTCGAGTGCAAATACCCAGTCGCCCGCCGACGAGCTACCCGTTCAGCATTCCGATCTCCGGATGAGAGTGCTGCACCAGAAGAAGGACATGAAAGCCATCAGGGACTCATGGACTATTCCGACCCTGTGCAGGTTCCACAACCTTCAGAAATGCCTGAGATGCCGTTCCCAACCCCGGATCATGCGCCAGAGAGGCGCGCAGTCGAAACGTCGTGGCCTGTTCCGCAAGTTACAGGAGGCAACGATCAAAGCTTTCAGGTGAACAACTGCCAAGTAGAGTATGGCATGAATCCCATGGACAACTTCATTCACAATGAGGAGTTTCCTGAGCAATCTGCTGGTATTTCGGCCATCAATTGGCTCTCTCCCCAGTACTACGCAGATTTTGATTGGGGTATCACATCTTCTGTCAACGAGAGAGGGGCTTTTGATGCCAACCTAGACGGCGTGCAAACCGTTATGAATGCCTACGAAGCCGTACGTCAAGGGCCATGGCTGAACCTCCTCAACAGCCAGCCAGTTCAAACCCCGAACGCCGCACTTCCCCCAGCGTCGGTACAGCGGCTCTATCCACCAGGAACGACGCCCAGGAGCAGACCGAATGGGAGCACAACGGGATCCGTAGAATCGTCATCTACGACGGCAACTTACTATGTTGATGGGGCTCCATCCAGAGCCCCATTCAAGGGTCGCCCGTCACAGAGAAGTCTGGTCTTGGACAACTCAGTGCGGCCGGATGATGACACTCCTACTCCCAGCACACCAGCTCCAGGCACCTCCAGGGATGCTGATGAAGGAACAGGACTTGATCTCTCCGTGCAGGCCTACGATAACCTTCTACACCACATCAGCGTCGAGCCTTTTTTTCGGGACCGCAACGCGACACCGCTTCCATCTCTAGCACACGCTCGCGTTTATTTCCGATTGTATTTTCAACATTTCCACCCCGCCTATACCTTACTACAGAAATCGGCCGACTTCTATCATGAGCCAACACATTGGCTTCTTCTTTTGGCCGTCTGCGCAGTTGGCTCGGTCTACTCTCGAGGCGAGACCAACCTCCATTTTAGAGACCTATTTCTTCAACTCTTGGAAAGCGCTGTACGGTTTTACATCTCAACAGGCGCTGTGGATGATGTGTTAGGGTCCTCGCAAGTATCCATGGCAAGCCCTGCGGAAGATTCAAGAAGTCTAGTCATTGCGCAAACGTCAATTCTATGGTTGATACGGAACCTGCACAATGGAGTTTCCGGCGATAGCTACGATTTGTCCTTCCTCGTAAGGCACTATTTGATCAATGCCTGCCGAAAGATGGACCTCCTTGGTAAGCGAGAGGACTTGCCACAAGTAGAGCACCAAACGGATGGATCAGATGTCCTCAGGACGTGGGTGAGCAGTGAGTCGAGGCTGAGAACGGGTCTCATGATATGGGTATGTACAAGCCCCCGACTGTAATTCATAGAGTTCATAGACTGACGATCTCCTCTAGGTTCTCGATGCTATTGTATCCTTGGAGAGAGGTCAAGATGCATTACTTAAGCTAGGTGATGCAAAAGGCTACATGCCCTGCCTTGACTCTATCTGGGACCAGCCTACTGCTAAGAAGCTCGGACAGCACCAGTCTAAGCCAGGTGTGTAACTCTGCTGCCATATAAGACGATCATCGAGCCACTAAAGCTCACACGTTGAGAATTATATAGTGACCATATCTGAAGCCATGGAGATGCTCTACATGGAGAAAAGACTGCCGCCGAACCTGGGCGACTTTAGCACCATGGTGCTCACATACGCCATCATTCGACGTACCAAAGAGGCTTTATACCATAATCAGATTAGGCTCAACTCGTGGACACCGACGGCCGACGTCCAGAAGTGCGGTCCCGGCGACACCGTCGAGGAGACTTGGCCCCCTTCGCTACCTATCCTATCGAGATGGCGGAACAGCGCCTGCGACTCTCTCGATCTCCTCCACTGGAACGCCAATGCTATCATCGCCAAAGCCGGTGGGTGGGAGCATCCTGTCATCTTGCATCTACACCTCTCTCGCCTAGTTCTTCTCGCTCCAGTAGCCCACTTGCAGACCTTGGCAGCTGCTGCCTCGGCGCGAGCATCCTCTCGTAACGTCGACAACTCCAAAGTTGAAAAAGCGAGATCTCTTGTCGCCCGGTGGGCTTTGCGTGACCAGTATAAGGCCAGACTGTCTGTTGTCCATGCCGGCGCAATGCTTTGGCACATCCGTCGTTACAGTGTAGGCAACTTTCTCGAGTCTTTTGGCATCTTTACCGCAACATCGGTGGTCTGGGCGTATAGCACGATGATGTTGTTCATGAGGCGGCATCAGAACTCAGGCTCTCATTTAACCAGCGGCGGTTCCGGCCAACACGGTAGCCCGATGGAAGCGGTGGCGGAAGTTGAAGAGGATCCGGAGCCCAGCTTCCTCCACCTCGACCGGCCATGTGACGACGAGATGGTGCAGACTTATGTCAGGCTAGGGCACAAGATGGCAGGCCACATGGCCAAGGTGGGTGACATCTGCAATGACGGCGCCCCTCGGAAGATTCTCAAGGAAGGGATACAGATGCTCAAGGGGAGACTAGAGCAGAACGGAGACGCAGCAAGTAGAGCTGGAAGCGGAGGGATAAGCGAGAATGTCAGGGGGCACTCGGTCTGGGGAGTGGAACGAACATACGCCGATCTCCTAGACTCGCTGGTTCAGTCCACCTCGGACTAGGTTATCCCTCCTCGAGAGCGGGCGAAGGACTCTCCACCGGAGCTGGTCAGCCCGGCACAGCCATGGATCGGGTGGTTATTGTAGTGAGAAGTTAGAAAACTCCGGTGGGGGTGGAGACATCATGCCACAAATGGCAAAGGCAACTACTCAAACAAGCCATGAGATGGCACGACGACTTCTTTGTGCCGGGAAGGCTAATTACCACAAACTCTTTCTCCGCATGTTACCCCGGATCTTCGACTAACAACATGCGGGGACAACGTGTGTTCCACGCCGTGGGATACCGTCCCTACGAAGCTGACAGTGGACGTGGACGCATGTTTCTGGCGTTACATGCGTCTCTATATCATGTCTGGATTCTCCACCAATTCCGAACCTCGCTTGTCGATCATCTTCACGACGACGCTGCTGCTTACGCTGTGACAAGTTCGAAGCTATCGCCAAGTCTCCTTGTCTACCATTTTACCTTCGGTCCCCAAGTCAAGTCCTTCAACAGCTGGCACAATGGCCACCACCAAAGACGAGCCTCTCGAAATCGGCCAGCTCGAACATGCTCCCACCGGAGACTATGCTATCAAAGACTTGGCAATGGCCAAGCAGGCGGCAGATGACGAGCACAAGCTGGGTTTCATGGAGGCTATCCGCCGTTATCCCAAGGCCGCCCTGTGGTCTGTCCTCGTTTCCGCCGCCATCATCATGGAAGGCTACGATATCGTGCTCATCTCGTCCTTCTTTGCCCAGCCTGCTTTCAAGAGACACTATGGCGAGTACCTTCCCAGCAAAGGCACCTACGAGATTACGGCATCCTGGCAGAATGGCTTGAGCAACGCAGTCAGTGTCGGTACAATTATCGGCGCTTTCGCAAACGGATACTTTACCCATCGCTTCGGATACCGAAAGGTTCTTCTCGCGTCTCTGACTAGCATCGTCGGCTTTATCTTCATCTCTTTCTTCTCGCCGAACCTCCCCGTCCTCCTCGTCGGCCAATTCCTCTGCGGCATTCCCTGGGGCGTCTTCGCGACAACGGCCCCAGCTTACGCCTCCGAAGTCTGCCCGATGGCATTGCGCGGCTACCTCACCGTCTTCGTCAACCTCTGCTGGGCCCTCGGCCAGCTGATATCAGCAGGCGTTCAGGCAGGCTTTTCCGATGGCAGCAACCAGTGGTCCTACCGTGTGCCGTTTGCGATACAATGGGTCTGGCCGCTTCCACTTTTTGCGATCTTGTGGTTCGCGCCCGAGTCTCCTTGGCATTTCGTCCGCCTCGGCGACTACGAGCAAGCCGAGAAGTCTGTTCTCCGTCTTGGATCCGCATCCGAGGCCGTCAACTCGAAGCAGAAAGTCGCCATGATGATTCATACCAACGAGATTGAGCAGCAGATGGACGAAGGAACCTCCTATCTCGATTGCTTCCGCGGCGTTGACCTCCGGAGAACCGAGATCGCCTGCATGGCGTTTGCTGCACAGCCTTTCTGTGGCTCAGCCATGGGAGGTACTCCCACCTACTTCTTCGTCCAAGCTGGCTTGCCGGAATCGATCTCCTTTCGCATGTCAGTCGGTGGTCTTGGCATTGCCTCTGTCGGTACGATCGTGTCATGGGGTCTTCTTGGCCGCTTCGGTCGTCGCACGCTATATCTATGGGGCCTCGGAGGGTTGGCTCTGATCCTCGTCGTTGTAGGTTCTATCAGCGCGGGTGCCCCTAACTCGGATGGGGCAAACTACGCTCAGGCTGGTATGATGCTGGGCTGGCTCGGTGTCTACTATCTCACCGTCGGTCCCATTTGTTACGCCATCATCTCCGAAGTTTCCTCGACTCGCCTCCGCAACAAGAGTGTTTGCCTCAGTCGGATCGCCTACTATATTGCTCAGATTGTCTGCAATGTCATCAACCCCTACATGCTCAACCCAACAGCCGGTGATTGGAGAGGAAAGACGGGATTCTTTTGGGGAGGCTGCGCTTTTGTCTTCTTCATTTGGACTTTCCTCCGCCTCCCGGAGACAAAAGACAAGACGTTTGAGGAGTTGGATATTCTCTTTGCAAGGCGCATCAAGGCACCCAAGTTTGCCTCTTACAAGGTCGATGCATATGCTAGCGGCGACGAAGTTCTGGCTAAAGAAGGTTAAAAATTCGTGGACTAGCCACCTATTCCGCTGCTTTGATTAGACCAGGGCAGTTCGCATTGTGCTGTCATGAAGAGCCGTAATAAGTCAGAAAAATACGTCGTTACCATCGACTCTCTCACTAAGAGTCCATGCCTCGTTCTTTATCAATGTCAATCATCTGACGTAAGCTCAGATTGTCTTGCAGTGACGGAGAAAATGCTTCAGTTCATCAACGAGATATATTGACTCAGAGCTGGGCTGCCATTATATGACCGGATCGAAACACTCGAGCCATCTACTTCACCTTGTATTACCATCGTAATGAAGATTCTCGCCGATCACGATCAGATTGAGCTCCATGAAGTATTCACCTCACTACGACCGGGCTTCGGATGATGAACTTGGATATCCCAGAATCGGTTTCCAAACCACATGCTCCATAGTACTCCGTACTCATCCTAATTTCTGCGGTAAATGAAGATCTTCATTCTTCATAGCGGTACGAAAAGCTTCAGCTTTGAGCGCGACGCGTCTTCCGGGCTGGACGTTCTCCCGTCGACGATGCTATTACGAACCCCGCAGAAGTGTCGTAATGCCCGGTGGAGGAGGATCAACGTCGTGTTGATAGTGGATTTTCTCATCCGCTCTTCCCCACGAATTGTGAATGAGCTCTTGCAGCTTCACCTTGGCATGCGGGGAAATGAAGGATAGCGTCAAATGTCGCTCAAGATGCGCTGATCTGCCGTGCGCAAACGTCTGTCGAGACGTTTACTCCGGTGGGGTGGCTCATACTCCCAATGCCTTCACATTGCGACGAGGCTTCGCGATGGGAGTATAATAATAGGATGTCTCGTGGATGGAAAGATGATTGAATGCATGCAGTCAGCAGTCAATTGATTTTGACACGATACCATTCAATCCTTCCATCATCGACATGTCTCTCCTCAAGGCCCTCTCTGCCATCGCAGCTTTTACAACTGGCCATGTTAATGGTCTGACAGTCAGACAGTCCCCGGCTGGAACAGCAACTGTTGATATTGCGAACCCCAGTGGCCCGGCCAAATTCCTGGGTTCCGGCTTCATCTACGGATTCCCCGATAACGGAAGAGAGTTTGACACCTCAATCCCCGACTCCTTTGTCACGGACATCAAGTTCCACGCCAGCCGTGCCGGGGGTGCCCAGATTCTTGCCCCCGGTTGGATCGGCGGACTCGACGGATACCAGCAGCGCTTTGACTCGGCCCTCTCAAACTACCGAACCACACGCAAGTACGGAGCCGACTTCATCCTCTTGCCCCATGACCTCTGGGGTGCCGACGGTGGCCAGGCGGGAGGCTCGATCTTCCCTGGTGACAACGGTAACTGGACAGAGACCGAGCTTTTCCTTCACCGTCTTGTCGATGACATCAAGTCGAACAACATGCTGGACGGGCTCGTCTTTGACATCTGGAATGAGCCTGATCTTGACATCTTCTGGGCTCGATCGTGGGATCAGTACCTGGACTACTATGTTCGGGCTCATAGGATCATAAGGTCAGACAGTCTTTTAGAATCCATCATCCTGATGTCAACTAACAGAACTCCAGGGCCGAACTTCCAGGCACTTTGATCAGCGGGCCATCAGCCGCCAACGCCCCAGCTATCGACTTGGAAAACTGGAAGGCTTGGATGTCAACCGTGGCAGCCAACAACGCTGTCCCCGACATCTACTCCTGGCATCAGATCGGCGACTGGCAACGTGAACCCGACAGAGTTGTGCCTGACTTCAAGTCTCTCCAGAGCACCTACAACCTACCAGACCGACCAATTGACTTGAATGAGTACGCCTGGCCGTCCGAGCAGAACCCAGCCAACGGCGTGTTCTACCTCGCCCAGCTTGAACGCCACAACCTCCGCGGTCTCCGCGCCAACTGGGGTAGTGGCTCCGACTTGCACGACTACATGGCCGACCTGCTCTTCAAGGACGTCAGCGGAACGTACAAGCCCAACGGGGAATGGCATGTGTACAAGTACTACGCTCAGATGACCGGCGAGCGAGTCGCAACCACCGCCTCGGCTGATCGGACGTTTGATGTCTTTGCTACTGTTGAGAATAACAGCGTCAAGATCCTCGCGGGAACCAGGACCGTTCAGAAGAATTACGAGATCAAGATTTCTGGACTCAGCAAACTTGGTCTCCCCAGCGACGGTTCTATCCAAGTCCGCACTCTTCGTTTTGACTGGGCTGGCACCAAGGCTGAGGTTGGAGAGCCAGTCGATTTAGGTGTTTCCAGCTTTTCGTCCGCTTCCGACAGTGTGAGTTATTTGAATCCCTGAATAGCAGTTTACATACGTGACAGCAATACTAATCCTTCATTCTATAGCTTACAATCGTCGTCGAGCCACCTACCAACTCCACAGCGTTCGCGTTTGAGCTCTTCTGAGGTTGGGAGAGGCTCTTACCAGCTGCCTCAATCAGCAAATCCAGCCCCCTGAATGTCAGCAGAGGCAATGAAAGGATGGACCTGAACATATGTAACCTTCTCTGTAGATAGATCGATCCTATTTTGCTAGTATGTAACCAAACTTGCACGAGTACTTTGCAGGAAGCGACTTGCTCTAAGCATTTACGACATGAGACTCAGCAATCTCAATCACGGCGAGTCCGACGTGTCAAATTCCAAGTGATGAAGGAGTACCTGCATGTAAGCAAATCATGGCAAAGTCCTTTACGCAGAACGTCGACGACTCAAATGTGAGGCTTGGCAAATTATTTGGTGTGATCACTTGTGACATCGAGGCAAAACATTGACAAAAAGCGAAGGTGATATTTCATTACTATGGGTATTTTCTACGACTTAAACACGGCACATTCTTCCACTGTCAGAAACAGTCCATGACTCGCTGCCAACGGCGTTGCGAACGTAGAAGAAACCTTCGGGGTCCCACTTCTGCTTCAGGCACAACAGGGAGTTGTAGTTGCTGCCAAAGAACTCGGTCTGGAAGTTGGGCTGCTGGAAGTCGGCCTCGTTCATGTAAGCGCCGCCAGTTGGGGTGAGCGCCTCAATCTCCTTCATGATGACGTTGGTCATGAGGTCCTGGTTGGCAATCATCTCCTCCCAGGGAGCGGTGAAGTTCCAGACGGTGGTCAGGGTGGCGTGCACGAGGGCGTTGCGCCAGGCGGGGGTGACTGAGTTGGTCTCCTTGGTACCGAACTTGCCAACGTCGGTACCGACACCGATGAAGGTGGCGCCCTTCTCGGCGACGCTGCGGGAGAAGGAACCGATGTTGGTGATGTTGTCGCGGGGAATGAGGCGGCCTCCGTACTGGGCGATGCCGACCTGGATGTTGCCGATGGGCAGGGGGCCGAAGTACTTGTCGTAGTGATTGTAGTAGCTTTCGTACTCGGTGTAGGTGGTAGTGTAGTTCATGTTAAGGGCGTCGAGACGGGCGACGAAGGGGGCGAGCAGGGTCTTGACCTCGTCGGCGGTCTTGTTGAACGCGTTGAGGGGGGCGATCTGGAAGAAAGCGGAGGCAAAGTAGTAAACGACCATGGAGCCGCCGTCAACCATACCGGCAAGCTCCTCGTGGAAGGCGTCGATGGCGTTGAAGAAGGCAGTGTTGTCGTTATCGGCAGCCATCATGACGAGGGTGGCACCACCGACCTTGGCATCGGGGTGAGCCTTGACGGTCATGGAGGTGACAACACCCCAGTTACCGGGGCCACCACCGGAGAGAGCCCAGTAGAGATCAGCATTCTCTGTCTGGGAAGCAGTCAAGAGAGTACCGTTGGCGATGACAACCTCCCACTCCAGAACGTTATCAGCACTGAGACCGAAGGAGGTAGACAAAGCACTATGGCCACCGCCCTGAGTGTAACCTCCAGCAATACCAACGGTAGGGCACTCGCCACCGACAACAGCAAGGCCAGCGGTGTGGGCAGCCTCCATAACATCGAAGCCCTGGGTACCGGCACCGACCTTCATGGCCTTGCCGGAGTAGGTGGCGGTGCTCCAGTCAACAACCTCAGTGCTGGTCAGGTGGTGAGTCCAAACGGAGAGGGCTCCGGCGCCGGTAGAGCGACCAAGGTAGTCATGGCCAGTGTTACGGATGATGAAGCGGATGTTGTTCTCAGCGGCGAAGGAGATGGTAGCCGCGATGTGCTCGGGGGTCTTGGCGTCGACGGCGTAGACGACGTAGTTACCCAGAACACAGGCACGAGACTGCGGCTGGAAGGGGTCGCAGCTCTGGTTGGCGAAGAAGGGAGCCATGATGGAGGAAGAGGATCCCATGCTACATTGTCGTTAGTCACTTGATATCGTCAATATCACTAAGTTGGGATCGACACTTACTGGATTTCCGCATCCTGCCATTCACTCTGCAGAGTTGCGCAGGTGGCAGCATCGTAGACGGGGTCGTGGCATGGCGCGCCAAGAGGAACAGTCGCGATCAGATTTCCACCAACAGTGGTGTTGAGGGCATCCCACTGTGCCGTTGCAGGCCAGCAAGAGTCGCCGGGGAAACACTTGCAGTCACCGGCGGCTCGCTCAACAAAGGCGGTGCCGATGCGGTGGTTCGGAGCAGCGAGTGCTGCACCGGCGAGGGCCGCTTGGAGGACAAAGCTCTTCATCTTGGACTACTTTGACTTGACCTGGGTTGGAAAGGCAAAGGCAAAGGCAGCACAATGTGAGACAAAGATCGACGGCTGAGGGAGAGGCGGGGGGAGGGGGGGAAAGGGAAAAGAGAGAGAAATGCCGCTGGACCATTTCATCAAAAGAAAGTTTTTCCTTCCGGTGGCCATGAGCATCACTTTTAGTATGCTGCAGGAAGTGGCCTACCCGACCTCCGGGACCACGGCATGGGAGTTTGGAGAGTCCATCTCGACAGGGAGGACGCTTCCCGACTGGGGTCTCGACCGAAATTTGGGGTCCTATAGAAGGCGGACTTCGCCCCCTCAAACTAGTGGAGGTTTGCCGCATTTCTTACCTGTTGCTGATGAATCTGTCTTGCTATCGTTCGAGAAGGGAACAATAACGGGAAGAAGGCCCTAGGGTCGATTCTCATGCAGTGCCTTTTGTGGCTGGTTCCCTCTTGTTCCCCTGCCATCCTTGGCCAGGGGCGGTAAAGCGTTGCGGGCTGTGGAGCGGCAGACGAGGTCGATATCGTCCTACTACGTAGATATCGGCCGGACACCAGGGATGCCGGGTGCCTCGGTCTATCGGCCACTAGTGGCCAGGACGGTCGACACTCTGGAGTGCGAGAAAGCGGAGAATGTACGGATGCGCTTGACACTCACCACCGGACGTCCTGATACCTATCTCCGCTTGGAGCTCCATTCGACTTCTCGTTGTCGCTTCTGGCGGCCTGCTCTCTCGATCCTGGCTCCCACGACTCTACAAGGCGATGAAGATCCGGGTCACGAGCGTTCCGCGGTCTGTCGTCTTCCAGCACCTAGCCAAGGCCGGGTCAGGCTTGCACGGCCGGGCTCCACGCGGTCAGGTTGTTCGCTCTTCCAAAGTCTTGTTCAGCGGGTACTCAAGAGTGGCTCGCAGATCAAAGGGTGCAGTGCTCCCGGCAGCAACCCTGGCGAATGCCTCGCTCAACAAACCACAAACTACTGCAGAATCACGCATCGTTCCTTGCAGAGTGCAGTTCGCTTACGCTCTGAGACGATGGGCAGAAACCGGCTGTTGAGATGGTGCTACTATAGACTCAAGAATGACGATACTGTTGATGCTTACATCCATGGCCGTCCTGTCGTTGGTGCGGTTCGGTTCGGGATCTCGTAACAAGTGGTCGCTGGTTACAAACCTGCGGTCCAACTGGTGTTTACTGGACAATATCCCGGACTTCTCCTCGGCGTTTTTGAGGAATGTTCAATAGTCGGGCGCAACCTGGACCGGAAATTGAAGCTGCGGGGATTCTTCAGCAAAGTCTATCAAACCCCGGCCCGATTGGGGGCTCGCCACCAGATCCTTGGTAATAAAAGAGGATCGATCAAGCAGACCCACGCATCCTTCAGACTTTCAAGGGGGTTAACTGCAGGGGCCTCGCGGCGGTCTAACCTGAACTCGCCAAATGCCGATGAGATGAAGTTCCTCGGCTCCTCCAAGATTCGGTAGCAACCGCATCGTACGAGGCAACGTGTAGAAGAACAAGGGGCTGGCCAAGCTGTCCAGACTCCATAGAGTTGGGAGTTGGACCGCTGTACGGAGTAACGTCTGATGTTATCTTGATAAGTGGTTCATGCTCGATCGGAGAGAGCAGGGTGCGAAGCTTTGGCTGATTGCGACATTGTCTGCAAATACTGGTCGGGCCCCCGAATCTTGTCTAAGGGTCTCCCACCCCTCGGGTCTCACGAACTCAAGAATGAGACGGTGGTGTCGATGAACCACAACGTTTATCCAAACTTCAACGCAGCTGAATGTGATCATATGGCTACCATAGGATCAACTTTATTGTGACGTTCTCAATACGTAAGGACTTTTCAGTAGGTGAGATCAACGGTGCTAGGAAACACTATTGAAAAGGGATTGGCGGCCGTTGTGCAAAGTCGGCATTAAAGTGCCTCATACAAGCGGGCAGTAAAACCAAACAGTCAGCCACCACGACGCCGGCGGACGGACAGCACAGACATTCGCGTCCCGTCCCGATTAACGTCTTTTCTCCCTCCGAATTGGTGTGTGTGGCATCTGTGGCTGCTCCCTTGGTATCGTTCCTTGGCAATAGGGAAATTCGGATCCGAAAGGAAAATTCCGTAGGGCGTGGACATTTGTTCGATGTCAGTGTGTCCGAGTCACGATGAGGACCCTTCATCTTTTCGGTGGCTCCCTCCTCGTGCCCGGATGATGGATCGCCTCCCTCTCCTGATCATTCTCCAGTTCCCATGGACCTTCCAAAGCCAAAATTTCTTCGTCTCCGCAGATGCCCGAGAAGGCTGGCCGGCTGGGTACGGATATGGTTCCGGGGAGTTTGGGGTTGGAGACTTTGGAGCATGTTCTTCGGAAATCCAGTCACGAACAATAGTTGCTTGCTGTGCCGCAGCACGCTCGAGCACACACGCTCACCTGAAAAGCGGGATGGCGCCGAGGACTTCTGGAACTTCTTTCTCATCGGTGGGGGTGGTTGAAGACATGGTTACAACTTGCATGGATGTGCAGGGCACACTCTGCAGGCCAAGTCGGCATATCAGACCCACGTGGTCGGAATGTGGCACAGCAACTTGAACTCTCAAAGTCCCAGTCGACTTCATCTTGACAAAGTCTTGGCTTGATAACAGGAGGTTTCTTGGTCAATGGAACGCTTCAGGGCCATCCAGCGCATAAGTAGCTAGCAGTAAATTGCAAACACGACGGATACGTAGAAACAAGTTTGCTTCAGGGAGAAACCTTTTCTTGATGAGACAACCTGCTTTTATAAGGATAGCATGTCGATACCAGAATCCAGAGCTTTACCGCACATGGCAAATTGCCCGAAACGGCGTGTCTCGGACAGGGATATCCTCGCATGCCACATTCACCACTGACTTGTCATCGCGACACGGACCAAGTCTGGCCATATTCTGCTTGCGTGGTCCACTCCATGGTCCATGAATTTTGATAATGGCGTAAAAGTCGAGTTGAAGCTAGCCCGCCAAGTTGTCAAAACTTCCCGCTGTCACCTCTGCCACTGTGACATTTTAGCCCCCAATGTGATATATCATACGCGGTAACGCCAGGTGACATAAAGGACCTCTCCTCGGGTTTGGCTTAGACTGCGGCTCATTTCTCTTCCTCGGATGGGTTCCGTGCTCGGGATTCAACTTCCATACTAATAACAAACGGGCAGTGGACGCGGTTCCCACAATACGGATCCTACGAAATCTGGCTGACTTCCAGGGGGAACCAACAACTGGTTCTCTTATGAAAGACCATCATCCCTGAATCTGCGCTAATTAGTGCCGCGTACAATGCCCATACGCGTGCATAGCGTGCGTGTACTACAGTACTCCGTATATGCGTCCAACAAGGGGGACAACCAGCAGGGGACGGGGGCCGCCGACAACCACGTCTCTTCTAGAATCCTAGGTCTGGCGAGGAAGACCAGACGTATCTCCGGCCGGTGGCTCAGCGAAGTTCGAGGTGACTGGTCGCAAACTCGATGCGTTTTGCAAGATGCAGGCATGGGTGCGTTCGTCTCCAGAAAGCACTCCTGAAATGCAACATCGGCACACTTTCCGGCGGGGGGAAAGAAGCTCTGCTTCAATGCTCCTCGTACGGAGTCTGACCCCGTATGCGTTCCCATCTTCCTCGTGGCTCCCCCGAGCTTCTCGCAAACGTGCAGTGCACGAGGCAAGAGGGGGACGTTACCTTGTAGACGATCCAAGGGACAAGGCCCGGAGGACAAGCCCTCCACACCTCACACATCCGGCCTAGAAGGTCTCACAAAGTTCGTGCATGCAGCCTGGCTTGGCCGTTACTTCAAGTGTAATATCTTTTACCTGCTCCGACAGGGGATGCCTTCTGGCCCAGATGCTCGGTACCGGAACAGGATACCCAATCCATAAGGTTGGGTCTTTGTGGGAAAGTCAATGTGAAAAGGGAGAGAAGCCTGAGAACAAGAGCACATTATTTGTATATTGATAGTCCCTCCACTCTTCCCCCTCCCTTCTTGGCACGAACGTTACTAGCTGAAAGGCCTGGTCTAATGATGTTATGAACGACGAGCTCCTGTCCAGATAAAGCGGTCTAAAGCCAGTCGGCTCCGCCACCTCTGCCCACTCGTGCCCTTTCCTCCTAGTCTCCTACCTAGGCTCGTCGGTTAGATCGGCAACGTCCTTCCCGTCTCAGCACTTCCCGTCGAACAACGTCTACCCGCAGACCATCAGCCTTACGTCTGTCAGGGCTCAAAATTCACCGCGATCAGCGAACGGGTTTCGAAGGAGTTGAGGTTATTCGCAACAGTTTGGCCCACGATGAGTGAATCGTGGACTTACAACACCCCGCCGGGGACGCCGTCCACGGGGCCCCAGATTACGGCTATCGCGTTGGTGTTTACGGCGTTGTCACTGATCATCATGATGTTGCGGTTATACGTCCGTGTGGTCATGCTAAAGGCCGCTGGTTCAGGTCAGTTCCCAGCTTAGATATCTGGGCTCTTATACAGCATACTGACTTCTCGACTCTAGATGACTGGGTCATCTTTGTTACGTGGTTTGCCGCTTGTGGTTTCGCAATTGTCAGCACTATTCGTACGTTGTTGTCTCTACACTTGTCACCTCGTCTGGCGTCTAACAATCACTCAAAGAAACGAAATGGGGCCTTGGCCTCGAGAAATTGGAGGACATGCCTCTGGAGAACCTCTACAACTTTGGTCTACTACAATACGCCGGCGCTCCTTTGTAAGTGGCCTTTTTTCCCCAACAAGACTGACCAGGCATAATAACTAACATTCAATCTAGCTACATCAGCAGTATTCTCGGCTTCAAGATCAGCTTGCTTCTCTCATATCTCCGCTTCATCCCGAAGGGTCCCTACAGATGGGCAAGATTCGTCACGATTGGTCTCTGTGTTGCGTACCACCTTGCCTTCTTGCTCGTGCAGATAAATCTGTGCACGCCTGTAGGTTTCTCCCATCTCCGATTCTAGTACAAACCAGACATTGACAATGAACAGATCGCGAAGCAATGGGACCCAACAATCACCAACGGCTCCTGCATTCCGGGAGTCCCCTTCTACACCAGCATGGCGTCTCTGACGATTGCGTTTGACGTTATTGTGTAAGTTCTCCTAATTAAACACGCTCAAAACATCAGCTGACAATTCTCTCCCCAGCATGTTCCTCCCTTTCCCCGTCCTCGCCTCCTCCAAGATCCAAAAGCGCAAGAAGTTCGTCCTTCTCGGACTCTTCGGCCTCGGCGCCTTCATCACCGTGATCCAAATCATCCGAATCCAAACCGTCCACGCCCTCGCGAACTACCTCGACTCCTCGCCCCTCATCATGTGGTCGGCAATCGAAAACAACCTCGGCATCATCGTCTGCTGCATCCCCACCCTCGCGCCCCTGGTCAAATACTTCAACGAAAAGAGCAGGTCCGGGAGTCGAAGCAACAAGTACGGTGGTGCGAGCGGCTACGGAAAGACGGGACAGAGCGGCAACGTTGGAAGCAGGTACGCGCTACAGAGCTGGCGGCCTGGCATGAGCGGTATGCAGCCGCTCGGCAGCGGGATCGATCACAGCGATCGGGATATTGGGGTCCAGAGTTCAAGGATAGGAAAGGGTTCGGATGACGGCAGTGCCGATTATCATCTTGATGCGCCGGTTATTGTCAAGAAGACGGAGTTTGTGGTTACGAGCAATCCTAGGGAGCCAGGGGAGGCTGTTTGAAGGACGTCCGGGAGCGAAAATCATTGACAACTTGGTATATTGATGTCTGGGTACTTGTTTAAATAGTTATAATTTGTATGAAGCTACAGGGACGCCGGCCGTGTGTACCCCCTCTGATGAATTTGCTTTATAAAAATTCCGACTCTCTCACCGTGCTCAGATCCTCGCTCAATTGACAAAGGAGTGGTTCCCCCGATTTCTTGCATCCGAGTATCGGAATGATTGAACCATCTGTAGGAACCGGAGAATATCTCAACTCCATCTGTTGGCCTCTCAAGTAAGAAGAGACTCCCATTTGGTACTTTCGTTTCGCTCAGAATCTTCTGGTTACCTGTACTGCAAGGTCTCAGCGCCATTTGACCATTTACAATGTTGGGGGTCAAACTTCGTGGCTCGATTGCTTGCAGTCAGGCATTTGCAATAACAGAGTTTGAGGTCGACTAGGTTGGCTGGTCATCTGATCATTCAGCACTGAGAAAGTTTACCATAATAAAGTCAGCGGACCGGCCCGAGCTGAGCGAAGGGCAAATCAGAGTGGGAACGCACGAACACTGCCATCGAGTGATTCAAGTCAGACTTAACTCGCTCGCTCAATCAAAGTCTTCTGGTAAGAGGAAAGCCCCTCGACATGAAGGTGATCAAAGATGTTGCAAGATTCGCATCGGAAAACGCCTGCGGGAGCAATACCGAAGACAGTAAATACGACTCAGGAGTTGGATCTACGATGCCACAGGAGTCCGATGACAAAGGCTTGTCTAGCGATAAAGAGCACGACGTCTTTGCTTCTGATTGAGCAGGACGTTGTGTAAGTAATTGACCTTGGAACCACATTGAGATGAAGAATGGACAAGTTGAAGGGAAAGTCAAGTTCTTTTTGTTCCACTAATCCTTGCCCTAGTTTAGAAATACACGGCTCTTCTCTTTCCATCCGAGAGAAAAGCGAAAGGCATCAACCGCCCCCATCCCTGGACCCCTCTGATCTCAGAAAGCGAAGTAAGTATACACGGAAGAAGCCCCTAGTAAGAAGGGCCAAAGGGATCGGGGATCCGAGAGTCGGAGCCGGGGCTGAAAGCCTCTCTCTTAACGTTAAGGCGAGCACCGCCCAAGCCGACCATACCACCGCCATTGACAATGGGGCTTCCATCGCTCTGTATCTGGCTCTGGCCTGTGTCGGAACGTCCGGGGGTGATTCCGTCTTGGCTGACAAAGAGACCGCCGGAGGAAGAGGTGGCAGAAACTTGACGCTGATGAGTAGGACGGAGTTGACCCTGGTAGTCACCGACGGTACCCAAGCGACCTCCACCACCAACATCACCCATGCCAGTACCACCAGTACCACCAGCAACACGGGCATCAGCAACACCGCCAGTACCTCCATTACCATCACCAGCACGGGTACCACCGACACCGCCCATGCCGGCGAGACTGTTGAGGCGAGTGAGATCATTGCCAATGCCTCCGATGACGACCCTGCCACTTCCACCACCTCCGCCAGTATTCTTCTGGATACGACCACCCTGAGTGTGACGAAGAAGACCCATGTCTCCCTTCATGATGGCCTTGAGCTCACGGACCTTCTTGCGGATCTCATTGCTCTTCTCTCTATTCTGCATAGCATCGGCGAAAGACTCGAGGTTGGCCATAGTGTCGCCGACAATGGTGTTCTGAGCGCGAGTGTCCTGGAACTCGTCGTCCTCATAGAGGGCGTGCTGAGCCTGGACATTGTTGCCCCAATGGCACATGGAGGAGTTTTGGTGAATAATGAGGTGACGAAAGACCTCGGTCGGGTACTTGCCGCCGTTGAGAGCGACGGCGGTGAGAACGTCGCGCTGACTGAGGTCACGGTTGTTCTTGAGCTTCTCAAGAATCTTCTTGTAGAGGGAGTGGTCATTGAGGGTCTGACGAAAGTAGGTATTCTCGATGTCGCCAAGAATGATCTCGAGGAGCTGAGAGTCGACCTTGTTGATGAGGGTCTTGACGAACTTGCGGGCATCAGAGAGACCGTCACGGTACCACTCGTGATTGGCTGCGAGAATCGCCTTGTCGACCCAAGCCGCGGTGTGGCAGCGGATAAAGAGGTCCTTCAGGACCTTGTTGTACTCGCCGTCATAATTGACGGCGACGATGGCCTCGAGGGCGAGGTAGTCGACGAGATCGGGGCGTCGATCGCGCTCGGGGACATTCTTGTCCTTCAGCGAGTTGCAGAGGGACTGGTAGATGGTGTTGTCTGAGATGCAACGACGGAAGGCGTTGGAGTCGATGCGAGACTCGATGCGACCCAGAAGAGCGGGAGTGAAGGTGGCGGTCTCACGAATCATGGTCTTGGCTTCTGTGACGCGTCTGGCGCGCTCTTCGGCCGAGATAACGGTGGTACCGCGGTCGCGCGAGCGTTGAGACATGATGCTTGAGTCGATGGAGTGATGAGTGACCAGAGGTTGATTTTCAGAAAAGCGATGTCTTTGTCTGGGAACGAATCTGCATCAACAAGATGTCAGAATCATCTTCGAGGATTGAGGGGAAAAAAAATGAAAACACCTACCGCGATATTCAGCTTGCTGTCGAAGCTCTCATAGCGTGCGTTGTTGTGATGTTATAGCAGTGAGGGCAGCAATGGTCATGCCACTTAGCTATATCTAGCCGGTCAGTGATGTATCACAGCAAGATACACAAGCGATTTGATGAAATGGGGAAGTTGGGGGAAGAGACGAAGTCGGATCCAGAGGGTGGTGAGTTAGGAAGAGAAGAAGAAAAATAAGGGCGGTAGGTGAGGCAGAGAAAAAGATGAGGGTGAGGGTGAGGGAGGGCTCAGGAGGACGAGAGGGTAGGGCGAGGTCGAGGTGGAAGGTGAAAATCCAAACAATGGCCTCACCTCGAGGTAGGAAGGAGCGACTGAGATCAGGCTACTGAAATTCCAGGCCTCTGGAAAGCAGTAAAAGTCGATTGATCTATAGTGAATGTGAATTAAGAGGATAAAGTGATGAAAAGTGAGGGCTTACCTAGATTCTAGTTTGTGGGAGTGACTGACCTAAAATGTATTGTTGAAGAAGAAAAGGAAGAGAGGGCTTCAAGTTCACAAAGGATTTTCATCAGTGGGTCTATCTACATATCTATGTCGGCAGGTGGCATTATTCTTCACCTTCCTGCCTCGCTCTCTCTCTCTCTCTCTCTCTCTTTAGCGTATTCGTCTCTCTCGTCTGAAGTGGGAGTGCTTGAGGGAGTAGGACGACGGGGATGGCCACTCATTGAGCTCTATTGATCTACCAATACCTGGGCTCACGGCTATCAAGCATTTTGGTGAAAGAGAGTACATAAAGCACATGACTGAGCTTCCAAATGCTTATCAATCATAGATTCTTGCGCCGATATGGCTCAAGAAAAGTGACTATATTGCTATGAGCAGGTGAGAGTACAGCCAACCATCACTTCCGTTAGGCTTCATGCAAAGGCAAGAACATTAAATTGACTATTTTTGAGTTTTGCTATGCAACACAGTAGAAAGTTACCACCCGGCCTGGAATCCTTGGTGTGCTCCCATGTCTGTCATCAAGTCATGATCACATAATAAAGCCACCTCAACAAAGCATGCGCCTTTCGATGTTCCTTGACAATCTTACCACACCCGGTGGTAGTAAACAATGACCAAGCCTGTCCTTCCCCGAGCTACAACAGTGACATGAACCGGAACGTCGAAATCAGGAAGACAAAGGGCTGATACCAAGAACCTTCATCCCATTCTCAAATACCTGCCTGGCATTCTCATATAGCACTGCTCGGGCAAGGTCAAGCGCCTGGTTGTCGGCAGTCTCCTCTTCTTCGTCTTCATCCTCACCTTCATCGTCATCGAGACATACCAACAGTTGTTCGGCCAGCCGATACAGGAACGTCAACACAGCCGAAGGCTCGAGAGTCTTGTACGCGGCGTTGATGACATCAGGGTACTGCGCCATGAGTCTCAGGAGATTCGTGTACTCTTCCTCCTCCAGCTGAGCGTAATCGACCTCACCAAGAGCACTCGGGTCAGCGTCAAGTTGGCTAATGGTCATACAAAGTCGAGTGTAAAGTAGTTGAATATGAGCGCCAGTGTCGCTCTCAAACTCGGTCATTTTCTTGCTGTCGAACGCGTACCCGTTGCTGCGCTTCGTGTGCATGTCTTGGGCAAGCAGGGATGTGATACCTAAAGGCTCTGCGGCAGCAAGAGGGGCTCCAGCATTCTGCTCCGTCGCCATGGCGTCTTTGACTGCGTTGGAGCATTGATTCAGCATGTCTCCCAACAGATGCGCATTGCCCAGTTGGGATGACAGGCCCTGAACCTTGCCAAAATTAACGTGTTGGATCTTCTTGGCGAGATCCTCCCTCCCCATCAGCTCAAGCGCCTTGATCACGCCGCGGAAGTGGGAGTCCTGCTCCGAAGCGACGACGTAGATCATTTTGTCGAAAGCAAACTTCTTCTCACGATCGAGCACTGCAGCAAGGTCGCGGGAGAAGTACATGGTCGTGCCGGTGCGGTTCCGGACCATGCCAGTACCGAGACCTTTGGCGCCGTGCTTCTTGAAGTCGATGAGCCAGGATCCATCACTCTCTTCGGATATGCCCTTCTCCTTGAGTACTGTCTCTACCTCGGCAATTGACTCCGAAGTAACTTGAGACTCTCCAGCGTACTCATCGAACTTGATGCCGAGACGAGCATAGGCCTTGGTGTAGTCTTCGACATAGACGTTGCGGAATCTGGTGGTCAAGGCTAGCGCATCGGCATCTCCTTCCTCCCACTTCTTGGAGAAGGCATCGCGCTCGGCGTAGATGCCCTGTGACTCAATCTCGGCTGTGTTCTTTCCCTCGTCTTTTGCCTTTGTGCTTGCCTCTTGTTCAGGCTTGAATAGCTCGTTGATCTGGTTGTGTACGTCAAGGAGGTGTCGAATGGGGTCCTTGTCGAAGGCTTCCTCTGAACCGAACTTGTTCCAGCCGACAGCAAGCAGAGCAATGTTCTTGCCCCAGTCTCCCAAGAAGTTCAGTCGGCCAACCTCCCATCCCATCCGCTCATGTAAGTTGGCGATGGCAGCACCGTTTATTGTGCTGCGGAGGTGTCTGCCTTCGAATTCCTGTGCGATGTTGGGTGAGGAGAACTCGACGATGACCTTTTTGCGTCCGGACTCGGGTGTTGTAGCATCCTTTAGACCAAAGACATCATCGCTTCCATATAAGTCTTTGCGGTCGGCTATGAAGGGAATGAGGAGTCGGGGAAGGAAGAAAGGAGAGGAGAAGATACGGATGTGAACCCCATCGACGAATGGAAAAGTGTATAGAGGTGACTTCGGGAACTGCGTATGTCTTGTGTCAGCTTAGAAAGGGACGTCCAATGTTTGTTTTTATAATAACCTTGTCGAGAAGTGCGGCTGCAGCTTCGGCGTTGGCTTTGATTTTAAGGCGAGGCAGGATGATGGCTAAATCTCCCATGGAGATGGCAGCCGTAGACTGAATCGCCTCATACGCAACGGCCGGTTCGCAGCCTGCTACCTCCGCCACGATTGTGGCTAGGTAAGACCGCCAAATATCTAAAGGACGAACTAATACATCGGCGACTGGAAAGGATGGAAGGGGATTGTCGAGGCTCAGCTTCCCGAGCGAAGATTGAAGGCCGCTGATGGACAAAGTTGCCATGGTGTCACTGGGATCTGACAAGTTTCTTTGGACCATCTGCTTTGGTGTGTGTGGAAGAAAGAATATAGACGAGCGCTATCACAAACAATGGGAAAATTGTCTCTTTCTTCAGCGATAGCAGCGGAGTGACGAAATGGGCCGTTGGTGTGGTCGGGCACCGAAGGCAGCCAACGCGGCGTCGCTGGATTGGTTGGTTTCCAGACTTGCAGACGCAGATGCTATCACCCAGTCGTTGAATGAGGCTACCGTGCATGGGATGCGGCGACTTTGGGCTGGCACTGCTAGAATCAGGTTTCTCGGTGCCGCATCTCTGTCTCGTCTGGATTTTGTCTGGCGATTTTGCAGCATTTTGCTCGGTGATGTAATGTATGGTGAATTGGCATAAGCTTTTCCCGCCTGAAAAAAGCCATCAAATTACATATCCTGCAGTACATTGTGAAGATAGCCCTCTCACACGGTTCGTTCCGTCTCTTGAATGCCCGAACGACGCCGAAAACTTGAGGAATGCTACAGCAGATGTCGATGTCGTTAGTTGTGGCCGCCTATGTAACGCCGAATATAACGCAGAAAACTACGGATATTAGCTTGATCTGGAGCTATAGAAACATGAAGTTCGAACCTTCCTCGATCTCTAAGGTAGACTATAAACGATCCCTACGGATTGTTTCTGAGGGAGCTGCCCGTTAATGCGATGGATGATCCACTTGAGATTGCTGCGATCGCTTCCGTTAATGTCGGTAGTGCTTTTGGATAGGTCTACAAGAAGTTTTGATGGCACAGGCTCGAATAACGGATTTCGCGTTGGCCAGAGTCTCGCTGCTTCTGAGATTGAGGGAATCTCCTTTTCGAGATCGTATCGAAAGGTAGCCGTCATTGTACATGCCGAACTGAAAGTTTCAGTGCACGAAGATGAATGAGCAACAGCTCAGATCATCGGCACATATACCTCCACAGCATGCATGGCAATCGGCTCTATCAAGCTGCTCCTCGAGAGGAAGCCGACACGGGCGAACCACGGACCTCTCAGCAATAATCCGCTGAGGAAGTCGAAGAAAGATATGCCATTATGACAAAATTGTGAATCCATGTCTTTCAATTTCAGAAGTCGCTTGCCATCGACTAGGAGGCAAATAGAGATATATTTGACCCAAATTTGGTAAAGCCACCGGTGGAAAAAGACACTGCTTTCGGCCATGCTGAGAGATCGGATGCTAGGGATCCGACGCAGGACATATGACTTCACATAGTAGCTTGTCGAATCGCGCCCCGGAGGGGCATTAGACTCTGGCAACACGCTTCGTAAGCGCTCACCTAGAGTTCTAGAAAGAAGATTTGTAGATGGCACACGCCAAGCTGAACCAAGAAAACTTGTCACGGTATCTCCAAAAGTTGCCTGGCCTCAATGTGTGTAATCGCTGGCTTAGTTTTGGGCCCGCGGGCCACCTGGCCTATGTCGCGGGGCACTCATTTGAACTACGCTGGTTTCAAGTAATATACTTGCGTATAACAACAGACCCATCAGGACTATCATAATCATAAACGAAAGGCTACAGTGGAGCGCACCGGAATCTTTCATGATTGACAACAGTTCAGCTACCAATGCGATTGCCCAGAAGTAGTGGAATCGGTTTCGGCTCAGGGCTGCAAATTCAAGAACGTCCGGTCGTTCGGCCGTGTTCTTCAAAGTTGGCATTTTCTTCAAGGTTCAATGATTAATCTCACTTACTGCTAGGAGTTACTTCATGTGTATTTCACGCAATCCCTGGTTGTAGTCGTGTTTGCGTCAGCGACCAGAACCACGTCTTTGCGAAGCAAAGCGTCAAAGTCATTGTCGGCGACGTACCTTCTTGCTCATGGCTTTTCCGGTGTTCAGGATGGACTTTCACTCCGTCTCTAGATCCTTTGAATGGCGGTGAAATTTATGGAGGCCATTGCGTGTCTTTGGTATTTGTGTTAGATCTGTCAAACATGATGTGAAGCCCCCCCTGGTGGGTTTGGTTGAATCCGAAGGAAATAGTGGACATCTCTGGCCAAGAACAATTGAAGAGACTTCAGGATTTCATCGAGTGCTTGATTGCATTCTCTTAAGATTTTATTTGCTTCGGCTACTGTATCCTCCAAGTTCCAAGTCGTCGAATTCTTGCAACAGAATGTGGTGTTGGGGGTTTGCTTGGGACTTGGGAGTCTTGAGCGGAGACCTGAATGCGGCGAAGAAGATGCTTGTGCTTTTTGGACCGACAAGGATATTCAGCCACACACTTGACTTCATTGCATGATCACGATGTGGGGGTTCTTACAGCTTCTGTAATGTTTCCCTCCATGTGGAGGAGCAAGGCTAACGTTCAATGTTTGCAAGACATAATGATGGCAGAATGAATACAAGTTCTAATCTCGAGATTCAGTCAGCGATTCTACATATACTTAGATATTATAGAAAGTGCCTGTTTGTTAATTGTGCGTTGACCGGCATCCTTTGCCATCCACTTCTACCTCATGTAACCCGATCACTAGGTATGTGTAGGTGTATTGAACCACTTAGAATGAGAAGAGAAAGGGCACAGAAGTACTGAAATCAAGAACTCATTTCCAAGTATGAAACATGAAGTATGCAGCTAAGACACCCTCTGTCATGTTAATTCCTCAACAACTGAAACATTCCTGTCCCCGAGCTCAACATCGTCTACCCTTGCAGTTCGCCTATAGCGCACCCAAAGTCTGTCTGACAATCGACGCCGACTATGGAACATGGCGCCATCATCGTTGAAGCTTGTTGAAGATACGTGTGTGGAAATACCTTGAGACACAATCTCGCTGCTTGATCTCAATGTAACAGCGAAGGCAGCGCCGAAGTTTGGTGTAGGCTGCATAACAGGCAGTACTGGCTCTGGCCTCAACAGATTTTGCACTTTTCGACGAGCCCTCCGAATCCACATTAGAAACGCGGACCCAATCGTAAGATTAATGCCATAGGCGACGAGAAGGGATATCAGAAATGTTTGCCAGTTTTTTGTGAACGCGATGACACCGTCTGCGCTGAACAGTGCCGTAGTCTGGGAGAACGCCCGCGTGAGCTGCAGATACTGTCAATAGCCGCCCGCCCAAATTCGTGACAGAAGTCAGGGGAAGATCACGATCAGAACATGAACTTACAAGTGTGCTAAATGCGAGAACCCGAACTTCTCCAACATCTCCAGGTCCGATAGCAAGAAGTTGACCATTTTTCAATCTCATTTGTATCAATTCCTGTGTAACCTGTTAGTGATAGGCTACCCCTGTACACTTGAAGGGATGCCTAACGTTTCGCAGATTCTCTATGTCCACCTGGACTTCTAGCAACCCGCGCTTTGCGTACCAGGTCAGTGATCTAATTACCCTAGCACAAAGCAGACTTACTCACAGACTTGAAAGCTAATCTCTCCTCTAAGACTGCAGATGAATTGTGGGAATTCTACAACTTGTCAGAACGACAATATGTGAAGGATGAGTAGGAGTCTTACGTTTTTGATGGAGGCTTCGCAATACTGAAGCAGAAAGACGTACCTGGCCTGGTAGCTTTCCAGTCGGATTTTGAGCTGATCCAACACATTGAACATCCGCCGGATCTCACTAAGATATGGGTAACACTGAGGCATCTCCCGGCTTTCCGTCGAAGTTGAGAAAGAAGTTCACTTCCGTTGATAGGAAAGACGCCCCGACCTTGACCGTCTCCTGAACGGCACTGATCAGGTCTTGTAGAACATCCCTAGACTCTAAAACTGATCTCCACAAGGCGTTGATTTGATTCATATGCTGTTTGGTGGCGGTATGTTCCGGGGATCGTCGTGCTTTTTGGAGAAGAACATTGTATTTCCGATCCTAAATCATATGTTAAGCATGTACGGTCATGGTTACAGGTGTTGGTGAAAATGTTCTACCTCTCTGTCGAGATTCTGCCCTAAATGAAGGCATATAGACTCCCATTCATCCTTGATTTGGTCGAGCCGAATGCCAAAGATGCGGGGGAACCAAATGCGTGGATACCAATGTGGCTTTTTGGCATCGTCTTGTCCTTCGCTGCAGGGATCCCACTCGAACCCATCTTCTCTGTCATTATCGTAACGTGTGACCTGTTCATTCATGCCTTCGTTCTCGTCAAACCAGGTATCGATGGCAAAGTAGGCTGTCCATCTCCAATGATCATGGCCGCTGACAGCACACGCAATGTGACCTGAGTAGATGCCGTGGACATGATCACCTTCATCCCCATTCCCAGGAGGCATCAAGTAGGGGACATCTCTTGATGATCTGAGAGGTTCATTGTCCGATATCTTGATCCTTTCGTCTTTGATGAGGTGCTTTGTTTTCCGCCAGACTCGAAATGGCAGGTAGAATTCCAAAGAGAAATTTTGAGGGCCATTAGCCTGGTGATAACGCATGTACCTCTTAGCGCAAATAACCGGGTCAAAGTTGCCGGCTTTGAGAGAAAAATCTCGCCATGAATGATACTCCAATCGAAGTTCTAGAACACAAGTGCTTGTGGAAAGATCTTCCCAAAAGCTTTGCCTGAGATCGAGGGGCAGTCTTCACTAGCGCAAGAACACTCCAACAATCAGGGTTCGTGAGATACCTACGTCATTATCATAGAATCAGCATTTCACCCATGGAGCAATTGTTTGGTAGTCTATTTTCGCGGGAGTGCATGAAGGAAGCAACTCATACAGTAGGCGACGTTCAGCGTCGAAGCGTGGAATCTCGTCACTGCTGATTATCATCTCATGTGCCATATCTTGTTCAGCGCTGTCGGTAGTAAGCGCCTGGTGGTTTTGTTAACGCTACCAATGATATCAGTGATCAGAGTCTTTCACTATCGATTAAAAGACTCACTGGTTTCAACAACGCTTCAGTAAGTTGACTGGCAGTCAAAAATCCCAAGCACTCTCGAAAGTTGATCTCCTCATCCACAAGTTGGCCGTCTATCAGCCAAGCTACTCTCTGATCTTTATTAGGAGATTCGAGATGGGAAAGATCGTGAAGACATAAATTCTGGCAAATATCCAGGACAGGACTAACACGTCCATGATATCTTACATCGTCGTCGTCAAACTCAAGAAAAACGCTGATGGCGTCCCTGGATGAGTTGAACTCTTCTTGACAAGCTAGCCACGGCTTGTTTTCGGAATCTTTTGCTATTGCGTCTTTTTCAGAGAATCTCTGAGGCCATTCAAACCCACTGCGAATAGACTGCGAGATGTAAATAGACTCAGACATTGCGATTTGTAGAGGTTACGAAGGTGTTGCGCAGTGTCGACTTGCACGTCATTTGTCAAAGGACACGAAAAGCTGGCTATTTCTCAGTATCGGGACTGGAGACTTCGTGCAGAGTGAACCTTCGGGCAAGCGTTAGACTTCAATTGATAACATGAAACATAAACAAATTTGACGAGACGAATCACCTATCTATATGCGATCACTGACGCAACTTCTGTGGACATAAAGCAACAATCTTTAGGTATGAGACAGCTTGCGGTACAACTCTAAGTGATACTGCCATATGGAGATTTAGAAGTTGGACTAAACCAAGGCTGGAACGCCTGGGCCTTCGCCGTACGACTCTGTGATAGTAAGAACACTCGCAACCTCTGTTATCGCTCTTCTTCCTGCCCAAAATATCTTCAACCGCCAAGCGTGTAAATCGGGTGGGGCCGCTGAGCCGATTTGTGTGAGTGAGCGTGGTTAAGATGCCAGGCAGTCTACACTCTGTAACCTCGACATCGACTACAACGGGGGTACCGACAGTTGATACAAGAGTTGATGACCACCCAACCAAGCCACAACAACACCACGTCAATCAGGTTCGGCTAGACTTGGCAGTCGAACGCGATAGAGCTTGGGATTTCGGCTGAATTGACTCAGAGAAAGGTACACATGTCCACATGGAGGCGAATTTCCTCAGAGCTAAAGGCTACATGGAGGAGAAAGAAAGTCAGATGTGGGGTTGAACGAGGACGAACAGGGCGCGGTAGTAAATTTATCTACCATAAGGTAATCTAAAAGCAGTCGGGTGCATGGGTACACTCACAAAGTCTCCAGTTTCGCTCCCGCTCTCGATTAGTTCAAGGTGATTCAAGCCGAGCTTGGGTATTAATGCATAAGGCGGAAAACGGGGTTGTGGTTGTGAGGGGGTTAAAGCCAATCCGGTCGTCTTGGGGGCTGGACAGAAGTTGGTGGTGGTTGCCAACATCCAGAGGGGACGAGCAGCGCTTTCAATGGCTGTAAATTGTGATTGAAGAGAATCCACAATGGATTTCTTGGAGAATCAAGTCTATTGCAAGTGCCGACGATGGTGACACCGTCAGAGCCTCGATGTCGCGGAAGGCACGATGGCCATGCAGTGGTGAGCGTGGTATACCTCCATCCTTCAAAGTTTCTTTTCCATTCCTCTTAGTTTCGTCGTCCCAATGGACTAAAGCTTACCTTAAGTACTAACTGCATGCAAATCGACGATATTCAATAGACAACTTGAGCGCCCTTGCCAGGGGTGGGGTGCTTAGGTAGGTTGATGATGTCACGTGTGCGTGGTTCACAACACCATTCTCCGTTACAACCTCAGAACGGACACTCATCACGGAGCAAAAGCCGACGGCCAGAACGAACGACTTGACCCGGGAGCCCACTGCCCGCTTCGCCCACCCTCTGAGCGTGTAATTGCTTGAGCTCCTGTGGTAACCATAAACAAGCTTCATGCACGACATCTAGGCTGAGCAGACCATCCTTTGAAAGTATCCTCTCTCAACGATTCCACGTTCATCTTCACAATACTTTGGCTACGCGGATCTAATTTAAGAAACTCAAATGACGGTAATTGGCTTCTGATCAAGCTGAAAGTGAGGCGATCCGGGTGTGGCCCAATGGGGCAATAGCTGAGTCTCTGAGCTAGTCCCGTCCGGCTTCTAGACCTTCTGATCATCCTTTCATGGCTGGTGTCCCCTCAATAGTCATGTTTGCGGCTACCTAAGCCCGAGGTATCCGCATATGCGTTATCAGCGGACGAGCTCTCGCTCAAACGATTTGCAACTTCTTGGCACCTCATGACGCATGCTTCATCGTACTTGTGCCCATATTGCTTGCAATTTGAGCAGCTTCAATGATTCTCCCATCTAGCCATAATAATGTTGCCACACCCTGCATGTTTCGGTATCCTTGTCACTTTGAATCGCGGAAAAAGATGCCACGCATCACAGTCTTAGCTACCTTAGGCCTGTCTGTTTTAGCAAAGCGGGCTGGATGAATGAGGGTGTCATGGCGGAACCCAAAGATAGATGTCCTTCCCAGAAATCTGCAAATCGTCGGATGCTGCATGGTACATTAGGTAGGAATTTGGAGATGTCCCTGCAATCATTCAATGCTGTTTTTCCCATGTTGCACCTCGTCGTTTGCCCGAGGCGTATTTGTGTAGTGGCAGGAGGCCTAACGTAGGAAAATAGGCAACAAGCCCGATATATGGACTAAACCACCACCACAGCCAGTACATGTGAGGAGATTGCCTCACTGACTGGATTTGGGTAAGCATGCATAGATCACTTAGAACTTTCAGTTGGGCTGCTGGTTTCATTCGGCTTGAGTACCTTATCAGAAGATTCGATTGGCTGAGGGCTCTGGCAGCTGCAGTGCTTTTGGGATGAATGTTAGGTTTTCCCAGCTTCGACTTCACCTCCCCTGCAGCATACCACACATAACTTAATCGCAGCCTGCCTCAGCTTGATCTTGTCACCGTGGAGGTGCTAATTATGCGACCTGCTATTTACGAAAGCTTTCATACATTCTCAAGGGCAATGCCGCGCGTCTCCGACAACATGGTAAGCAGAGGGAGGCCAATAGGTTAGCACTGATTAAGCACTGCTGGTGCTCATAATCTTGGATGGGAGCAGGATCTCTAGACTTCAAGTAGAAGGTTAATGCTCGCCTCGATAGCCGCTGAGCCGGCAGCCTTCTCATCGCCCTCAAAAGTCTCATCGAGGTATTACAGTCTACCGAAGCTGAAGGGCAACGTACATGAGAATGCTCTGTGCCTTCCCGGATCCCTAGCCATGAATTTGTCCACCATCCGCTGACCTGAAGCCTCACTACCTTACCTTAGCTCGACTCTTCTTCAGTCTCCATACACCCACCGACTCCTTGGGAGATCTCGCATTTGAGCCAGCACTCCGGACAATGACATCCCGGGATCTCCGAGTCCGTTGCATGGTCGGCCAGCCAAATATATAATACTCGGGGAAGTCGAGCCGATATTTCTCCTAGTCGTGTGCCGCAGGTGTGTCTTGCCCCCGAGCTGTGGGATTTCATGGCCCACCCTGACTGAACCCAGCGTGCTCTCAACTCATGCTCTTTCGCGCACTCTAGCAACTGAACTTGTCTGATCCAAAGCGGTCTGATGCAGTTGTGAATCGGTCGCGCCCCTAAACTCCAATGCGGCGAGTTCAACACGAGCCAGAGAATGTGGCACATGTGGGATGGTCGCTCTGAAAGGCAGGTGTTCCTCGACGCGAGGTCTCTGCAACCAATTATTGAACCTTGTGGGCAGTTTGGTGCGCCGTTGGATTGAGCGTGCCGCTGAGCCTCCAATCGTCTCTTCTGAATTGTCCCTGGAATTGGTATTCGCGTGGGTCGTGGTACCTGTATCTCCAGAGCGATTGACGAATGGCCATTCACAATCACCGGAGGCCAGTCGTATGCAAATCCAGACGATGATGATCATTCCCAGGCTCATCAAAGCAAGAGAGATCAGAAAGTTACCGGGCGTGCGGGTGTATCTTATGATTTCGTCACAGCCAAAAACGGCGGCTATGTTGACAAGCGGTTGAGAAATCTAAGAAGCAATGTCAGAAGATTGTCCCAAAACTATGTCACTTTGACAGAGGGTGTGAATGTGCGGTAAATACTCACGGTTGTCATCCAGGCCGAAATGCTAACGACCATAGACTGTTGGGGCACAACAGCGGAAGGAGGAATCGATACTGGAGATAGACCGGCTACCGGCTGGGCTTTCTTGAATTTCATACGAAGCAAGGCCTTTCCACATGGTCAGTGTCATGGTCCAGCTTCAGTAGTTGCCCGTGAATTGGGGAGTATTACCTGGTCCCTCGCAGCTAACCCATTCTTGATCATTCCCTGATATTGTGTCTCTAAGTTCCCAAATCTTATGCGCAATTGTCGAAGGTCTGAGAATGTCCTTCGTATCTGCGATAGGTAAGGGTAACAGGCTGATATGTCACCTGGTCGGCCCTCTGTGTGGAGAAAGTAGTTCACGTCCGTTGTCATGAATAAGTCGCCAATCGAAACGACCCCTTCCATAGTTTGCGACAGGGATTTCACTATCCCTTCCGCTAAGAGGATGCCCTCTTCGAACTCGTCTAGTTCATCTAGGACATCGTCCCATCTCGTGGTGATCTGACTGACACGTGCAGACTTGCGCAGGCGTTGCAGCAGACGCCGGTGCTCCTCGTCCTGTGGCATAATACAAGGTCAGTCGTCCGTCTTTACTTGCTTGCTGAATCTCGAATCTAGCTCACAATGCCCGTCATCCACTTGTCAAAATTGTAGAACAAACCCTGGAACTCTTTGTAGATCTGGCCGAGGCGGATCTCGAGGACGCGAAGAAAATACGGGCGAGGAAGCCACATTGTAGCGGTTGTGTCAAACATGTCACTCTTTCCACGGCGTAGAGGATCTGAGAGCTTGACCACGCCAAGCGACTCCACCACATCCTCCTGCTCACCTTCATATCGTGCGATGCTATCTGGCGTTGGCAAGCCAACGACTTCGACTTCAAACCAGGCCTCGCATAGCAGTAGACAAGTCCAGCGAAACTGATCGTAACCTGTGACGATGCAGCTAATGTGGCTCGAGTAGATGGCGTCGATGCCGTCGCTACTAGCTTGAGAACCTGCAAGAGCGCGTAAGAATGTTACATCTCGTGAAGACCTAAGGTATTCTCTGTCTGAACTTTTGGACCGGTGGTCTCGCATCAAGGTTTTCGACGTTCTCCACACGCAGTATGGAAATGAAAACTCCATGACAAAGGTTTCAGGACCTTCCGTCTAGAACAAATTAGGCTAGCTATTTGGATTGCTTGGGGAGATTAGAGCCACATTCACGTACCGAAAAATGCACGCCAAGAGAAGGCTTTGATAGGATATAATTAAGCAAGAAGTCGGGCAACTGCCGGTAGAGTGATTCTGGAGCAGATCCCACGAGTGCAAGGACGGCCCACCGGTCAGTATCAACGACATAGCTACAGGAATAAATCAGCGTTGTCTTCTCTTTCATCTCTTCACAAAATTATTCGGCAATTACGTCGCATAGGAATCCTTACATTAGACGTCGTTCCGCATCAGCTTCAGCGTCAGCGTCTCTGGTGTCGCCTTCCTCGCCAGTAGAGGTTTCATGGTAGCGCTGCAAAGTGTTAGTATTGTTTGCATACAAGTCTAGAGGTAGCTCTACTGAAGAAACTAACACAACTTACCTTTTTTTGCAATTCCTCTAGCAATCTCACTGCTGACAAGGCGCCTAGATACTGCCGAGGACAGACCTTACTCTCCGAAAAGTTGCCGTCAATGAGTATGGCAATGTTGTCAGGCGGAATGTGACTGGCTCTCTGTTGGAGCTCCTCCAGTTTTGCACGTTGAAGAAATGCGACAAGAGGCGCTACGCGAGACTTGTCCGCTGCCCAATTCTCTTCTGTTATGAGGAAAAAAATGGTGTCTTCTTCCCCAGGTTCTTCCGGGGTTAGATAGATAGTCTCATCTGACTCCTCGGGTTCTTCTGGACTCAGAGTTTCAGACTTGGTTTCAACCACAGCTGTAACCCAAGGTGAATTCTCCCAATTCTTCGAAATGGACTGACGCCTAAAAAATCTGGGTGGCCAAGAGAACGCCCCAGCTTGACCATGGCCATGATCATGACCATGAACATGACGATTGTCGTTCGTCAGTCGGCCATCTCTGGGCTCCAGTAATGGAAAGGGGTGCGGTGAGGGCGAGGTCGAAATTACTGGTCCGGCGGATACACTCATTGCCTTGCGTAATGGTCAACCGCCTGAGATGGAAGTCAGAAGATAAAGAAATTGCTACAGTCTTGAAGACCGGCGGTAGTATTGTAAGGAGATTGGTGCTCTTCTCAGTTCAAGAATGAGCGACGTCCAAATGTTATCCAACAGTCTTTCTGCTGTGTTTCCCAGCCTCTCGTAAACTTTTCAGTTACTGGTTTCCGAGTTATACACGTTCGTGCAGTGTTTGTAGCTTGCTTTACAGAATTTTCCAGGCTCCGTAAGGAAATCGATTTTGTGTATGCCGTTCCTGACAATCCCCTCAGCAGATTATGATACAGATTATGTTCGTCCAACTATTGAAGGGTCTTTTTCTAGGTCGTAGTATGATCCTGACGGTGATCCGAAGGCCTATGGTCGTGGTGGCGGACGTGTACTCTAGTAACAGCACATCGAGAGCAGCGTGGATAGCGGCAGTTGACGCAAGGATCTACCACTACTGTCATGCCACCTTGGCCGCAATAACACTGTGATCGGAAGATATTATTAGCCTCCTGCAATGCGTAGTAGGGTGGTGCACGTATTCGGCCGTTCTGAGGTTTGTATATCTCGTAAGCTATAGGGGAAAATGAAATACGTACGCAAGTCCAGACGAACGCGTATTTTTTTCGCGGTGGCTATTGGTGGATTAGGCCGTCAGTGGCTGGGTAGATATTATTCGAGTGGTCTGGTTGTAGAGAGCTAGAGGTAGTGTCGTATGGACATTGAATGCCGGAGAGTAGTAATTACCATAGTCTTGGTTGATGCTCGCGTGGGCTATATGACTTGTCCCCTGCTGCAACGTCGCCTTGCCTCTTCCTCTTCTCGGAGCCCCCCAGCCTACCGGTACTTCGAAGGCTCTCGTCAGGCGCGCCTGCCTGCAGGTTAGCAACCCTTGCCTGAGTTCGATCACGTTGACGGCAGGGATGAGGCGAGCAATGCGCGTTCGGATTCGACCGAAGCTGAGCGAAGGGTGGTGTGGAGGAATTGTCGTTCAGGAGACCAATTGAGGGCAGCGCAGGGTGGCCAATTGGTCTGAAAGTCACACATACGTCGCTAGATCCCCAAGACACCTCGTGTGAGCTCGAGGGAGTTGGTCACATGACGCGGACCGTGCATGACAAGCAATAGTAGCAACCCAGCCTACTTCATCCGCAATAACACGGACAGACTTCAGGATTCTCTCGAGAGCCGGAATGCAGGAAAGCATCCTGCAAAGAAAATGTGGTAGGAATCGGGAATTCCAACAGTCCCTTGGGACCTCGACAGCGCGAAAGGCGTAGACCTGGGATTTATGGGCCAAGGGGCCCGTCGCGAAGGCACAGCAAAAGTCGAGCGGACGGCTCTCAGGAGACGACGGGTGTGGCCATGCTGGTAAACTTCGGAAAAAGTAAAATTCATGCACTACTAATCCATAAGTAGTGTACCTTTGTGCATAAAGGAGAGGATGTGAATGGGAGGTTGAAATCGGCAGCATCATGTCATCATCTGTGAATGGACCACGAGGACGGCACGTGATGTGTCCCGCCCAGAAAGATCCACCTTCCGTTCCAAACAGTTGGTTTTCGCACCGAAGTTGGCAGGGAGACCCATACCTACATCCAACAACCAGCTTTCCAACTGCCAACTTCAAACGAACATTTTCTCACTGTCAAAAGAGCCGATCCATCTAATTGTCGTTTGACCCTATCCTTGGACACGTTCGCGGATGGCTCGCCAGCCACTGTCCGATGCTGGATCGTGATGCTTGCGCCCGACGACATGGTGGATTCGTGGCTCCAATAGAGACATTCTTTAACGTGCTGTCCTCTTGCCGATGGCACTCACACATGATATACCTTGAAGACACCGGCAACGTGTGACTCGAAGTTCTCGCCTCAATGTTGAACTGCGTTATTAGTAACCTTTGGAGCCGCGGGAGAGCTGCCCAACCTTGCACTTTCAAGACCATTTCCGCGAATGATACCCTAGCTTACATCTCCTTGCTTAGCCGCCTGCCGTCGCCTTATACAGAACAGACACACAGCCACTGTCCTAACCCGAACCCACCCGACCTGAGCTTATCTTTATTCTCGGATATTTCCCCTCTAGCTCAACTTTGAGATAGCGACTGGTCAACCCGATAGTGTATCCATCTTGACTGCACATCTTTTCTGGGCTGTCTTTCGTCAATCTGTGTCAGTCATTACTCTAGTGCAGCAAAGCGATCTATCCATGGGCACGTCACATCCTCTCGGCCTCTTACTGATTCAAATGAAACACAAGACGCTTCAATCTCGGCCTGCTAGCCTATACCACCGAGGCTGTGTAGGTGCGTCACCGTCATTGTTCAATGTTGGGCTGCATTACTTGCAAACCTGATGACCAAGAAAACAACATCGTGCGAATTGTGCGACGAGATTCACCAACCGCCCACGAAGGAACTCAACTACCTAAGCACCGGACTCATCAGACCTCACCGAAAATACTTCTTTTGACGTATAGCACCATAAACGTCTCAATCGGCTCATGCCACGGTTCACAAATGAAGGTTCGGCACCCGAGCCAGTGAAAAGGAAAAGGGAGGCTCTATCCCATGTATGATGTGACGTCTCTTCTGGTGGCGTCTTCTTAGGGGGGGGTGTCTCCGTGATGGGTTTCCCATTCTGAGCTTCCGGCATACAACGTGCGTCTACCACTCGAATCTATAGCCTCGATTGCTCAACGGCCCGTCTTTGCCAGATGGCCGGCGGCAACAGACGTCAACTCGTCGAGTCACTGATGGTTGAAGCGGTGTCCCAAACGCAGGCCAATTTGCCCGCCACGGGGCGGACGATGATCACAACAACTTTAGCCAATGAATCTTGCACAACGTACTGTGCGCATGACAGGAAAGCAAGACAACGTCAAACAACGTCGGCTAAAAATGCGGATGCCCCACCCAGCCCAAGCAACACCGTTACCGAAGTCTCATTCACCCCGGATTTTCATTGTCACGACACACCACTTGGTTCCATTGTCAGTGACTCCATTGATTCTGTTGGACGCTACCTCGGTTACGTGCTGCTGGTGCTGAGCTCTTCAGAGGCCCAATTGGTCCACACCCGATTAACGGATAAGATACCGGGAGCAGTTTGACAGGACCCCAACAATTTCAGCGAAAGCATCGCCAGCCCCAGCAACAGCTTCTTCCATATTCCAGGCTTTTCCGGCCAGATGACCCCTCAACCTAGAAACACCGACTTCTCAACTTTAGCTCTTTGGCAAGACCCGATGCTACCTACACTGCCTTAGTCTGCATGAGAACAAGACTTTGCCAGTGAATCGTAGCTTTCAGCTGACTACCGTCACTACCTAGTAGTGTTAACTTTCCAACGCTCACTAGGCGTTACACTCGGGCATTTGAACGCAGCATCGATCGCTGCCAGCAAATCACACGTGCGCACCACGTGTTGCCTGATTTAGTTTTGACCGAAATCATCTAGTACAATGGAGCAATCGCGATCGCTTTGTATCCGTGCTTTGACTATGACCGCGGGCAAATGCTACTGACTGGCAATTATGATTGTGGCGCAGGCCCCTCGAATGGTGGCGGCTGTGGGCGGGTATCAGTGTCTTTTAGCCCATAAGCAGACCTGCTGAGGCGTAGAGAATTGAGGTTCTAAAGACGTGCTTTAATTGGCTGAACATGCAGGATGACTGTTCGGAAAGCTAAAATCCAAAGGGATAGATACAATAGCCGTGGACACCAAGAGTTCCCTCGAAGAAGACTGTGGCAGGGCTCTCCGTAGTGCAAGCGGGTAGGTCCTAGCTGCCATGTTTAAAAGTCGCAAAACCCATGGAGGAAGATATGCTGGAGTCGTTGATTGAGAGGGTGTGCTCTTCAAGTGCCAGGTCTTACGTCAGGCCCTTTGAGCAAGAGGTTCGGTGTAGACTTGACGGCTTGCCAAGATTGCAGTTGGGGGCTTCGAAAGGCTCGGTTCCGTTGCCGCCGGTTGACCCAACACACTCCGCCCCGGTAAGTCAAGAAGACCAATGTCGCTTCCGTGTCTCTGGGAGTGATCCGGTCCGCTTGTGCACCAGGTGGATCTGCGAGGCGACAAGCGGTTGTTGACGTCAACTAGGGCTGTCACGCCGCGTTCTCGTAAACAGTCGCTTGACTTCTCGGTGGAACTCTCGCCTCTCGGTCGAAGTTCAAACAGGCTTACACCAGAGTTGACCAATTTGAGTAAGAAGACAACAATAGACCCCATAGCAGCTACCATTAAGAAGAGAGCGCAGATGAAATTGTACCATGTCCGCGGGAAGGTGATGATACCATCGCAGCTGAAAATCGCAGCTACGTTGAGGAGTGGTTGAGACATCTGCCGTTCGTTTCAGTCGATGCGCCCGAAGTTTTTGAAACCCTAAGTCCGACTTACCATAGTTATCCACCACGACAATCTTTGATCCAGCTCGCTCTTCGCGTCCATCTTATTTTGCAAGATGCACTAATTCGAATTAGCATACGGTATCTCAAAGGATTAGACTACAAATCTCCACGTAAACTTACCTTCTGCCTCGCAGAAATGCCACTCCCAAGCATCGACTCGCACATTTTTCGTAGCTCGCCGATATCTCGGTGGGTCTGGCTCATATTATTCAATGTTTTACGGATCTGGGATAAGGGCATCATGCAATCTATGGCATCTCCAACTCGGCCATCCTGGTGTAAGAAGTAGTTCACGTGCGTTGTCGTAAAAACCGAGGCACTACTTAGTGTCTCGCCGAGAACTTTTTGCAGGTCCCTCAGAACATCTTCAGTTTCCTTGACGCTGATCTCACACTCGTCCAACTTTCTCTCAGCTTCTTGTTTCGCTCTGGAGCTACGGGACACTAGTAGAAGGTCCTGACAAAGCTTCTTGTGTTGTCTTAGCTGTGATTTGAATTAGTTGGCCCAGTCAGTCTGGAAGCTCATGCAGAAATCGAGAATTCAGGGGAAAGGTCTTACCGCTGCTGCATTGGCCTTGTGGACGTGAAAGTACAAGGATTCCCATTCGCCGTTGACGTGATTGAGACGAATCTGTAAAATACGAATGAAGTAGCTGCGAGGCTCCCACGAAGATCTCATTACATCGTTTTTCCCTCTCCAAAGTGGGTCGGATATTAGTCCATCGTCTTTGTCGTTGTCATAGCGTGCTACCATGTCGGGGCACGGTTCGTCGTCGAGAACATCCTCGAACCAGCTCTCAAGGAATGCGACTCCGGTCCAGCGATGCTGGTCAGAGCCTGTGACGATTGCACTCATATGACTCGAGTAAATAACGTCAATGGAAAGGGCGTCGATAGGCGTTTCAGTGAATCTCCTCATAAATGTGATGTCTGTTGATGATCTCAGGGGTTCCTCATTTGACCTCTTTTTCCGATTGTCACTCTTCAGTTCGGCAGTCTTACGTAAGGCCCTGACCGGAAGGGATAGTTGAAGGAGAAACGTTTCCGGTCCTTCCGTCTGCTCAGAATGTTAACATATGATGCCATTACAATGAACCAATAACATAGTAGAGTTTGACCACTTACTGCGAAAGAGACACCTATATCGCTCTTGGCAGAGAGGTAATTGAGTATGCACTCAGTTACCTCCCTGTAGAGAGACTCCGGAGAGGAACCAAGGAGAGCAAGAATGGCCCAAGCATCTAGGTCAACCACGTAGCTACCAGCGAGAAGGTTAGTATTTGTAGGTGCATACTGATCAAGTATCATTTTCTGCCTAACTCACATCAACCTGCGTTCTGCTTCGACAAAGCCACTGCTCTCAGGAGAAGATTCATTTTCGGCTTCATAGCGCTATGTTCGAAAACGTTAGCCTCTACTTTTTGACTATTCTTCGAAAGTCAAGAGGGCGTACTTCTTTGGTCGCCTCTCTCAATAGCTGCCTTGCTGACAGGCCTCCAAGAAAGGGTCGGAATACCGGTTCAATGCCGAGATTGTTGCTGTCAATGAGGAGTGCTACTTTGGTTTCCGGCACCCCTTCTTCATCTTCTTCTAACTGCTGAAGTGTTCTTCCGCAGAGAATATCGAGAAAAGTATCGAGTCGGAACTGGTCCGGGACCCAGTTCTCCTCGGTCCGCAAAGAGCGTAATATATCTTCTTCTTCGGGGCACTTCAGGTTTTGTTTCATTTCTCGAAGTGTGGCATAAAGCCATGGGGTATTCTCCCAGTCTTTAGGAAGCTTCCTTCTGTTGAAGAATCGCTCAGGCCATGGAAATGCTCCCACTTGTTCGGCCCTGTTGGGAATCCGCACATCCAGTGGCTTCGGCAGCTCGATTGGTCCAACTGGTTCTATCCTGTAATCCACGGGTTGGGGTGAGAGAGGACGGCTCGGTGCTGTGTCCGTCCGTTGTAAAGTCATGGTCAGTCCACTCGCGTTCTGATATGCGTCACTGGACGTTTTGTGTCTATTCGAATCACCTTGACCCCGGTAGTGCGATTTTTAATGGCCTCTAGCTCTGCAACTCTTTGAATTAAAACAGCAAAATTTTGAAATTCCGTCAATCTGCGGTATTACAATTATTTTTCTTGGTTATCTCTTCCGTTTTCCGTGTCAATGTATGTTTTGCGACTCTCCTCTTGTTGAAACCTTTTTGCTATGCCGGAGACACGATGCTAAAGAATGGTCAGTATTTCCTGGGGCATTTTATACATGGAACCGAGTTAACACCTTGCGGTCGAATCAACAAGTCATCCGTCTTTTTATCTATCACGTATGACTGTGATGTGTATGCTGGCTGTGGGCAGTATCGTGGTGTAAGTGTTGCCGTACGTGCAATTTTTCTACACGACAACGCGAACACCTAGAGTATCCGCAATTGACGCAAGGGTCGGTAACAACATTCATGCCCCCTTGACCGCAATAGCACTGTCGCTATTATCAGCAAGTGAGAGAATATGAGGTAGGGAGCTCGGTGTGGGGAGGAGGTCTGCAAGCAGCAAAGAGGATATAAGGATGACGCACACAGGTCCAGCGGAAGGCATACTTTTTGCGTGGCGGCTATTGGTGGGACGGCCCGTTAGTGGCTGAGAAGTTGATATATGAGGGACTCGGAGTGATAGAACTTGGAAAATAGACAACAAGGGCGGATTATGTACCATGTTTGGGACGGTCACGGATTCCCCTCAAAGACTTCTCTCTGAATGCAACCAAGGATCTACCGTTGCCCACGTTCCAAAAACCAACCCCCCTACAACACCCTTCTGCAGTGGCTATTGGGCTATCTTTGCATGTGGTGTGTCTGGAGACCATGCAAATGATCACACGGACAATTCGGCCAGCAAGACCAGGGCGGTCTGAAGACTTTAGGTGTCGAGGGCGATAAACATTCGGGCTGGGACCGCTGGGTGGTGTCGAGGCTGTTGCGAAGATTGGCCAGGCGTCCGGGTCGCCTACTCTTGCGACCAATGGGGTATTATACAAAAGTTGGGTCGTTTCCCGAGAATTTCAAATGGATTGAGAGGCCTATGACAAGAGAATCTGATTACTTGCCCGTCACGACGCATGCCAGAAGATGTGTTTGTGTTTCTCCAAAAGGACAGCGTACCCTTTCGATTCAGGAGAAGATGGCCGAGGGATTGATATCGAATACCTGATAGTGAGTCTAACATGCGGTAGCCCGGTGGGGTAATTACACCGCCGAAGACCCCGGTAATACCAAACTGCCTGAGTTCTGTTACTATGAAAGCAAGCTTCTAGCAATACACAAAATTCATGGTGCGATGCATTGACTGCACAAGCCAGATCAGGTCGTCTGCACTGCTTCCAAGCTGAGGTCAGTGTAGTGCAGTGTAGCATGCTACTCAGTATACTATTGAATGCTAAATGGCGATCGTACATAAGTACGTTTCCCCATTTTCTTTTTCTCGTCTTCCCCAAAATCTCTCAGCTGCTGACATCAACAGAGAATCCGCATAAGTACATAATTCGCTAGTTCTGTATACGAGTTTTACCCTTCAAGGGCATTAGAGGCCGGAAAGACCGGGCAAGGCTTGTTGTCGGGGTACTTAGTTTTGGGCTAAAACAGATTGAAGTCCCGTCTTATCTGTGCATCTCAACGAATTCGGATTTTTGTGCTCCTTACAGAATCACGGAGTAATTTTTTGAGATTGATGTTTGCATGGGAATGCAGGAAAGTTTGTTGGAGTCGACTGGGGACATTACTTATTTACCGTAGCTCGTACGCGGGTGCAGGGGTTCCACGGTGGCGTACGACCTTACCATTTCAGTTCCTGGCTCAATTGTTTGCGCTAGCTGGATCAAGTATGTCCGACTTTGTTTCTTCCCCTTTTGCAAGACAGAAGAAGAAAACCATCACATCACTCTCTCTCACAGGTAGTGCCATTCATCAATGGTATCTTTGCATACCTATGGATACGCCAGTCCGTACTCCGTACGCATTTGCAATACCGTGACGCCAGATTGACTGGATGTTTGCATGTGTCGCAGACAATCACCGCCTCCAGCACCATTGGCGGCTCACTCATACCAACTTTGCCAAGTGACCTTGAGCTAGTTCGCCTCAACTACGCGCTTACCCGATCACTACCAACCGCCGCATCTTTGACCATTTCGCCCTCGCCCGACGTCGTGGCTCCAATGGATCTGTTCCTTACGATATCTGAGGCTTCTCGCGAGGTAGGTGTCACAGATCGAAACACAGCTTGTGACTCTCATTCGAGCACTATGGTTCAACAACTGTCCTCAGCCTGGTTGTGCACTTTGATCAGCAGTCCATACAACCTTCGTTGGTGGCCTTCCCGCCACAAGCTAGTTATCTCATGACCGTAGCTAACTTACCTGACAACCCGAGCCCACCAGATTCGCTGTCAGAAGCCGTCTCATATGGAGAGCTGAGATGGCTCTGTTCCAAAATTTGCATGCCTTGATTTGAGACCAATAGCTGTGCCAATCTCCCAAGAGCTGCGGTGTCTCGGTATGCAGCTCCAGACAATGACATGCCTACGTGGTCGTGCGCATCACTTGTAGCATACCACATCAATCTTCGGTGTCTCAAGTAGAAATGGATTCTGCGGTGGACCTGCCCGACATCGGCAACGCCCAACGCCATGCCATTGCCACCGGCTGCAACACCATGAACAGACCACGATCGTGGGACGGCACCGCAGGAAAAGCTTCTTCTCAATGATGATCATAGCTGCCTGAACGGATCGCCCCTGTCACCGAATCCTCTACCTCTCACAGTCGCGCATCATACCCGCATGTTGAGCATAGCAGGCTGCAATAAGAGCTTCGCCCTAAATGAATGATGCACGCAGCAGCCTGAGCCCATGTGATCTTTTCTGAGCGTCATTGTGCTTCACGTTTCTCTGAGTGCCGGTTCTCCAGTCGCAAACTTGGCAGCCTCAGCGTGTTTCCTCTCACCCGGGCCAATCAACCCCGGACAGCGTGGTCAGAATGCGAGAACGTCGTGGCTCCAGCCACCAGTAGGTAGGTATTGATACTCGCATCGACCTGCCACATCGGTCCACCCACAGCCAGGCACCGCCTGTACTTCGCCTCGTTCCATAGCCAATGCCATTCCTTCGGGACTTTCCAGACGTCCTGATGCCCCTCCTCATCGGCCTCAGCTGCGCAAGATTGCGATTCACAAACCTGACAACGTGCTGGAAATGTGGGTAATTTACTCTCGTCATCGCACTTAATTGACGGTGCTGCAATTGGGCCCCGTTACATGCTGCTGCGGCTGCTTGCTTGTGGTGTTCAAAATTCAAGGGTTCAATTGGATACTAAGAAGAAATTTGATAAAGCCGCAGCAATTACGGATACACCCAAACACGTCATCTGCTTGTACCCATCCTACTTTACCACGAACATCGCCAATTTGAGGGCCACTCGCTTGCGATCATGGTCCTAAAGGTACTCGGTCAACCTGTGGCGAACTCTCAAGTGCCACGAAAAATGTGCCATCTGCTAAGAGCATTGGTATTCCAGCCCTGAGTTTACCGCCAATCAACTGAGTCAGAACTCCGCGATGGCTTGCGTGCCTGCATGAAAAGCAGCGGCTGATAGAAAGGATTTAAGGGAGACCACATGATGTCTTGCGAGCGGCGCGAACCAAGCACCGTGCCCTCTGAAAGCTAGGTTCGCTGCAAATGTGTCGTGTATTGGATCGAGTCACAGTAGACTCAATTTTGCTTCGAACGAGTTTCGATGGGCTACACGTAGACTGACAAGCACTAGCATCAAGCCCTTTTGAGAATGGTCGTTTCGCGATGATGATGAACGATGTAGACCGGCTCATATTTTGTGAGTGCCTTACTCCGACCTGCTCCAGGTGAAAAGTCCAATCCGGAGAGCTTTTCTGTAACTCAAAATGAACCAAGGGGTGCCAAATGACTTCGTGATTAGTGTTGAGTATTACAGGCTGTTGTCTTAATCCATGCGAGCCTGCGAGGTACCTACCTTACCCACATGTATTCATGTCTCTGCGACGACCATGAGTTCAAAACTCTGGAAGCTCCGGGAAGAGTTCAGAGAGCTTACTAAGGTATCCAAGGCGTCGCACTCCATTGTTCATAAGATAATGATTTGGTGAATATGTGGGAAGCTCTCGTCTTGTAGGGGTCACATTAGCACGCGGCCTGGCCCTCCGTCAAGGCGTGCGAAGTGCCGCTTGCAACATCATCTCTACATGTGGACTCCCCAACCAGCTCAGTACATAACTACAAGGCAAATATCGTGATACTGTGAGGACCGAACTTGCAAAAAGGCTCAAAGGCCTTCGAGAGACAACTCTACAAGTTCCATGGCCTTGCATGTAGCCACAGCATGTCCAGCCTCTCAAAGTTAGCCTACTGCATCAGAAGCTAAGACACTTTACCCTTCATTCAGTGGATGTGATATCCCAAACACACTGCTTCGATCCATCGCGTGTGTTAAATGATCTGTGGTAGGTAAGAAGTCAACTAGAGATGGTAACGGAATCTGTTTGATAGTTCCTGGAGTCTCTTGTTATCGAAGAGTTGACTCCACAAGGCGCAGAGAGTGATGAGAAGCCTTCATCGTGGCAGGGAAGAGCACGATTTCCAAGGTAATTAGGAGCCAACTTCAATCCATCGTGAGACTTCACTAGAACACACGGGTGAATCACTAGCTGCTCTATACTTAACTTAGCTCTACCTCTGCCTTTTTTCTTTCTGCTGGTATTACCGCTATTGTAGCTATGATTACTTTCTATTTTCTAAACAGTATCTATATCAATTGTAATACGCAAGAGAAGGTGGCTTTATGTACGTTGACCGGCATCATTTGTTATTAGGAAGTAACTTACTATCTAATTGCCCGGCGAGATCTCTCAAACCAGAGTTCCCATATTAATGATGATACTAATTTTAGTAAGTATAGGCACTCGTCGGTGTGAAACTTCTAGTTAACTTGGGCATGGTAAGCATTGATCTCCTAGGAGGCAGCCTGCGGCACGCTGTGTACTCTTGGAATATTTTCAATTGCAGCAGGATAAGTCGCCTATCCGCAAATTCAACCTGAATGGCTCGGTTCAAGCTTGGTATCCTGACTGACCCGGGCTAAACCCATACCCAGACTCGACCCTATCTTACACAAGCTATTCTCACCGCACTGGGGAAGGGCCTCACAGTGGGGTTTACTACTCCTCCCAATCTCAATGAAATGACCCATTATCTGACGCTGAGGACAAGCTAGCTAGGTAATGGGGGATGGCCCTCGGATCATCATCAAAAGCTGGTTGAGAGATGGGACATGGCGTGGTTCCTCTAGAGATAGTTGACTTTGTTTCGTCCGAAAGGTTCTGGAGGCCAGGCTAGCGGGCTAACGGAGTTTTGCGCTGGCGAGAATATCGCAAAGACTTTGAACTCGAGTTAATACGCGAACCGAAGTTTCTTGAGCTCGGTTTCTCCGCAGTTGGGTTCATCAGTGCCTCGCACTAGGCCACCGATATGCAAACATACGCTTGTAGTTAACTTAGTTCTGTGGGCCACTACCAAGCAGAACTCCGGTATTCTGCAAAGGGAGGCTGCAAGTAAACTGCTAAAGAGTTCAGAGAATGATAGACGATGCTGAGGGTCAGATACACGCACTCCATAGCTGTATTGATAAGGTATTTCAAATTTGTGACAGAATATGGTATTGGTCTCAACGGGGTGGGAGGATACTGCTTTCCTTTGATGGAGCGGCCTACAGTAGTGCCACACTACCTTAAGATCCTGTATTTTGTTGGAGATCCATCATTCCCTTTCAGATCCTTGAGCTAAGCTTGAAAAATGATAAATGGGTGCAGCCCTTTGAGGGCTCGAGAGGCATGCCAGTTAAGGGCGTCATAGCAGCACATACAGTGCAGTCTTCCGGAACCAGACCCTGTATGCATGTTACGTAGCACATAAGCTCGAGTCAATGCACTCGGAATGACGTGACATAAGGCCTTCGCTTCACCAAATTGGTGTATGGAAGTATCTACTATGCCTTGACCAGACGAAGGTGGATGACGTAGGACTCTTTTTGGTTGTGAAGATAGTCCAGGTCCACACGCTGCAGATTGTATGTCAATGTTACTCATACCGGCTGGTTTGAGGTACTCAGGACTTCTCCGGCTTCGGTGACTTCGCAAGGAAATATGACGGTGATGGAGTAGTAGTACCTCAATTAAGCAAGAAGTATGCATATCTTGTGAGAGCCACGAAGGTAGACCATAGACATCCGATGGCGGTCATCCCTCGTCGGTTTTCTACTTGATAGCATAGCAAAATAGCGCTTCAATGCTACCATCATAAGTTGAATGCCAGACTATTGGAACAGACCTTCAACACCTCAATTGTCACTGATGGTGAGCATGTCTAGCCGCTTGCCATGGCCCAAGGCAATTGAGTCTGCTAACTTATCTTTGATTATTCGGCGTTTGAGACCCACGACGATTGAGAAAAGGGGGGTTAAAGGCATGTTGGGAATAAATCTTTTCTTTTTGGATTCACACCTGGATTG